CCAGTAATAGAGCCAGTGACCGAGCCAGTGACCGAACCGGTGACAGACTCAGTAGCAGACCTAGTGACAGACCCATCAGCAGACCCAGTAGCAGACCCAGTAGCAGGCCCACTGACCGAGCCAGTGACCAAGCCAGTGACCGAACCAATGACAACACCAGTGACAGAAGAAACAGGACCGGATGAGATAGGCGCCACAGAAGACGGAAGAGGCAATGTGAGCGACGTAGAGAGCGAAGTCGGAGTCTCGGTAGGAATCGACGACGGGACCGAGGTCGGAGCAATGCACCTCGTACAGATAGTCGAAGTAGACGTCAACGTCACAGTCGACACTGTCGTCCCCACTGAAGTGCTCACAGAGCCACCTTCAGAAACTGTAGCTGTCACGGGGCAAGTAGTCAGCGTGACATAAGTGAGGACGGTCGTCTTGTCTACACTCGAGATGGGCACGCTTGAGCCTGGAGTGCTGGCAGGAGCGGATGAAACTGGGCCCGAAGAGACTGGAGCAACGCCTGAAGGAACTGTGGTAGAAGGGGCAATGCATTTAGTGCAGATGGTGGACGTTGAGGTCATAGTCACTGTAGATAGTGTCGTGCCCACTGACGTAGTCAATTTGCCGCTCACAGTCCCTGTGGACGTGACCGGGCAGCTTGTCACGGTTACCCAAGTGATCACTGTGGTCTTATCCACGCTCGAGACAGGCACACTTGGTGTAGTGGCGGGAGCGGATGGTATAGGACCAGACGAAACGGGACCCGAGGAGATGGGCGCCACGCCCGACGGAACACTTGTTGGTGCAATACATTTGGTGCAAATGGTCGACGTTGAGGTCATGGTCACTGTAGATAGTGTCGTGCCCACAGAAGTAGTCAACTTGCCGCTCACAGTCCCCGTGGAAGTGACCGGGCAGCTTGTGACAGTCACCCAGGTGATCACTGTAGTCTTGTCCACGCTTGAGGCAGGTACACTGGGCCCTGGTGTAGTGACGGGAGCAGAAGGAATAGGACCGGACGAGATAGGGCCTGAGGAGATGGGCGCCACTCCCGATGGAACGCTGGTTGGGGCAATGCATTTGGTGCAGATAGTCGACGTTGAAGTCATGGTCACCGTAGAAAGAGTAGTGCCCACAGAAGTTGTCAGAGTCCCACTAACGGTACCCGTCGAAGTCACCGGGCAGCTTGTTACAGTGACCCAAGTAACCACAGTGACCTTGTCCGCAGCCGGAGCAGAGGAGCTAGGCCCTGGCGTAATGACAGGTGCGGACGTAGACGTGTGGATCAACTGAGAAGAGGTCAACTCCACAGGAGAGCTTCCAGATGGAATGGTATTGGAAAGCGCGCCACTTGGGTGCGTAAAGCTAGACGTGCTGCTGGACGGTGCAGTTGGGACAACATCGCTGGAGTGCGTGAAACTGTGGACCGCGCTGCTAGAAGGCGTGGCAGTCGGTGTAGTCGTGCCAGAAGACGTGTCGGCGGGGACGGTTTCGCTTGGAAAAGTGGGAGTAGGAACAGCGATACTAGATTCCACGCTGCTGGTGGAGGTAACATCTGGCACCTCTGGGACGCTCTCCGTCGAAGACTCATCTGCAGAGGTCTCTGTGGCAGAATGAACTGCAGTAGATACGGCAATCGTCGACGTGACAACCGTAGTTGAGTCTGCCGGACAGTTGGTTACCGAAGGGCCACAGCTGGTGATCACGATTTCACTGGTGATATAGTACGTCGAAGTTGCCAGGTTATTGGTCGGCGCCTCCGGGGCGGGAGTCACGACGGCTGCAGAGGTGGTCCGATCCTTTCGAATAAGCGGCACGGAGTAAGCCCTCGCATTGAGCCCAGAGGCAGTGTCGGAAGAATTGGATGCTGTCGATGCCTTCCCAGAAGAGCAGTCGAATCCAATCCTGTACACACTCAACAAGCAGACATCGACATTCGCATCATCGGCCAGTTGAAAGCTCACCGAGGTGGCACCGCCGCACTGGTCATTGGTGACAGTAGTCCCGTTGGCGGAGATAGAAGCAAACGTATTGCAGGTGGTACCATCAGCCATGCCATAAACGATGTGGATGTCCGCGTTGCGGGAGGTGGCAAGCTGGAACTCATTAACGGAGAAGTCTTGACTCTTTGATGCAGAGGATATCTCAGGAGCCGACGAGCTTTCCTTGATGAGCTTTCCCACGATGGATTTGGCCTGGTTCAGTTAGCCAGCAGCTCCCAATCCCACCAACCACGGGAGACTTACGCTGGAGGTTGTGCTGAAGTTGTTGCTCACGGAGAAACCCGAGAACTCGAAGCCCGCATAGCTCGGGGAGGATCCGACAGCCAGGTCGGACCAGTCAAAGCCGGCTCGCTGCTGCTCCGAACAGGTCGTTTTGGTGATGTCAGGGCTGGTGAATCTCTCGTCGGTGTTCCACCACTGCGAATATCAGCACGAGCTCTAGAGATTTGAGTAGACAAACTTACCACACCTGACCCTTGGGCCAAGCCGACGAGAGCCAGAAGAGAGACCGAGGCTATGGTCCTCATGGCGAAGAGATATGCGAAGTGACTGAGTGAAAGTAGATAGAGTCTTGTGATGCTATGTAGAGACAGAGATGGCTGATATCCTTCACCGGCCAAGATACCTTACGACAACGATACTGAGAACGAGGACGAGGAAGATGATGATGTCGTAGAGACAGAGAGAGAGAAAGTATACAGCGAAAGCGATGGACAAGATCGAACGAGTGTTAGTAGTCAGGTGAAACGAATGTCTCTATGTCCAGCAACGAGCACCACCAACAATGAGAAGGGGAATAAATAGCAACACAATTATAGAGAGCGAAGAAAGTAAATAGAAAGAAACGCAGCGACCCACCCGCTCTCAAAGAGGGCGTTTGATCTCTTTAAATCTATAACACCGGGATGCTGCAACAGGGGGGGATTGAGTGGTATCCATAAAAAGCAATAGGATAAAGAGACCTACCTGCCCGAAAAAGTGAGGGAGAGAGACCATTGCCCGGTCAAGCCTCCACCCAACCCGTCCATTCACTGGCCGGGGATCTTGCATGCAAGCATGGTTGGCGAAGCATTTTTTATTTTCTCGTCGTTGCAAGTAAGACATTCTTCAAGGTTGTAGTCGACAGTTGGTGCGACGGAGAGCCAATCCAACGCGGAGGCGCCGACTGGTTCGCTAGTGCAGGAACAGGCTGAAGGACCCTGACAAGGACTGGAGGAAATGAGGGGGAGGCGCGAAGTCAATCACACTCATCGCCAATCATCATCGATGAGAGGGCTATTGTCGGAGCTGATCCCAGAATAGGCGCAGGTCCTGGTGGAGGTGAGGTGAGGTAATGTGCCAGAGGGGTCATTAGCTGGTCATTCATGCCTTCATTGTCTCGAACAACTAGAGAAAAAGAGAGTGGAGAACAGTCTCACAGTAAACAATGACTGCCCGACTCCTTCAGGCCTAGCTCCATTTGAAGAGACAATGACGATAATAGTCTGTCTATCCTTTCAGACTTTCAAAGTAGCAAGTACCTGCCAAGAAGATTGGATGTGGGAATGATAAAAGAGAGAGTAAGTGGTGTATAGGTGGTAGATGAAGGATGAGTCGGCGGCGGGATGAGCGATGACTACTCCCCTAACGACAGTACAACTACAACTACAATAAACTCAACTACTGTTGCAACTAAACTACTAGGTAAGTCACACCACCTCAAAATAACCCAACAGGCACTGACCGGAAGAGCTCCTCCCTCGGCACCCAACGCAAAGAAAAGAAAAAGGGCCAATTCGCCTTTCCAAAATTGAACCACACAAAACAACCTGCAGAATAAATCCCACTCGAAGCTCACCGTGCAGCAAACGGGCGTCTCGCGCTGCAACCTTTCCCCCCTCGAACATGGCACACACACTGCCCGCAATATAGACTACCTACTCAGGGAATTCTGCCAGCCTGGGCGGCTATTTTTCTTTCTCACTGATCCAATAAGAAAAAAAAGCGAACGCCAGTCTTTTCTAATTCGGGATATTCTTCATCAAAACGCAAAAGACTACTACTGGTGGGAAGTTCGAGATCTCAGCGTGGTAAATAACCGCCGAACAGATGGAGATCGCTGCTGCGGCTTAGCGCCCGGATCGGAATAGATAATGAGAAGATGCAGATACTAGAAATCACAACAACAACAACAACAACAACAACAACAACAATAGCAATAGCAGATCCCCGCGATCGACACACACCCACAAAAAAAGATATGCTGAGGACCTCCCTTCAGCAAGCATCAGAGATATACTACCTCACTATCCCACCTGCAAACAACCAGATGAGCGACAATGGTGCCAGCTCATCGCGGCCGACAGCCAGCCGTCTAACATCTTGCGGAAGAAACTCCTCTTTCTCGGGGGTTGGCATGAAACCTTAGCCTGTGAAGTCCAGTCCTGTCCAGTCCTGCACTGTCGGAAGGTACAACCTCATATTGATGAACTTGGAATGCGAACTGCGAAGGGGATTCGTTGAGACTCGGGGCTAGCTTGTCTCCCATATATATCCAGCGGGCCCATCAGACTCAAGCATTCGACGATATGCCCTTCGCATGTCGCACAAAAGGCCCGGACCTTCTGAGCTCTGAAGCCGCAATAGCCCCGACTACCCTGCCGGTGGCTTGCATAGGGTAGTATCCCTCCTATGCTCCATATCTTCCGTGTGTTCAATAATCCCGAAACATGCAGTCGGATAGACACCGTCGGGGCAACACAACGACCAGTCTCATTCAGCATAGCATGGTACTACTACGTTAACGGTAATAGAGAATCATAATCAATCCTGGAAATGAAATTTAATTTTCGAATTATAGTAGCCGGGGAAATGACAAAACGCCGTAACATGACACATGGCATACGAGATTGAAAACATAGCTAGAAGATAGTATGAGAGTTGACCTAATCCTTCGCAGCAAGGTATATCCCCTTTTGAACTCCGTGAAACGTCATCATCAAGCTGAACTTTTGGTCATGGAGTAATCCTCCAATCCTCTAGACCATGAGAGTAAATCGACTGTTTCAGTCAGAACATGCAGTCCGAGTACCGTTCTATGCTTTTGTCGAGAATTAGGTCTCCATCTTTTTGGATATCAACACTTTTGCAGCAATGTACAATTGATCGTATTGTTTTAGGTTGTTTTTAGCTCAGCAAGGGCTACCACACTGATGGGTGCGCCATAGGACCTGAGTGACAAGGGTCATAGAAGATTTCGACAGTCAGCATTTCTAGAAAGGAAGCTGGCTGCGACGATGGGCATCCATCAACTTTCGTCGGACGGCTTCCCCACCGTTGTACCCGTTCGGTTTCCGCTTACGCGTAGGGGTTCGCTGGTCTGCATTACGTGCGTGTCTAAACACACTTGCAGGGCGAGAGGGTGAGTTGGCGGGCATAAACTCCCGATGTTGGGGTAGACGCAGCAGTGCCTGGTAGCGGTTGTGATTGCGGCGGAAGGCCGTCACAATGCCTCGATCCAGATGGTTAAGAAACCGCTCTGCACTGCTAGCATGATGGGACTCGCCAGCCCGGCTCGGGGTGGGCGTGCCAGTGCCGGCATGCTTGGTCTGAGCTGCCATGGGTGAGAGTAGTGTTTCCTCTTCAAACACCTTGTCCATCTCATCGTCGGACGACTGATGGCCGAAGTCAATGAAGTCCTCGACATTCAGGGCTGATTCCGGATCATCCTCATCGTCGTCCTCGAAGGAACTGTCAATGGCAAAGTCCCGAGACGGGTAGAAAGCCTCAGGGGGTCCCATCACCTGTCCGCCTGGGGCAATATCATTGCCAAGTGCCGTCATCATCAAATTGGCACTTGAGGCCAGCATCGGGCTCATATCGAGGTGGCCGGGCGATGCGAGCGCATCTGTGTCACTTTCATCGATGAGATGCATGGTGGTGGCACGTGGGCTGTTATGAGCTGTACCACATACACTGTTGGTAGCGGACTCCAGCCAGTCATGACGAGACGAGGCATAGGCGGGAATGATGACCAGATGTTTGCCAGTGCAATCAACGAGCGCAACAGGCTTATGTGGGTCCGCGACGAAGGTACCCATGATAGGCCCGCGCCGCCGACTCACAGGCTCAGGCTTTTCTTCGACGGGAGGTGCAAGAGAGGCGGATGAATCGCGGCGAAGGATAGACCTGGGATGAGTAATGGTAGCCGGGGGAGGAAGGTCTTCATCTGTGGTCTCGCCATCATCGGCTTCAAAAGGGTCAGCAAACGTAGTGTAAAAAGTTCCCAAGCATTCTGCATACTCTCATAGCCGCTCGATTCCGAACCCTCGGAAACAGCATCGGATTCCACGTGATAAATGTTCGAATGTCCGTAGTCAGACTCGGCAAACATCTCCTCTGACTGACGGCGCTGGCGCGGGAAATTCTCGTTGTCGCTCTCGATCATACGGCGCAGCTGGGGATCCAGACTGTCCTGTTGGAGAAAGTCACTTGGGATCTCGTCTTCAGTGTGTGAATCACTGTCGGAGGAAGAATCGGAGTCTTCTTCGAAGTGCACCCGGCGGGGCATGGGTGTCTCGACGGCAGTCTCGCTGGCCATCTCGTCGCCGAAGGTCTCCATGGCGCTATAGAGCTGTTCCTCGTCGAAAAATGACGCAGCCGACAGGAGCATATGGTCGTCAAAGACATTGGGGCCGGCCCAGTCATTGGTCTCTGTGGCGGCGGCGGCGGTCAAGATGTTCTCAACGGCATGCTCATCCTCGGACTCGACGATCAACAATTCCTCGAGTTTCTCCACATCGTTGTCCTCATCGTCTTCTCCGTCACTGATATAATCAACGGCAGCATAGATATCATCCGAGTTTTCCTCGTCCGAATCGTCATCGTCGTCATCGTCACTGCTTCCTTGGCCATCGTAGCCATCGTCATCGGAGAACTTCATCTTCTTGGTCCGTTTGGCAGACTTCATGCCCGTCTTATGAGACCGATCCCGACGGCCATAAGACGGGCCGCGAACAGCCGGCTGTTCATCTTCTTCATCGTCGGCATCATCGTCCTCCGAGTCGTTATCGTCTTCGTCGCTGAGCTCCTCGATGGAGGAGACCGACGACACACTGGAGACCGATATAGACGATGCTCTGCGTTTCCGGTCCATGCCCAATGACCCAAGAGCGAGGCCCTTGTTTGAAGTTCTAGGTGAGCGACCCGTCAGGGTGTGTTCGAGGGAATGAGCGGAAGGTCGACGAGTCGGGTTGCGCGGGATACCCTTTGCGGCAGTCTGGGGGGACCGTCTGGGTGAGTGGACTGAGGGAGGCATTATGGTTGTTTTGACCAGAAATGGTATTGCGGTAAGTTTGTTTCGAATGTATCTCGGCCAATTTAAACTTGGCACGAGTGAATGTTGACCTTGGTAGACTAATGGATCGTCAAAGTTTGCTACCCGTGAGGCCGCGGGATAAATCAATTGCGTCAGACTTTGTCGAAGGCGGAATCAGGGACAGGATTGTCGTAATGGGGAGGCGGATTTCGACCGTCAATTCGTGAAAGCGTACGGAGAGAGAGAGAGAGAGAGAGATGGCCGTCGTTACTTGGTCCAAGGACCAGAGGGCGATGGAGAGTTTTCGGGGTAAAGGTTATGGCCAGGTGCCGGAGAACGGAAGGGTAGGTCGGATAAGAAACGATAGCAAAGACTTTTCGAATCCGCCAAAGCAATTCAGCGTCCAGAAGGGGGACGTCAAAAGTGCTTCTCGTATGAGTGTAGTGATAGGCAATTCCGACGCTGGGAATTGAAATGGTGCGTCGAAAGAGGAGCAGATAGTCGTCAAGTTCGATGAGAGATAGTCGGAGCTGCTAGGACTGGGAAGCATGGAAAGGGCAGCCGTGCTTCCCAGCGGAGAGATTTACAGCTCAACGAAGGCCATCCTGGCGCGGTACACTTGACGATATCTGGGTAGTATGATGAATAAAGAAAGGGTTATGGGGATGGAGGGGTTTGGTGGGGGGTGGGTGGTCTGTAGATGTGGAAAGAATCTGCAGTAGATGGGGCAGAGGAAAGGGAAGAAGGAAGAAGATGAGGGGTGGAAGTTATGGGGATCGATGTTTAGAGGAAGGGGGGAGGGCGGCAGGCATGGCAGGCAGGCTTAGGCTTACAGTAGGACGGTAGGCCCGCGGGCGTACATACATACTGTACAAATTCCATACCTTACACTCAGTGCACTCATAGAGAGCAAGCCCGCCGGGGCGGCGGTACGGGGTGTTACGGCAAGAAACGGGTTACAGAATCAAAACAGCCTCGGACAGGCTGAGGCGGACCAAATTTTCCAGTCACAGTGGAGTATCAACCGGCCGGTCGCAGTCATTCAGCTTGTCATTGGTTAGGAACCACTAAAACAAGCATGGCCATTGGCGGACAGGTGTTCACCGCATCTTTTTTCTTTTCCTGTTACATTCTAGTCTCTGCTGTCGTTTTTTATTCTGGTCTCTTTTTTCTACTTTTTTTTTTTTTTCACTCTTTTGCCTGCATTCATTCTCTCCCCACTCTCAATAATAGCTTGCATTGCTGGCTGGTCGACTCAGCAAGCGGGGCCCAGTCATCTCAAAATGAAGTCGTCGGAGAATTAAAAACGGTCCAGCACGATGAGGCCTTAGACCTCAGGCATGCAAGAGGCAAAATCTCTTTTGTCCTACAAGCTCTCTGACTCAAGGGGTGACAGGAAGAGGCTCAGGCGCAGACCCTACAGGGATGAAATTCCTATCGAGTCCATGGAGGGACCATGAGCATGTGAGCTGGAATAGTCGAGACCCTAGTCATAGTCACTCCTCTCGTTGGGTACCTGCAACTGCAGATAGCGTTCGGAAGTCGGTCGAACGGTCATCGTGCTCGAGGGCATGGAACGACCGGGCAGGGATAGAGTGATGGTCCTAGGAGACTAAGCCGATGGCGCTTACAGGATTTTTTGATTCAAGTGCCCATTTAGATTAGTTCGATGACTATTGAATCGCTGTGTGTCAACCTGATGACTTGGCCCGCTCCCCCTCCCCTTTCCTCCCCGTTCCTCTCTTAGTACTAAGTCATAGTCGTTTCCCGGTCGAACCGGATTCGAAAGAATCATGGACTGCGGACGGAGTCACCAGTAGGCGGGAGAGAAACAATGGGTGACTCACTCATACGTTGGTCTGACCAGTCAGTCACTGGACCTATCGCGTGGAGAGAAGTACGGAGTATTCTTGGGGATTGATCGTGGTACTAGGCTACAGAACGGACCCATGCAAAGCGCCCTCCGTCAGAGTTACTGAGTAAGTTGATTAGAACATAGCTCTGCAGGCAGGAGTGCAGATCTCTCCCGAGCCTCTCTGCTCGCTGGCGTGGGCCTCAGCAAGCACACGCCTTCCTGGGAATAATCCCGAGTATCGTAGGTGGCATGCACAACGCGGGCGGGTGAAGACTATTCGAACCTCGAGCCACTTTTCTTGAAGTAAGGATAACTAAGGGACAACATGTTGGACCGTGCTCTATCTCGGTATCTGTGTCTTCCTGCACAGTGACACAACAAACTCATCCCCCTCCCTCTCCCCGCGCCCGGACTCGATCGGAACTTCGACTCATCACAAAAGCATATCATCGTGCCCCGTATATCGCGGGTTCCTGATATCTCCTCCGACCTCTACACGAGATAACCGCCGGATGAGAGAAATCTGCCTGTTCTACCTACTGTATGGATGGATGCGTGGCCTCGGAATGAGGTCAATCCCACCTCTGAGATTGGCCGAGCCACAGCTTCGAACGGCTAGTCTAGTCCCCGCCGGGCTTAGTGCTGCTGCGTTGGGAAAGGTGCAGCCTTCAATGCCGCCCTGCAATTCGAATCCTGCAACAACATCGAACTGTACTGCTGTCCCCTGTCTGCAGCCTAAAAAAGGTATACTCCTAGGAATTGAGTCGCTAGACTACTCTTTCTGTGAATCAACTACCGCGTTATCCCAGAGTATGCACCGATGCACCGATGTAAGGGAGAAGACGGTGTACAACCCCGAAGCTGTTATGAGTACAATGGCATTGAATGACAAATGCACTTCCAGGGACGGCGATATCTCCCATCCGCCGACAATGGATCCCCGCCATCAAGTCAGGAAGCCCACCACAAAACTACAAGTATACCAGTCATCCTGAGTAGACAGACCAGCCGATCATCACAATCCAGAATCATGAAACAACAGGTTGATGAAACCAGATCCCAGAACCCAACACTTCCGAATCATGACTATGGCATACAATCACGCAATACAAGCTCCTCCACCAGCGAACCCCAACCCTGATATACGAAGGTGATCCAAACCAACACCTCCCTATCCGACTTTCAAACCGTATGACCACCCCCCAGCACGATTCCTCCACCTTCCATGATGCGATAGAAGATCTTCAAGCCCGGATCCTTACCCTTCCGGGTATAAACAATCTCGACCGCTCCACCGCGGTGGCGAGTTACGTAGTCACCACGGCCCTCAGTACCATTCTCATAGCAAGAGCACCGCAACATGCGGTAGAACAATTCCACCACCACACGATAACTCCTCCATACGTAACCGTATAATCAGGTAGGCATGGCAGCCTGTGCCCTGTGGCATACTTACATGCATGGCGCATGCATGCATGTACATGTGATTGGTTACAAAGAAGCGGTAAGGGGAGAGGGACAGCTGGCCAGGGAGGTTCGAGGACTAGGTAGTTAGCCGGGCGCTGATGAGTTGAACAGATTTCTTGGGAGGTCTATTCGTATCAGCCAGCAATCACATTGTGCTTCTTCTCTGGCTCTCTCAGCAGGAGTGGGCTCGAGTCCTATAGAATAGGAGGGAAGGGTGGGCATCGTGGTATCGGCAATTGAACAAACCCGACCACCCCCCAACAAGACCACGTGCAACTCATTCAGCCATGGATAAGGAATGGAAACAAGTACTCGAACTTACCACATATCAAGATGATACGAGCAGCATGCGCCTCCTACCATTTCCCCTGTGTAAATTAGCACCTCAATTGACCTCCAATCTCAAACGCAGTACGGAGGTCCTCCGTACGAAGTAGATCTGGCATCTTTCCATCGCTCTGCCTGAATCATTCTTCCAACATCGGTGACCCATGTGACTTGCGTCGTAACTCCCAAATCCTACCTTCCATTCCCGCTATCAGCAAGATGCTAACTCCCTTCAAGTAACAAAGTTTCGAGTCTCCCCCTTTGAATGTCAAGATCTTGAGATCTTGCATGGGAAGGTTGGGCGCAAGCAGAGGTACAATTTACCGATACTGCGTACCCGTACCCGTACCCGTACCCGTAATACCAATCTTCCAGGCACTAGACTCCATTCAGAAAAGCTCAGGGTGGAGCGCGCGGCGGGCTTACTACACGATCGGCCCTCCGCCACAACTAACGAACGCAGAGCCCCATTGGCCAATGCGGACGACGACTTTTTCTCGTGCCAAATGGGGGGACCTGCACCCCGCAATCATGGATCTATTGTATCGTATCAATGGGCGGGCTTGGTACTGTACCTACTGGTAGCCGTCCCTACACTACCTACATCGGAGATACTCTAGTTGAAGCTTGCAGATACTTTGAGGTCATGTGCTACCCAATAGTGAGGTCTGTGGCCCCTTGCTGAAGATTGAGGGAATCATGACTATCTCGATCTATGTGGTCACATGATACGTCGAGAAGTTGACCCCCTCTGTCGGGGGGAAGCGGAGCTGGGGGTCTCGGGCAATAACTATGGATATCCTCACAAAGAGAATTGGGAAGATATCGCCACCCGGAGACAAGTCGCCCGCAATCTCGGATCTTTCTGCCCGCTCCGTTGCGCAACCGCGGATCATCTCATCGTTTTTTGGGACATGAAGACAATTTAGGAAAGGGAAAAGGCCAGGTGGCCAGTATATGAGTGGATTGGTGAATTGACTCAGCGATAAGAGAACCTGAAACTCCAAACAAATACACAAGACGTGATGGTATCAAACAGATATTCGTAACAAAATCTCTCTCTTGCGGGACTTTCAGCCTATCTTCCTCAGGTGATGATCCAATTCAGGTGCCAGGATATGGTTCTATCTTTGGAGTGGTCGGTTTCGGCTCGGACCTGGTCCAAATCGAAAGCCTGGACTTGCTCCGTTTAGGTTTCGAGATTGACGACTCCCCGGGGGTCTCGTTCTCTTGACTCTCCTGGCGATCTTCTGCAGCGGGGCTGGTGGCTGCGGCTGCTGTATGGCGTGCATGTTGTGCCTCCTCGATCCCCTGTCGGATTTCCGTGGCAGACGCTCCCTGCGGCGCGGTGGTGGTCAAGGTCTCCGTGGCCCGGATTCTGTCTTGGTCCGTGGAGTTCTCGTCATTCAACTTCTCGATCTCTGCTTCAGTGACTAAACGCTCGTTCTCCAACCGAACCTCACGGCCGCGCTTGTGGCAGTACCAAAGAACAAACAATAGGACTGCTGAAGTCAGTGACGAGATAATCTATGATGTAGGATGAAAATGGCAACTTACTGGTCAAAGCCAACGACCATAACACATTGAGCCCCAGCACGGCCGGGAATCGCGCCCGGAGAAATGCCACAATCGAGCGTAGCATCCCAACCAGCGCGGCCGGTTTCCCCACCAGCTCTTTCAAGGTCGGCACCTTGATGCCCATCTTGTTGGCGGCCGCGGCTGCTTTGCCCACATTCTCGACGTTGAGGCCGCTCTGACTGGCTTTGGCGGTGGCCGCCGCGAGCACCTCCGGCGCCAGAGTCTCCGTCCACTTCTCGGGCAGTTTCTGGATCAGCTTCTGGATGAACCCGGGCAGCTGGGAGTACGTGCTCTGCAGCTGCTTGTTCCCGTTGGTGAGCAGCATCTCGAGGTCATGGTAGGCGGTGGGCACGCCGTTGACGAGGTCCTTGAAGATCAGGGTGAACTTGCGCAACAACTCCCGCGTTTCATTGCTCATCGAGAACACGCGATTGTTCTCTGCTGCCAGGTTCAACCGCTCCAAAATCTCTGTCATATCTTCCTTCTCCTGGTCGACTTCAGTTTTGTCCGTCTCTGCGGCCTGCTGGGCCTCGCTCGGCTTGTTGTCTGCTTTGGTAGGCGCTTCATTCGTAGTTGCGGCTTCCTATAAGGCAATTGTTAATGCACAGAAACAAATACAAGACGCACCAAAGTGCATGATGATACTATACCTTTTTCATGACCGTACTCCGTCGCCGCAGCCAATTCCACGGACCCTTCCTTTGCGGCGGCGAGGAACTCTCAACCTTGGCTGCTGCTGCTGCTGCTGCTGCTGCTGCCTCTGGCGCATTCGCACCAGCCGCACTCCCATTTCGTTCGGTAGTAGAAGCAGTAGCCTCCCGTGCCTTGCGTTCCTCCTCCCCCAGCTCCCTGCCGTATTCCTCCACCGGGGACACCGGGGACTGCGCCGCGGGAGGCTCTTGGACCTCCGTCCCCACCGGCGAGACGGGCGATGCCTGGCGATTCAGTTCGGTAGCTTGTGGGGCGGGTTCTTGGCTGCTGTTCGCAGGATCATTCATGATCCCGCGTAGAAAGGCTTCATCCTCGTCCGTCAGTACTGGGTCATGGGGCTGGGGTGGTGGTTGTTGTTGTTGTTGTTGTCGCATGGACGCACGCCTCCAGGTTTTGAATTGCTGCATGATTGGGACTTATCGCATATTCTTTGGACTATGTTATCAAATGGTTGGAGTACTAATTTTCTTTGTCGGAGCAAAAAGATCTTAGAACATGCGAGATAGATAAATAGGCAGGATGCGGAAAAGGGAGCCGTTTGCCAGGGGACGCAGGCGGATGGGAAGGGAGGGAGGGAATATGCGTGGGTGGGACAAGGCAAGTATGGAACGGTCTACTCCACTTGCGCGCGTGGAGGATGATCCAGATAAGGATGAACGCTGAGAGTACGGGTGCTTGCTTGATGTTATGCTTGAATCTCGAAGATTTTTATGATGGTGAAAGATTTGCAGGAGAACCCAGCGAAGAAAATAATGATCTTGGACGCGCCAGCCTAGTAATCTGATGAGGGGGGAAGGGAAAGGCGCTCGCTCGCTCGCTCGCTCATGGGCGATTGCGATGATATCACCCTTTCAAGGACCGCGTCACATGCAAGGGTCCCCGCATGTGCCACGCGCCACCGCCACATGCTCGGTGCATGCACCGCCACAATCTGGTTATCCGGCACGATATGAGGTTGGGATCGTCAGTTGGTCTGTTCTCAACTCTATTCTGCACGGACTTTTGCGTATCCGACAAACGAATCTTATTAGTCTCAGCAATCTATGGAAGCAATCTGCATAACACACTCGGAGAGCAACACATTAAAAGCACCCAAAGAGACCCGAAGCGCAGCAAGCATGCAGCCCAGTCCATGTTGCGCTCCTTATGCCAAATGCCTTCTGAGAGCGAGCGCAGTTCTTTCTGCAGTGCCTCCATCCCGGAGACCATCGATGCGGCTGTCTTCTTGTCGTCGATGCTACCACTACTGCTGTTGAGAAAAAGAGCGTCATGCTCCGCTTGGAGCCTGGCTTCTCGCTGGACATGGAAGCGCAGCTTGGTCTCCGCTTCGATGTAATCTAGTATCAATTGGTTTACGTTGCGCGAGTGCCATTCGTGCTGCCACCGGCGGAGCTTTTGTGCGGCTTTCCGAGAGCTTTGAACTCGCCGGGAATTCTGGGACCTGTTTAAAGAGCCTCATCTGCGCTTGCACTGAAGCAACGGGCTTATCATTCCGCATTTGCGGAAGCTCATTCGGCCTTCTGGAATCAATTTGCTCCGTTAGCAGACGGATGCAAGCCCTGAATGGCAGGGTGTCCATCCCACCAGCGAGTAGGGGGGCTGATGCACCACGTGCAACCTTTTGAGAGGTCGTTGGCCAGTATCAACCCCCCCTAGTCGCCGATGACTTTCAATCCGGAGTACAAAACCCGAACGGACAGACCCCTTTCCTTGGATGCTTGACAATATCATGCAGGGCAAAACAGATAATACCGGCATTATACGCTGCGCAGTAGGTCGTCTTCGATAACTATCCCGTTATCTCGATCTGTGACAGGATATGTCCTAAAATCCGACATATGGATGGCATGAAACCCCCCCGAAATGACCTTGACGTCGTCACTGCCAGAGCCTGCCTGCACACTATCCCGAAAAGGTCGAGGATTCTTGACCGATGTTCTGGCCGCAGCCGATGCAGTAGTACTCTAGGGTTTTAGCCAAAAATACTCTCCAAAAGCTTGATTCGGTGCCTACCTGAAGCTTCTCGTTAACCCAATAGAAATCAAAATGGTCTCCGTCTGAGGAGGGTTTTGCCTCCTGGTGTTGTGCAGTTTGTTGAAGCACATGCTCACTCAGGTTCGACAGGACTAGCCATTGATTGTTGGGGTCGATAGTAGTGCCCGGGCCGATTCCGCTGCGTGGAAACCAGCGAGATTAGAATTCTAAAACTAGCTCAACTAGCTGGTAAAAACGGTGCCAGCTGCAGAAGCAGATGCGCACACAGTCAAGCTTTAGGAGTTGAGGTACGGTCTGACCAAGCCCAAGGCGCGTTAGCCATGGGTGGAGACAAGATGCTCAGGCCCGGTGTATAATCGTGAAGACTGACGGCAAAAGATGCTTGTGAGGTAATGCCACCACCGGGTCTCAGGAAGTGCGTCAGAATCGGCTGGAAGTCGAATTCGAAATTCGTAGATGGACTCAAAATCCGACCCCGGATCGGTGTCGATCTCAGGATACAGAGTTGGTAGACCGGGAAAGTGAGTTCTTTGTTGGTTTCGCTGAGGACTGCTGCCTTACAACTCGACTCTTGTTTAAAGCCAGTCGGCAGGCCAGATTGTTTCTGGGGGTTACATAGCCTAGCAAACAGAGACGTCTCAACTGCTGAATAAACTCGTTCCAATACAAAGCGTCTCTCAAGCTCATTGGGAGACACTCAGGGTTGCCAGGATGAGGATGAGCAAAGCAGGTATCATAGGAGACCTTTGATATGACTAAGATGGAGTAAGTGTATCAAAGACCGAAGATATGTTGGTTGAGTTAAACATACACTTAGTATGAGAGGAAGAGATGCTTGCTGGAGGAGCTGTGGGAGAAGATAGGGGACGAGAGAAGGACAGAAGGACTGGATAAGTTGATATCTGAGAATATTCAATAAGCTAGGGCTATCATACAGGGTGAATATGGACGATATGCCGCCTGCCAAGTTCTACAATGTAGGCCGCCTACCACCAGTGAATTACACAATAGCACCTCAATTGAATGATCAGAGCCAATTGACTGAACAACCATTCACTTAGTCTAATTTAACACCCCCTCTCGAGAATTTCACAAGGGACTTGGCTGCCAATCTGTTCTAGGGCAAAATTGTCACTATCCCGGCTCTTGACAGCTGACCCGCCGGCCTCGTGTCGGGTTCGGCCTGTGCCGCTTCTCACCCGGCGCTAGTTGGATCCTGTTAGTCTCTATATAGAAGCTGTAATATGCCCCTGAGTCATCGTCTTTTTTCCTATCCTAACAACAAATCTGCTAACAAACACCGCAATTCTACCTACACTTTACAAAGATCAAACCCCAAGAATGGCGCGCGATACCCCATCCGAGCTCCTAGCCGCCAACCCCCTAGACCTGACCCCCTACGAATCTCTCTACAAGCATTTCCACGCGCACCCCGAACTCTCCAAGAGAGAAAAAGCCACTGCCGAAAGGGTAGCAGCTCATCTTGCGCAGTGGGATGCTTTCGAGATCCACACCCAGATCGGGGGCCACGGAGTCGCCGGGGTCCTGCGCAACGGGCCGGGAAAGGCCGTGCTTCTGCGGGCGGACATGGACGCTCTCCCCGTGCAAGAGATCACGGGATTACCCTATGCCAGCACGGTGACGATGCAGGACGCCAGCGGCGTGGAGAAGCCGGCCATGCACGCCTGCGGCCACGACATGCATATCACGTGTCTGCTGGCGGCCGCCGAACGGCTAGTGCGGATGCGGTCCGAATGGAGTGGAACGCTGATTGTGGTGTTTCAGCCGGATGAGGAGCGCGGGGAGGGTGCCCGCGCGATGGTCGACGACGGTCTGTACGACAGGGTCCCCGTGCCGGATTATGTCTTCGGCCAGCATGTGATGCGCATGCGCGCGGGGAGCGTGGGCTCGCGCCCGGGGACCATCATGGCTGCGGCGGATAGCTTGAAGATCACGCTGTTTGGCCGTGGGGGCCACGGGTCCCTGCCGCATCAGACGGTGGATCCGGTGCTGCTGGCGGCGAATGTAGTGGTGCGGCTGCAGGGGATCGTGAGCCGCGAGATCGACCCCAGTGATCTGGCCGTCGTGACCGTCGGGAGCCTGCAGGCAGGCCAGGCGGAGAATGTCATCCCGGACACCGCCGAGTTGGGTGTGGATTTCCGCTCGGTGAGCGTGGAGACCCGCGACAAGATCCTCGCCGCCATCAAGCGTATCGTCGAGGCCGAGTGCATGGCCAGTGGTTCACCACGGCCTCCGGTCTTCACGCCCACCCGACACTTCCCACCCACGATCAATGACAAGGAAGTCGCGGCGGAGCTGGCTTCTTGCTTTGCGGAGCATTTTGCAGACGAGTTTGACGCCGACACACCTCGGACTAATGTCAGCGAGGACTTCTCAATCCTTGGCACCAGCCAGGGCCGTCCATGCTCGTTTTGGTTCTTTGGCGGCATCGATCCGGAGGTGTGGGACGAGGCAGAAAGCAAAGATTGCCTCCATGAGATTGCTGGCAATCATTCGGCCTCATTTGCTCCGGCGATCCAGCCTACGATGAAGACGGGAATGGACGCGCTTTGTGTCGCGGCGTTGACGTACCTGAGGAAGTAGACCTCCTGAATGTCAGAGCTATGCATATAAAACGATTAATACAATCTCTCCCTCAATCCTGAGCCCTATTGCGTAGAGATGGATGAAAGGATTCCGGGGTTCACTTTGGCAACGATTCATTTGAAGTCGCTGTTTGCGGAGGTCTCATTTTGTTTATCGGCGATGTCGGATGTGGCGGGATAACAAGTGTGAAATCGGATTGAGAGTGGACCAAGTCAATGCAGTCAAGAATAGGCATGGAGTGAATGAGGAAAGGAAGAGAGGGGGGAGAAGAGAGGGGAGAGGGGGAGAGAGAGGCGGTAGACTTATGGAACGAGGCACGAGCTGCGCTATACCGGAAAAGAAAGACATGGCAGAAACCTGCGCTGGAGCCTGGAGCATAGAGAGGTTCATATGCAGACGGTTTGCATACTCAAATGTGAGAAGTAAGAGACTATATAAATGGATCTTGTGGATGCAGAGCCCATGTACCTTGAGGTTTTATACAATCTATCCACTCCATTGCAACTCTCCGATTTCTCCAGGTCACGTCAACTACACCAACAAACCCAGTAGTTACCAAAAAAATCAATAACAGAGAGCAAAGCGAGTTTGAATCGCAGAAGAAATACATTTTCAGTATCGCCCACACTCAGTTCAAGCCCATTCCAACAGCACGCTATCATAAATCCATCCGCGAAACAGCGTCGACTTGGTAATCGTGAACTCCACGGAGTTGGTCCCATTGCGGAGCGCATCTGCCGTGACTGGAAACTCCAGCAGATGCCACTCACCCGCCAAGGTGCCACACCGATAACTACTAGGGTCACTAGCAAGAACACTTGAGCTGATCGTTCCGACGGAAGCCCCATTCACGGAGACCGTAGCCGAGCTCCCTGCGCTAAAACCAGCCAGCGCAACTGACAGGACCGCTGTCCGTCCCTGGGACGTCGAGTTGCGGGGAAGATCGAACTCCACCGTCCACGTACCCAGCGATGACTGTTCGAAGCACCAGTCCTTACTCTGGCTCTTCCCCACGGTGAAAGTCCGGTTGGCTGGGCAGTTGAGCCCCCTCGCGAATTCATGGGGAGCCCCGCTGTAGGCAAAGCCGGTGGCCGTGCGGTCGACTTCCCCAATCTGCCAGATGACCTCGCGGCCTTGCGGAGCCCAAGTCACGTCCCCTAGCCACAAGGCTTCGCCGCTGTGGACGGAAATGTCGTTCTTCTCGAGGACGGTGGTCACTCCGCCTGCCGCGTCGCCTCCAGCAGCGAAGACACGAAGGCCCCATGTGCCCTCGCGGACATTCTCCAAGGTGAAATACCCGTTCTCATCGGCATAGGTCCGGTAGTAGTACCAAGCTCCTTGGTCCAACGTGCTAGTATTGGATTGATTATCACCCAAGAAAACTGCCGCCCCGCTCGCAGCCTGGCCGTCGGAGAGCACGATGCGTCCTCGAAGACTGCCGCGGGAATGGTATCCATGGCTATCCTGCATCCAGTCGTACGGCCAAGCCGCAATCTCCTGCTTAGCGCGAGTTGCCGCATCTTCGATGGAGCCATCATTCTGTCACGACTGTCAGATATGTTGAAGCCGCTGGCTACGGAGAGCATTGTGGGCGAAGCTTACCAGGTACCACAACCACGGACCCCAGGTCTTACCTTCTGGGAACACGTCGCTGCTGACGGCCTGATAGTGCGTTCCATGAATCATGTTCAGCTGCACCGCATCTCCAGTCTGACTTTCCCGGTGCACCAACAACTCCTGCTTCAGATGGTTGCCGTTGAGATAGTCTTTGCCCCCATGAATATACCACGAGCCCACTTGCTCGCCACTCGCCTCTTGGCCACCCAGCGGCCCGTAGAGTCCCCAGAGAGCGGACTGCCCTTCAATTACCGGCAAGAAGGTTGCAAAATCATATTTTGTAATGTACGTGCCGTCAGCTTGCTGCCAAGTCTCATCCTGGATCTTGACGGCATTCACAATGTCCGACAGGGGGGGCAGAGCCTCGTTCCTCTCGTCTGTCCACCCGTGGGTAAAGCTATCGTTTGCAAGCCGCCAGAGCGTACGAAATTCACCGAGAGTAGGTAAGGCTTTGTTCACAAAGTACTGATATGCGCCCGTCAACGTGGGCGTCAGGACCCAATGGAATTCCCCCTCTGTCGCTGTAAAGACGATATCGGTGTAGTCGCCGGTGACTTTGTGTATCCGGGCATTGGTAAGATTCAAGTCGCTTTGGGCTCCATCTGAACCAAAGGTTAGATGTAAACTAAGAGGTACAATGAACGCGGACAGAGGAGAGAAGGAAGGGGGACCATACTGTAGGACACATAGTGACCCCAAGCGTCACCCACAAGGTCAACATTCTTATAGTAGAGCTTGGTGCCATACTGACGACCAATGGTGGCATTCCAGAAGTCATTTCCAATGATAGCCGTTTCATCGTCCACATTGATCAGAAATGGTGGCTTCGGATTCGACCGGGCCACCGGCGAGGCGGACGATAGTAAGCCCAAGGCCAACCCAGTCACGACAGATGCCAACATGATGCAGTTTGGCTCTCTGAATGGGAATCACTGGACTGGATACGGTACCGCTGTATCTTTATGGTCCAACTATTCCCTCTTCCCGCCGCCCGCCAAGCAAGTGAAGGTGCATTGTGTATAGAACGAGCCGGATATGAATTACCCCGAGCTCTCGTGGGGAGGCGCACATGGTGCAGGGCCAAGAGTTGAGCAGTTTGGTTCCCTGCAGGTCCTCCGGCGGAGTGACCAGTGTAATTCGGTGATTGCCGGTTTCCCCCAGTGTTTCCCCGCCTTCCAAGACATGCAGGTGCGTGAACCTGCTTCCCCAGTCTTCTTGGCACGGGTCCTCCGCGAGCGATGCTTGATTGTTCTTCCACCACACAGGTCAGCTGCTTTTGTCGACTCGGGCTAATAAGAGGCGACCTTGGTGAGCTGGAAATGAGAAGAATTGTAAGGTACAGTAAAGAAGATGGATACCTTGGCATGGACTCTGGGTTGGCTCATGACGTTCTTGCGCACATGTTCCGCGACAATCGATTTGCTGTTAACACAAATGTAGAGACATCCTTGTAGCAATAACTCTTGGCGCTAATAGTCTGCTCATAGGTCCAAGATTGCCAGTCCCAGATCTCCTCTATCTTCCTCTGGAGCAGAAGCCTATGCCTCGAATCGGATTCGAATTCAGGATCCTCCTATTCTGGTGAGTGCTTGGCGCGAACGACTTGATGTAATCCCAGTAAGATGAGAGGGCGGAAGTAGGAGCTCCTCCAACTCATCTGTATGGGACATCAGCGATGTCCCGGACTCGATTCGTTCGAGTCTAGCATCGGGATTTGTGTCTGAAGAGAAGAGTTCCGAGCGAATTGGGCGGCGAAGAGACGAAAGAGCTCAGTCAAGCTTGGTCTTTCGACTCGAGAGGCGATTGCGATGACACCCTAGATGATGGTATTATCAGAAGCTATTCCGCCCCACGTGCACCAGGACATCCTCGCCCACTAATACTCACATGTCCTCGAATCGTCGGAGCTGGACACCAGGAACAACATTGTGCTTGAATCGTCTTGTCAAACCCTCTGACCTCATATTCTGAAAGTTTGCAGGTCACAGGCAGACCATATTTGGCGATAGCATGTTTGCCTGTAGCCCGCCGTCTTGAGTCCGCGATCATTGCTGGCAAGCAATCGTGGGGCACTTTCGAAGACGATTGCTTCGTCGTGCATTGCTGGCAATTGACGGATGTGTGTTCAACGATGAATATGCAAGGGGTGTAAGCGCCGGGCTTCTGTTTCTCCCGTAGAATGGATGAGGGCTAGAACGGGTCTGATGATGGCAGATTGAGATAGCACGACCTAAGGAAGCTGAAGAAAGTTATGCAGATGTTTAGTTGAATCGAGTTGGAGGGGATCTATCCATGATTGCGTGCGATAATAGCCAGTCAACAGCTCTAGATGAAAGCTGCCGAATGGTGTACCAAGCACGAAAGGCCTTTAGCGACGTTTGTAGAGAGGCAACATGGAAACAAGGCCAACACGCCTTCGCTTGCCAGCGCGCTTACCTGCGATCCATCACAGCCATAACCCTCCCAACTGAGGGCCGCCACCATATATACAGAATTTGTACAGATATAACGAAGGCATACATTAAAGAGAAAAAAAGAAACAGAAAAAAAAGTTGCCTGTTCTCATCCCCAGGACGGGGTGTATTAACCTATTCCGATTTCCGGACAACCACCGTCGCCCTCCCCAGGATTCGAACGCAGGACCTTCCGTATATTTGCGCGCAACAACTTGCCCACTACGCTATCGGCCCCGCAGGCTTACCAGGCTCAACCGACTTTCAAATATACCCTACCTGCGCTGTAACCTAGACAAGTAACTTTTGTGCGAGAAAATGCCGAAGTAGCTGGGGTCAGATGTCAGCCCTACGCTGAACTTCGTGACGATGGGGATTTTGATACTGGACTTAAATCAGCCATTCTGCTTGAATCGGGTAATCGAATATAGTCAGTCTTGCTACACTACATCTTCCTCAGTCTCAGTTAGAGGCAGAGAATCTCTGGTCCTAGCTAGGCTGCATCATTTTGCACAACTCTACTTGTTTATGTGACCATCGAAGTACTTCTCCACTTGTGCCACTTTCGGAAACTTCCATCTCTAAATACTTCAAGTATTGACCCTCCGATGCTTACTACAGCGAGTTTACGAAGAGCTCAACACAGGAAGTAGATAATAGATCAAGATAAGATGAAGATGAAGCGACAAAGTTGCATTCGCATGAAGACCAACAGATCGCTTGCAAGCAGTCTAGAATATCTATACAGCAATGAAATAAACACCTTCAAAAGCCAACCCAGTATATACCAAGACATAGAACAACATCATAACCATCTCGCTTTCTGGGCCATAACAGGAGAGGCCCCAGACCCGACAATGAACCTCTTTCCCCCTCCATGCCACAGAACCAACAATCAATATGGTATCACAGATCGGGTGAATCGGTTTCATACCGACGTAGGGTTGCGCAATATAGCTGTCGGGTCGAAGCCCTTCTTACCACCCCCCAGGGCCGCCGGGGCCACCGGGACCTCCAGGGCCTCCAGGGCCTCCAGGACCACCGCCGGGGCCGCCGGGGCCGCCAAAGCCTCCAGGGCCACCAGGGCCACCAGGGCCACCAAAGCCTCCAGGAGGCCCATCAGGACCGCAGCAGTCACCACAGCAGCAGAAGCAGTCAAGGCAGCAGCAACAACTATAAAGCATGTCAGCATAGTCCCGGGTATGCAGTGATCATTGGTCGCTTACTCGTCGCCAGGCCCAGGGGGGGGACCGCCACCACGCAACTGCATGTTCATCTGATTATCGGGCGTCTATGTCGCATGGCGTTAGTTGTACTCTGATCAATTGCGAAGGAATTGTGGTCCCACGTACGGGCTGCTCAGCAACAACAGCGTTGGTGGAAGGAGACTCGGGGCTCTGAGGTTGGACCATGGTCAATGTGTTCGGATCCCAAGTAGTCTGGGGCGCCGCCTCCTTCTTGGAGGAGCTGAACCAGCTGAAGAGACTGCCGCCGAACATTGTGTCAAGGATTTGTTCAAGTTTGAGTATGTATCTGTGATGTAGTGAGTTAGGACAAAAGAGAGGCGATTGCAGCGAAGGGAAACGGCCTTCATTTTAAAGGGGAGTATTAGAAAGTTGTAGAGGGAATCAATGGATCCTCGCTATAAGGTTGACCACTCAGCGAGCTGTCTGACATCTACTATTTACGGCGCGCCACACCGAGTATGGGGCGAGCCATACTTCAATTAGTTTGAGTGTCCAAACTGGTGCGTTGGCGTAGCAGCTTTCATCTCTTCTTCTCGGCCCAGAATTGGGTGAGGGTCATCGTTGTGGATCCATCCGATCGAGGCGTACGTATACTCCGTTAGGCAGACAATTTGTCCACCGCATGGATGATTGTGGCTGTCAACCACGTTTCATGACGTACTGGGCTGAAGAGCCATCGAATGTAGTTTAAGATGATATCGTTTTGGCTGCACGGTGACCTGTTGTGATAGCACCATATTCATGCATGGAAAAAGGGGGTGTTGTTGGCTGTAGAGCTTGTCCCGAAAAAGCTTCGCATGAGGGATGTCTCGGCAAATTTGCCAAGATATATAGAGTGGAAATGCTCATTTTTCTGCAGCCTACTAGACCGATAGATCGACCGGGTGACTTTCAAAAGGAGCCTGGCTAAGCCAATGGTCGCTCCATTCCAGAATGTCGAGCCGTATAATGTGAAAACCTTGGGGAAATGAATTTATGCGGATAATGGGGGCGGTATGCATGCTCTTAGAGGAATTCTTGGAGCAGTCGCCCGATGTTTCATCACAATCGAGGTCTATCCATCAGCGTAAAATCCATGTCTCAATAAGAGTCTAGATTTTAAGGCGCAGCACAGTAACCAAGTATGGCTCTAAACGGCCGACGCGTAGTCGAAGTATCAATCAGTCTCAGCCACAGTGCGATGTCGGGGGCCTCGGGGCGAGCCAATGACTAAGCGGCATATAGAAAGACCATCTCATCGTCCCAACAGGAGTGGGCAACAGTAACGAGCCAGGGACAAGTACGGCTTCCTTGGACCCTGTGATTCATGATTTTTCGCACGGTGGCTTGCGTGGTCGCCAGATCTGTATTGAGGTGGCTCTACTTCAGACTTGTAGCAGTCGTGGGGCGGCAATAAATTCTCTACGGCAACATCCTGCCCAAGTCGTTGATATGCCCACAATACTGTTAAAACGTGCCGATCATAGATGCAAGTAACGAAAACATGCGAACGATGCCGTCTTTTGTAAAGTCTATAGCCATCGAAATTGATTTATGCTTGTTCGACCGGACAGCTAAGTGAGGTGGGTGGCCAACAAAAGTAGCATCGGTGTTAAGATAGATGGTTGATGAGTCTAGTTGTTTGTATGGGGTGAAAGACAGGGCCAGCCCGCAAAGCAGCCAACAGCAAAGATTAGAGTATGATTTTTAGGAGAACAGCTGCTGCTCCACGTCAGAAGAATAGGGTTCCGAGGGCAGGGCTTTGTAGAGCTTCTGTTTGGTCGGAAAAGGGTCCCCAGTATCAGGGTGTCTGTTCGGGATGCACAGACCGAATTCGCAGAAGCTGGTATATAGCATCCGTGCAATAGCACTTGGTGATTTTAGCTCTCGGTCCAGAATTTGACTGGGAGCTTTCAATGAGCTTTCAGTGAGTCTGTTGCCGTCTAAGGCAGAGTGACTAGTGTGTATCGACAGGACTAGTAGAATATTGGGCAACGGAGCCAAAGAACTGCAAAATATATAGAGCGAGGGAAAATTTGGCAGCACGTTTCGCTGTAAAGATGATCGTCCAATGCACAGACGAGCTGGCCTTTCATGGTCGAACCTACCAAGAATTATCGGTCGCTTCGAAGTGAATGTGTAGTTGGGTAGTGTGACTTAATCCACGACCTCGATTCCAAGCGATGTCAAAGGCTACAACCCTGCGAACTCTGTTAAGGCCATCAGGTGGGGAGAGAAGCAGTTTCTGGGGACTATCCCTGTATTAAAGATAGGGACCATATTCCAAATCATCAGTGCCAAAACATTGAGTCTTAAACATCATAAGACTGTTGTCAGCGACATAAAGTTCAAAATCCTATTGATTGAATGCCACCAGTGCTAATTGTTGCTGAAGCGATCTACCAAGTGAAGGCGGACTATAACAAGGCATAAAAGGTCATGGATCACGTGGTGCGGGAGTGGAGGCTCTTCCCTGAACTTCCCGAACCTCAAATCTCAGATTCTGGTCCTGCAATTGCGCGACGATCTAACGTCTCCGGCTCTTGAACCACCCGCCATTGGACCCCCTTCGTCCTCTATCTAGCGACTTTGATCAGTCACTCTCTCCCCTTCTCGTCTTTCTTCTTTCCAAGGGTTTTCAAGATGTCCGCCCCGGCGTCCCGTGCCGTCCTCCGGCAATCGCAGTTCCTGGCTCGCAGGACCGCAGTCAGACACGCCTCTTCCACCTCGGAAGCCGCTTCCAAGGCTGGCGAGGCTGCTTCGTCCACTGCCTCCAAGGCCTCTGAGGGCCTCTCTCGTGTTCAATCCTCGGCTGGTCCCGCCATCTCCAACGCTGCTCAGGGTCTCGGTAACGCCCTGAAGAAGGTTGGTGGAAGAACCGGAAAGGTCATCTCTTTCGTCGAGAGTAAGCGAGCTCCCCTGCCCTCAGGCCTTTAGATGCTATATATCCTTCTTCTTTCTTCCTGGCTGCTGTGGTACGACAGTCAGTGCCATGGCAGCTCTGTTCGCCATAGCCGGATGTGGAGAGGATGCTTTCGGATATCACAAATACCCATGTTCGATCTGTCCATTGCTAATCAAATATCTTTGCAATATAGGCATGATCCCCCCCACCGTCTACTACAGCAAAGTCGGTCTCGAGCTCGCCAAGCTGGTCTTCCGTGGACAGAACATGACTCCTCCGTAAGCGCTCCCCAGACTCAGTCCGGGCCCCGGAGAAGCACCACAGGCATTGTTGCTCACACCGATATCTAGGAACGTCGCCACTTTCCAGGCCTACCTCGAGCCCTTGATCCGCAACCCCACGAACTCCGCTTTCGCTCCCTCGAACATCATTGCCCGGATCCGCAACGCCAACAAGAAGGAGCTCGCCTTCGCCGGTGTCACCGCCGCGGAGGTCATCGGTTTCTTCACCGTCGGGGAGATGATCGGTCGGATGAACATCATCGGCTACCGGGGAGAGCCTGAGCACGCCGGACACCATTAGATAAATACCACGCAGTTGTGCCTTAGCCTGTCTTCCTTCCCTTTTACACAAACAATCCCCCCCCGTTTCCTTTGTGCGCTGTACTATTGTATGATAGACGATGGAATTCAACTGTTGTCTGAGGTGACTGGTGTACTCGTTTTTTTCCCTCTGTCAGTGGAACATGTTTGCTTTTGTTTCCAAAAAGTGTTTGGGTATCAAAAGCCTTGCTGGAAGTGTGTGCGTCCGGTTAGAAGATAGACTTGTTCCACCTGCGCTCGAATGTTCTTAGATATCTTTTTGAATTACATGTGCCTTGTTCGAAGTGACAGTTTTCCGGATCAACCCTATCGCGACCATCGTAGAAAGAATCTGGTTGCAATGAGGATTCCGAGCACGAAAGGGATATCAAGGAGATAAGAACGATGGGCCCACAAAGATAACCGCCATATGATAATGTACGGCGTCTATGAGAGCGGTTCTACCTCGCCACCGTATCTCATTTCTTCATCTTGAATTGTCCGTAACCCCCTATCCATCGAGTCCACTAAGCATAATCCCGTAGAATGGACAAACTAACCATCGATTGTGAACTTCTGTGATGGACAAACCGAAAGCGAAGCCTCAGGAAGAGAGGCCAGGCCCCTCTCTGATTGGCCCGTGCGGGAGAATTGGAACATCGAACTTTTTTTTTCCCGGACAACCACAAAAAAAAGCCGCGGAGGAACCTGACCAACTCCAACGGTCATTTTCAAATAACAACGAGCAACAAAGGGGCGCGCATATTCTCGAGCCCTCGATTCTGCCTAATAAAACCCCTAGTCGCAGGGTCTTGTAAAATCGCGACGCAAGAAATGGATGCCTTCAAGCTCTTGACGCGAGCCACCAAATTGAAGACCGGTACCGCTAGTAGTACCCTCTCTTCAACTCTGCCCTCTAAAGGCAAGGCGCAAACCCCCCAGCTGTTCCACGCCTCGGAGGCCGAGGAACTGCTGCGGAAGGATGGTGGCGTCAGCGCCAGCGCGAGCAAAAAGCGCAAGAGAACCCATGCGCCGGCCGCGGCGTCGGATTCGGAGGATGATGATGATGACGACGACGACCTGCCAGGGTTAGATTTCTTCGGCGCAGGCAAAAGCTCGGCCTCAACGGCCAAGAAGGAGCGGGCTGCGGCGGCCAAGGAGCAAGAGGTGGAGGAAGAAGAGGAAGAGGGCGAGTCGATGGATGAAGTACAGCGGCGCACGATCTTGAACACGCACAAGATTAAGGTCACGGACATGCGGGACCTGGAGGAGGTGCAGCAAGCGGCGGCAGCGCCGGCGGCGGCGGAGGAAGGGGATGAGTCCAAGAAGAAAAAGAAGAAGAAGAGAAAGCAAGAAAAAGAGAGCTCCTCGTTGGCGCAACCGCTCACGAAGAAGGAGCTTAAGAAGGCACGCCAGTTGTTCCCGCAACCTTTGGTCTCGTTCAAGGAGCTGCGCACCAGGTACAACATCTCTCGCCGGCTGGCGGAGAACATCGCCGAGCAAGGGTTTACGGTCCCCACGGAGGTTCAGTTGGGGAGCTTGCCTTTGTTGCTGGGGGATCAGTCGGTTGCCCAGAAAGCGGGTACGACGGGCACTGTTGAGCCTGATCTTCTGGTGGTGGCGCCGACGGGCAGTGGTAAGACGTTGTCTTTCATGATCCCCGTCATTAACAAGATTGTTCGACACCATCACCAGCAGCAGGAGGAGCGTGGTATCTTCGCTGTTGTTGTTGCTCCGACGAAGGAGCTTGCGAGTCAGATCGTCAACGAAGGACGGAAACTGGCGCTCGGAACTGGTGTCAAGATCACTCTGATGAAGAAGGGTATGCGCTTTGTCGAACGCGACGATGAGGGCGCCGACGCTAAGGATGTTCTGGATGAGCAGAGTGAGGAGGAATCTTCTGGATCTGAGGACGAAGAGCAGGAGACGGCGAAGAGCAGCAAGGGGAAAGCCCCCGTTACCAAGAGTGACGTCCTCGTCACGACGCCATTGATGTTGGTTAATGCACTTTCGGCAAACAAGACCAAGCCCATGGCGACCTTGCCTTTGGTAAGGAACATTGTCCTGGATGAAGCCGATGTCCTGTTGGACCCTCTCTTCCGCGAGCAAACGCTCGATATCTGGCGAGCATGCACGCACCCTGAACTCCGGGCAAGCTTGTGGTCTGCTACCATGGGCTCAAACATCGAAGACCTGGCCAAATCTACCATCAAGGAGCGCAAAGATATGTTGAGCACGACTAAGTCTTATCCTCTCCTCCGTCTCGTTGTGGGACTGAAGGACTCCGCTATCCCGAACATCAAACACAAGCTGGTCTACGCCGCAACAGAACAAGGAAAGCTGCTTGGTCTCAGACAACTCCTCCACCCTGCGGCAGCAGCGGCGTCAGATGTTCGTCTTCGACCCCCCTTCCTCATTTTCACCCAGACTATTCCTCGTGCCATTGCCCTCCACTCCGAACTGCGCTACGACATTCCGGCTGAAGCCGGTGGCTCTTCGCGCATCGCCGTTCTTCACTCCGATCTGTCCGACAACCAGCGGTCCGACATCATGAGACTGTTCCGCAAGGGCGAGATCTGGATTCTTGTGACGACCGATTTGCTAGCTCGTGGTGTTGACTTCCGAGGCATCAATGGTGTGGTCAACTACGATATCCCCAATTCCGCCGCCGTGTACGTCCACCGTGTCGGACGAACAGGCAGAGCGGGCCGTGAAGGCGGCATCGCAGTGACATATTACACCAAGGAAGATATTCCCTATGTCAAGAGTATCGCCAACGTCATCGACGTCAGTGAGAAACTACGCGGGACCACGGAGGAGAAGTCTGTACAGAAATGGTTGCTGGACGCGCTCCCCGACCTCAGTAAGAGAAGCAAGCAAGAGTTGAAGAAGCACGGTGTCAAGGCCCGACAATCCAAGAAGGACGGCAAAGAGGACAAGAAGACGAGAATCAGCACCAAGAGTGGTTACGAACGACGGATAGAGAACAAGAGAAAGGGCGCAATCGAAGCCAGCCGAACCAGGAAGACCGACCCACAATCGGCCGCTGCAGATGCTACCAGCGACAACGAGGCCTGGGATGGTCTCGACGACTAGTGCGCATCCCTGTACCAAAAGCAACTTTTCCAATCAAACTACTCACTTACGATTCCCCCCACCTCGCGAACCCCTTTCTTGGTTTCTTAGAATTCATGTATTATTGCTTTTATTCTTATCGTCAGGCTGCTCGATCAAATTCCTCTTCAGCCGTAGCAACAGATACTCATTGTCCAGCTTTCCTTGCTCCTCCAAGACCCCCTCCAGCTCATCCCCATCCCGGTCGAAGTACACTCCCCACGAGCCGTCGTCTTCCTTGACCGCGACAAACTGCCGGCTCCCCTCCAGCGTCAAGGTCGTCTCATCGTCCACCCAATCCCACGGCCCGATCACATGCTCGCAACTCTGCGTCCGGTTCCCATACTTGAGCTCATGCGTATCCTTATCCGCGTAGATCCACCCCAACATCGGCGGATTGTCCGAGATCGACGTCGCGACGCCGAGCCCGCGCTTCAGATGTTTCATGTGATCGAACTCCGGGTACTCGATGTAGAATGCTTGGGCGGTATGCGCGGGGGTTTCTCGTTTCGTGGGATCGGGGTCGTCAAGAAAAACCTTGATTGTTAAAGTAAGAGGCAATGTTAGCTAGCTCATATCGCAGCGCGACGACCTTTGGTGCGGGGAAAAGACAGGATTCCCAACCAAGCCTAACTATCCAAACCGGAAGGGCGCTGACTGACTGACGACGACGAACTTACCTTGAAGTCCCGCAAAACCACCCGTTTGCCATGTACCTCCGGATCCTCGATATTGTGCGGCGGCGCGGCGACATCGATGTGGAATTTGGCCATGCGCCGCTCGTCGTTCTTGCGCTCGTTGGCTTTCCGCTGTTCGTTGGAGGCGAGAGACACCCCCGCTACGGTGGGGATGGCGGACAGAATGAGTAGACCGATGACCATACTGAAATGGAATGATCTGGGTTCTTTTCGGTGATGGCGATTGTGTTCGAGAAAATGGAATATTAGAGAGGCGTAGGGCAAAAGAATTTAATTCAGTGAAAGGATTCAATTAATGGCCGGGATTAAGGAAAAGCTGGGGGAAACACTATTTTTGTAGCTAAGGAGCGGGGATCGAACCCGATAGTAAGTGGCACATCGTCATATGTCATCGGTGGCTGACGGGGAGTGGCGGTGAGTGGCTGGCTTATCCTCCGCCGTACCTCCACTACACTCCGGAAACTTCTCCGGTGATCGTTCGGGACTTGGCCCGGTGCGTTGCACGAAGTATACATACATAACCACTATAAATGTACTATTCGACTTCGCTTTGCAAAGGATGCCTGAGGAACAGTGAATCAAAATGGACTCTGGATATTGTTCTGTCATTATCTCAGCTCTGCCTCTACCCCAAGACCCTACGCTCTCACTTGCTCCAAGGCTTGAGGATCGGTCATACGCTTGCAAAGCAGCAACGGCACGGATCGACTCTTTAAGCTTCCTACGCTTTATCAAGTTCAACTGGGGCACATTCCAACAATACTGCAATGCCCTTTCGTGGTTTGCACCAGACATTGGCTCTTTATTACGGGCCTAGTACATCTGACCGAGGGCTCTCTCTTGCAATATGTAAGTAGGCGACGAGAGGCTGTCAATCACCATTTCACGCCTAGATCTACTTCTCAAGCCCACAAAGCTCATGTTTGGGAATTCAACAGAGTTCTGCTTTAATGAGACGCGCTTCGAAATCGAAGGTGTGCTGGATAGCCGGGACCACCCGCCAAAAGGTGACTTCACCTCCAACACAAGAGACCCACAGTGCTGGCAATAGTGTGGTACAGGAGCGATGGGGGTGCTTGAGGGCCGTCTAATCATCATGCTAAACAGAAAAAGCCCTCTGTGCCGGAGAAGAAAGTCTCATACCCTTGCAGCACATGCAGCTGCCCCCTGAATGCAGGCTATTCTCTGGTTGCAAGGTCACGACCTTATTTTCCTCGCGAGACAGCGCAGGACTATTCATACTTCCCACATGAAATGCTCTGCCTAGGCCAAACTGACGCTCGGATGCGGAAAGAGTGCTTTACTCATGACCAGACAATCAGGGCAGAAACATCGATACCGTCCCAGGCAATATCCACTGGCCCGAGATAGTGACGAAGTTGTTGCGTGGCTCGCGGTGACAAGCCCTGATATTCGAGCAGGAAATCTGTACATCGAGCTTGAAGAATCTCCAGGCTCCCGCCATCGGGCGCGAGCTTTACTCTGCGTATAAGTGTTTAACCGCTCATCATACAGATTGAGCAGTAAAGATAGAGGTGATCAACCTTCTAATTCTTGGCAATCAAGCCTGAGCCAGTTAGCTGTTTTACAGCGAGAATCGGCCGCGTGGTTTCGGCTCTTGTTACTCCATCGTCTGGTTGACTTCCGTGCAGAGACGCGGAACGTGGGTCTGCCATGTGGGTCAACCCTATTTCAATCCAGCTTAGAGTTGAGACGAAGATCGATGCTTGTGGATTTCTAGTCAAATTTGGTGGACATTCTTTCATTTCCTATGTGCCCGCTATTCCACCAGCCGTACGGATGTTTCTCGGACCTGAACGGGTTTCCCGCCTTCTTGATGACGAATGCAGTCTACAGCAGACCTGACGCTCATGTCCTCTCGCACCTACTTCCGCTTACACATCTTGTTCCATACATTTGAGGTCTCCCATGAAACCTGGGCAGGTCTATAAAGGGGGCATTAGCCCTCATTCCCCATTCCCAGTACAAAGCATTTATCTCAACATCTCTTAAAGATTATTGCCATGCGCTCGTTCAGCACTGCACTCTTTCTGGCAGGCACAGCTGCGTCTGTTGCTGCTGTCCCTACCGCCACCTCATCGTCCCAAAGCGCCACTGTTACTCTCGACTACTGCACCCTTGCTCCTGCTGCTGGAAACAGCTCAATCGGTTACTACAAGTACCAGAATGTTCGTTTCGCCGCGGTTCCTACTGGCGATCTTCGTTTCGCAAAGCCGCAATGGCCTCCTGTTGAGACGGCCATCAACAATGGCAGTCTTGCCGAGTCTGACGTAGACTGTGCATCCACGGAAGACTGTCTCTACATGGATGTCTGGGCTCCGGCTGATGCTCAAGGCCGGAGCCTGCCTGTGATGCTCTGGACCTACGGCGGTATGATATTCCGCTTGACGCCACCTCACCGTTGCTCTAGCTAACCGGCAATATAGGTGGTTTCACTGCAGGATCTAAATCTCAGAATACGCCCGAGGGCCTATTCGATCTCTCCAAAGACTTCATCTTTGTTGCGCCTAACTACCGTCTTGGATTCACCGGCCTGGCGAACGGCCCCTCCTTAGCTCACCAGGGTGGCACTCCCAATACTGCCCTGTGGGACGTTGAGCACGCCTTCAAGTGGGTGCACAAGTACATCAGCGTCTTCGGTGGAAATCCCAATGAGATCACCGCTGTCGGTTTCTCGGCCGGTGGCTCCATGCCCCTGTTCCAGATGACCCGCTTTGCCGGCCATGCCGAGCAGCTCTTTAGCCGTGCCTACATCATGTCACCGGGTTTCGTCCCCGGTGCTGGTCACGAGCACGGAGAAGCGTTCTACCAGAACGTCTCCAAGGCTGTCGGTTGCACTGGAGGTGACCTGGACTGTCTGCGCAGCGTTGCCTTCACCAACCTGACCGATGCTGCCAACGACGTCTACGAGGCCTATGATTACCAGTTCCAGCCCCGGGTGGACGGCGACTTTGTGGCGGACACGTACGAGGCCCAGCTGTACCAGAAGCACTTCAATTTCAGCGGTCCCGTGGTCATCTCCCACGAGCAGCATGAAGCCAACACGGGGACAGACGAGGGCGAGACGACCATCTCCTCCGAGCAGGACATCATCACGAATCTCCGCATTTTCTTCCCTTCAATCACGGACAGCGTCATCCAGGAGGCTCTCAAGCTGTACCCTACCTCCAGCTACTCGAGCCAGGCGCTCCGGTTCGCAGATATGAGACAGTCCTTCGATCTGACCGCTCACAATTTCGCCCTGACGGAAGCCATGAACAACAACACCTGGAACGCCATGGTCGCCCTGAGCAAGGCTACCCACGGCACCGACCAAAGCTACTACTGTATGTTCCGCTAGCACCCACCCAAGGACCCCAGATACTGACGAATACTGTAACAGGGTACTCTACCTACTCGCTTTCTTCCTCCTCCTCCAGCAGCAGCAGCAGCAGCACCTCCTCCGGCGCAGGTGTCACCATCTCCAGCGACTCCAACGTCGACTCCACCGTTGCTGTACGTACCACTCCCCCCCTCTCGCTACACTTGTCAGGCCTACCCCCAATACTCACAATTTGAGCCTCCACAGCGCAAGATGCAGAAATACCTCCTCTCCTTCGTCCTCACCGGCAACCCCAACACCAAGTGGGCCAACGACAAGCTCTACTGGCCCAAGTACCTGAACGGCTCTTACACCGCCACCCAGCTCGTTCTCAACAGCACTATGTACCTGACCCAGGACGATTTGGCCAACGCCCGCAGCGTGTTCTGGAACAAGGCGCTGTGGTACTAGACTGGAATTGCCTTGTGCCGGAGATATATAACTTTGAGAAGACCGGTCATGTGGGATGGCAGTCTAACGCGGTTCGATTCTGAATCTTCTGTATAATCTAGTGTATATCAAATTTACGTTCTAGTAGATCGATAGGGTATTTTCTGGCTAGGAATCCACAAATTCGCAGGTAGCCGCTATACTTACACTGTGACCATCAATCTCAACCGCGGTATCCAGACATAGCATTCGAGATCCAGTGACCTACACATTCTTTCAATCACCAAAGGAAAGTCCCACGGTCCCACCACGCCATTAACCAAGCTGATCTATTTAGAGAAGAACCGCCCATCCATTCTATACGATCCCCACAAAAGTGTCCCGCTGACTCAGCGGCAGCTCCGATCCAGCTTAGCGCCATCACTGGGGTACATGGGGGACATGGGCATCATATCTGGAAGCCTCGTTTTCACCGCATCGGTCTACGTAATAGACATAGAAACACTCCTACCTAGTAAACATGTTCGAGATTCGAAAATATGATAAGTCAACCGTACAGTCTGACCATATGAAGACGCTAGGTCTCTCTTTCTTGATACGGGGTTGGGAAATGATGGCTTTCCTTCCACCTCTCGAGCAGTACCGGTACTATGCATCAACGGATGACGCAGAGATGATCCAGGTGTATAAGCTTGTTTCCAGAGCGTCACTTGGAAGATAAGTCCTTGTAAGGCATAAGAAATGATATGGCGTGACCATCTCCGATGTCCTGAGACATGTTGCTGGACACCAGGCCCAGATTTGATTATCCAACTCCAGAATGCCATGCTTAAGGTCCCAAAACACAACTTCATCCAAGCCTACCGGACCGCCCAGCCAAGTAGATCTATCGCGAATCACCACAATGCATGAGATGCTTAGCAAGCGCACCCACCGTCGGATGGGCGAACAAATCCGCGACGGTGAAATCGACGCTGCGTGCCCGCGCCCGCGCTACCAGACCCATCCCCAGGATGGAGTCGCCGCCCAGACCAAAGAAGTCATGGTCGACCCCGAACTTCGCGGGGGCGATCTTCAGAGTGTCCGCAAACAGCCGATGCAACACCTCTTCAGCTGAGCTGGACGGAGCCCGCTTCTGCAGGGTGGGCGTATCGAGGTATGCCTCTCGGGGCAGTGCGGCGGCCATGCTGCGGAGCTGGCCGCGGTCCAGCTTGCGGGACTTGCTTAGAGGAAATGAATCTACGCATAGGAATGCTGTCGGGATCATGTATGTAGGCAAAGAGACGCGCAGGGTGGTTAGTGCTGTGGCGATTTGCGCCTGGAGAAGGGAGGGACCTGGTTTCTGGGGGATCTGCTCCCGCGGACGGATGAAAGCCGTCAGGATTGGCTGCTTTCGGCCGTGGGATCGATCATCGTTCGGGACCACGACCTCGGCCACGACCTCGGCGGCGTCAGGAAAACTGCGGCGCAGGTGGTATTCGACCTCGCCCAGCTCGATACGTTGCCCGCGCAGCTTGATCTGCGTGTCTTTGCGGCCGATGAACCGCAGCGTTCCGTCTTCTGCGTATTGGACCAGATCGCCGGTGCGATAGAGGCGCGAATGGGCGGTTTCTGTGCGTTGGAATCGCCGCAACCACGGTGGGTGCGCTTCTGGAGAGATAAAGGAGATGGCCGTCTTGGTCGGGTTGTTGAGATATCCGTAGCCTACAATTGGGCTTTCCACTACGAGCTCTCCCACGGTTCCGATGGGAACTAGTTTGTGGACATTTTTTGTGTCCACGACCCAGCACACTGCGCTGGTCGGAGGCCCGACGTTATTCGGATCGCTTGGGTTATTGACATTCTGATTCAGAGTGGTAAGGATGGCACACTCCGCGGGGCCATATAAGTTCAACAGGTGAACCGCTGATGACCACGTCGAAATATCCTCTGGTGCGATAGGCTCTCCTGCTAGTACCAGCGTCTTCAGCGATGGAACGTTTCGAGGTTCGATAATGCGCGCTACAGACGGCGTTAGGCATGCCCAATTGGCCTCGAGGCTACTGATGATCTGCACAAGGTCTCCTTCTCGGTCCTTGGCAGAAGGAATACAGACACAACCGCCAGCCACGAAGGTCAGCAGATGATCTGCGATGCTGATATCAAAAGCGTAGGCGGCGAATTGAAACACGCGGGAGGTAGCATGCAATGACAATGCGACGCTGTTGGCTTTGGCACTTGTGCACCACGACTGGTGCGATATAACGGCGCCTTTGGGCTTTCCCGTCGAGCCCGAGGTAAAGACAGCGTAGAGGGCATCTCTGGGCTTGACCCGTGACTCGAGAATTGTGGGTTCAGTCTGGCTCTGTGGCCACGATCGGTGAGAATTGCCCAATATGATAGACAACTTTGCAATTTGACCTGCACGAGGTGCATTCTTTTCCGAGGTAATAACAAAAGGTGCTTCTGCATCATCGTATATCCCACGAAGTCGTTGTACTGGATGAGAGTCGTCTACAAGAATAAATGCGCCTCCGGCCTTCATCACTGCAAGCATTGCGATGCTGGTCCAGCATGACTTTTCGAAAAAGAGAGGAATAAACACATTAGGACGCACGCCTTGTCCCTGGAGGTAGACAGCCATCTCAGATGAGATTTGTTCCATTTCCCCGTAAGTGAAACTGCCATCCCAAGCGCACACAGCTGGAGCGTTGGGCTGCGCGAGACTTCGCTTTCGGATCCACTCGTGAGCACAGATCTCCACTGTCTCGGGGAGCGCGGTATTCCATTGTTTCAATTGCGACCAATCTTCAGGACAGATAGTGTCCAGCTCACATAGGCGAGCTTCTTCAGACCCAGCAGTCAGAACTCGCATGATATGTCTAAGCTGCCTCAACACTCGATCCATTTGCACATTCGGGATAACGTGCGGATCGAAAGTCGCCTCGATCTCTATTGAGCTGGGCCTCTGCTGACAGATCAAGGTAACTGCGTAGGAACTGAAAGCTCCGGTTTCTGAGCGGTCCTGTTTTTTAGAGAACATCCAATCACTGCCAGTCACTTCGGGTTGGATGACAACATGGCTCTGAAAATCACAAGCTTTGCTAGATCCCTGATTAAGGCGTCGCAGGTTTTGAAGTCCTATGTGCTCGTATGGCATCGCGGCAATACAAAACTCCCGCAACTGCTGAAGACTGTTCTTCACAGTCATTTCTGGATCGAGATTAAGTCGCAAAGGAATGGTAGCGATCGCCGGGCCAGTCAGATCCTCGACGCCCAGCACGGGAGCACCACGTCCGCTAACAGTGAGCCCGAAGACGACATCAGCGGTCTCCGTATAAAGCGAAAGGATGATTCCCCATGCTAGCTTGAGCTTGTCAGCAAGCGTATAATCACTTGCACCCCGGTGGTCTACGGGAATATAGATTGGATGCATTTCCGTAGACTTTGGGATGTAGGCTGGAGAGGGTAGCGAAGGGAAGCTGGCACTCTGCACATCAGTGAATCGGCCTTTCCAATACGCCTCTCGCTCGGTAGTCGTGCGCCCAATGTACTCAATCAAAGGACTGAATGGCTTCTCTTCCAGTGTATGTCCATTATAGGCGGCTTCAAGGTCGCGAAGAAGCACGGGAAGACCCCAGCCATCGGACAACGCGTGATGCACAATCAGTGTGAAAACTGGCAGCTGTAAAGCAGATTCTGTATTGTGAAGATGTGCACGAATCCAGGGCTGCCCGAGCTCGCAGGCAAGCGAGCCGTTTGTTGACCTGAACCCTTCTCCGTCCAGCGAGCTCACATCCAACGCAACTGGCCTCCGAATTACTGCCTGGTAGATCTTGCCATTGCTGGTTTGTATAAATAGGGTTCTTAGAATTGGGTGGGCGTTGACCAACGCATCCCATGCCGACTGGAATCGGTTAGTATTCACCTTCGCAGGCATTTCGTACCGAAACACGCCAACATAGGAGCCCGGTCTTTTAGCGGCGAGAGATATGAGTCCTTCCTGCAACGGTGTACAAGGGTACACGTCCTCAATTTCTGATTCGTGGCTGAGCCCGCACTGCTTAACGGCCGCTGTGACAATCTGCTTGCAGTCTTCACTGGCAGGAACCAGAGAGAACGGCTGGCTTGCGTTACCTCTCGAGACAGTGCGAACCCGGATCGCCATGTCTTCGAGGGCAGGGTGACCATATAAATCGCCTATGTCCAATTCCAGGCCCTCTTTCCTCGCTAGACCGGCCAGCTTCATCGCCGCGACAGAAGTGCCACCAAGAGCAAAGAAGCCGTCTTGAAGACCAATCTCATCCACTGGAATCTCGAGTACTTTCGACCACAGCATCTGGAGCTTCCGCTCAATTGGTCTGGAAGGCCTGCTATTCTCGACGGCATAGTTGCCGCTATACCTGCGGAGATCATGTCGGGTCAAGGTCGCTGCCAGATTGCGAAGCAATTTCCGGTCACCTTTTCCGTTGTTCGTGAGAGGCATTGACACCAAAGGTAAAAATGCGCTAGGAATCATGTACTCAGGAACCAGGCCGGATAATTTTGCTTTGAGCACCTCCACGTTGGTGCTCAGATCATCCGTCGGTTCCTCAAGCCATTCCGCTTTGGTGACATGCGCTGTTGTAGTGCTTGATTTTAGGACAAGAAACGCAACGAGGGATGAGGCTGAGGTCTCATCCGCGACATGGATCATATCTACCACAACATCCACGGCGCTTGGAAGCATTGATCGAATATGATGCTCAACCTCTCCAGTGTCCAGACGCTGGCCGTGGAGTTTGATCTGCGTATCCTTTCTGGCAACGTAACGGATCGCGCTGTTCGCGGCGTCGAAAACCACCAGGTCCCCTGTCTTGTACATGCGATCACCTTGGCGTCTCAACATCTTGTGCCACGCCGGGGGGCCGATGAACACGTCGGCTGTCCGTACCGGATCATTGAAGTAGCCGCGGGCGACCATGGGTCCCTCTAGCAGCAGCTCTCCAACCTCCCCCGGCGGACTCAATCTGTCATGGTTGTCAGGGTCAACGACCCAGCAATTGACTCCAACCCCTCGTCCCAGATCTGACGGGTCAGGCCGGACTCCTGGCTGGAGGGTTGTAGCCATGCAGCCGATCGTGCATTCAGTGGGACCATAACCGCTGATGCACTGCATACGCGACATCCATTTCTCAATGTCCCCTTCTCGCAGAGCCTCACCTCCAATCACCAGTGTTTGCAGGGTGCCTAAATCCTCCGGCTCCAGCACCCTTGTCAACGAGGGGGTCAAGAAGGACCAAGTGCAGTTGAGCCGGCGACATGCCTCGGCCAGATTGTTCTTCCGCTCAGCCTCTGACGGTATGCACACACAACCGCCCATAACCAACGGCGCGAAGATATCCAACAGCGAGGCGTCAAACGCATGGGACGCAAACTGGAAGACACGGGTCTTCTCATGGATGTTCAGCGCGGCACTATTAGCCAGCACGCTAGTCGATAGAGATCGATGCTCGATGACCACCCCCTTCGGCTTGCCGGAAGTCCCGGACGTGAAGACTGCGTAGGCGGTACTGGTGCAGAGAACCTCTGGCTCCGGGTGCAGCGTGGTTGGGCCTCCCCCAAGAACAGCGGCATCGTCATCACCATCAATCACGACAATCGTGTCGGCAAACTTGACCTTCTCGGCCGTGGCCTTAGTGGCAATGATCACCTTCGCTACGACTGCTCGATAGGTCTCCTCTAAGCGCTGGGTGGGATGGGATGGATCCAATGGCACAAAGGCAGCCCCTGCTTTCAATACGCCCAGCAGTGCCACGGGATACCAGCGTGACTTTTCCGAGCACACTGGGACAAACTCCTCGATTGCGACTCCGAGGCTCAGTATATGGGACGCGAGGCAGGACGACAGGCGATCGAGAGTAGCAAAATTAAACTGTCCATTCCAAGCGGATACGGCATCGCGTTCAGGGTGTGTAGCTGCCTGTTCGTGAAACAGTGCATGTATGCAGACGTTGGCGGACTGATGCGTCGGGGGGTTGAAGGAGTCTAATTGCTGTAGCTGCTCCTGGTCGACTTCGGTGTCGCCCACTAACTCTAGCGATTCTCGTTTATTGTTGATTGTCTTCGCGGGTTTGTTGAGCTCTTGAGGGGTCGCATCTTCGAAAGTGCCGACTCTTGTCATGTTTCCCGTCAATGTGGTCTATTCTAACCTGCGAGAAGAAGTTGTTGTAGCGTATGAAGAGTATGGCGCAGGCGATGAAGGCAAGAATATCTTGGAAGGATTCACCTCTATTGGAACGGTAGCTGTTGACTATAAATAGGGACAAACTGTCTGTCTCATCGCGAGAGTCCAGGGAGTTCCTCATACTGGTATCGAGAAGGAGTAAGGTTAGGTTTCTTGAAGTTGGAGAAGTTGGAGAAGGTGAAAAAGGGAAGAAGGAAGATCTTGCGTGGCGATCAGCAGCTGCCTTGTTTCTCCTCCTTGTATTCGACCACACCCACACACACCACATGTTCAACTCCAGACCGCAGGAATACGTACCTTGATTCTTCCAGACGCTGATTCAGTCGATCCAAATTAGCGACAATCCACCAATCCGATGACTCTTCGACGATTTCCATGCGGAACCGGTCTGAACAGGGTAACTGTGCGCAATGCATCCCAGGGAAGACGATCCTCTTCAGGCATGCAGTAACAACTAGTTCTATGGCTTGATGACTTAAACAACGGCAACGCACCTAATGGGGTATTTCTGTACTGCATTGCCGCTCACGAATGGAGGATTTAGTCTCCACATGCAGGATACTAGCATGTCCATCCCGGACCCCAGCCCACGACTGCTCTTCCTCGGGCACTTCAGCAGTGTTTGGCGCAGACCTCTACCAGAAATGAATCAAGTCATGACGTATTATGGTAACTGCCTTACATACCTAGGGATTTGCCTGAGTCAAGAACCCAATTCTCATACGGCCAAGCCTAAACAGCCTGTCAAGGGAATTCCACCGGGTGGCATGAATGTACGTCAATCTTCGACTGTTATATGCCATCAGTAGCAAAGCTCTGTGTCAAACCTGTCAGATCAGATGACCTCTCTTGGGCAGCATGAGCGTGCAGCAGACATAGGCACAATTCATCATATGCAGTCAGCATACAGGACTGCGCTGCCATCATTTTCATTCTTGACGAAACACAACGCCAGTCATCAACTTTAAAAACGACAAGCTAGACATTTCAGCTGAAGCAAACCAACTCGACTCTCTATAGTCGGAAGGCCACTGATCAATCGGTTGAAATGTCTACGACCACTGTCTGCGAAGTTACTGGACCATCCTCGGCACTATCGCTTGATACGTGGCATCCAAAGGAACCCGTTCTTCGCGACATTCGAAAGTCCTTGGAGCTTCTCGACCTGAAGTCATGCGTTCTATCGGGTCTATCGCAGCCGCGCAAGGCGATTCCGTCGCTTCTCCTCTGGGACGAGCAGGGGCTCAAAAACTTCAATGAGTGGACCAAATGCCCTTACTACTATCCCAAGTCAAAGGAGATGGAGATTCTCGAGACGCACAGAGACAGGATGGCGGGTGCTCTACCGGATAGCTCTGCGTTGGTCGAGCTAGGATGTGGGTGCGTTTGCCCGGGTTCAAGATCCCAATTCGATGAATCATACCCGTTGTCTGACCTCGTCTTAGAAACGTTCACAAGACCTCTATCATACTCTCCGCCCTCGCTAGACAAGGCAAGGAGGTCCAATACTATGCCCTGGACGTCTCGGAGGCAGCGCTGCGCACCAGCCTGAAAGCTCTGCAAGCAGAATTCGACCACTTCCCGAACATCAGCATTTCCGGTCTGCTCGGCACATATGATGACTGTGTGGACTGGATCGCCAACAACACCGCTAGTCTCCACACACGCTCAGTCACCTTTCTCTGGGTCGGCAATAGTGTAGCAAACCTCTCCAAGACCGAAGCAAGCGACCTAATGGGCCACTTCCGTCAGGCCTGCGCCGTTGCAGGAATGCATTGTCACTTTTTGATTTCTGCGGACGCCTGTGCCGAAGAGAACAAGCTGCTCAAAGCCTACAACCCTGACGGGGGGCTATCGTCCCTCTTTCTCCGCTATGGCCTACTTCATGTGAACAAGCTGCTCCGGGCGGACCTGTTCAACGGCGTGGTCTGGAACTGCCTTCTCGAGTACGACCGGGAGGAGAACGAGATTCTGACTTTCTATTCCCCTGAATCCGATGTCACACTGTCGAGCGGCGCAAAGTCAGTGACAGTACATCACGGGGAAAAGATATTTTTCTTCCGCAGTGGCAAATGGAATGGAGAACAAATGAGAAGCATTGCACAGCAAGGCGGATTCCAAGTTTCGCAGGTATGGGGAGACGCAAAACAGGAGTATGGTAAGCTGAGCCCAAAGGTAAATTTCCAGGATGGATGATGTACAGCTACTGACGGATTTCAGGATTCTATCTTTTGTCTTCGTAGCGGCATCTGCAACATACCTTACTTCTTTCATAGTTTCAGATATACGGCTATATTCATGATAAATTTCCAATTGGCACTCCAGATCGCAGTCGATAGATTTGAATACCAGTTTCAGCTAGCAAATTGTCCTCGGTACACTTTTGCATGCTTATCATAGCGGAGCTCAACACTGCAAACCCTCCTTGCAGTGTGAACTTGTAGAGTAGAACGATGGCACTTCACAGTCCTTCTTAGTAGGAACCTTGTGAACGGGCAAATGTGTATCCAAAGTGAGCGAAGTCTCGCCCCAGCGGAAGGGTCGACTGACACCCGAGCTTTCCGTAAAGACCGGATGCCCCTTGCATGAACCATTCCCACAACCACCCGTGGCAGGGAAACATGTAACACAGTATGCAAGACAGGGTGCTCGGGCCAGGGAAGCTTTTGTAGCACAGCATGTATCGAACAATTTTCGACGTCATCTTAAACCTTATTCATGAAGAAGTTAGGCACAGGCAGAGAAATACCTCAGGAGACGGAAACGTGGACTGGTCCGGCAAATAACCTTAAAGCATTCCTGAAAGTTAGTCTGAGGAGGCACTGAATAGAGGAAAAACAGGGAATCGGGAAACCCATTCTGTAGAAGAGGGCACTACAGGTTTGCTCGGCCGAATCGATGGTTTTCGCGCACTTCCTGCGTTCCAGTACCAGACTAGACAAACAGGTGTATGCACGCGTCAAATGGGCGGCCAGACCTGTCTCGAAGTTCTTGAGTCTCGATGCAGAAGAAACATGGGTTAACAAGACATCTGGTGGGTCTTCCCTCGAACCCGGGTCTGTGTGGGAAACAATCCGAAGTAGGTATGTGCGATACACGGATGATCAATGTCAGCAGACCTCCGTCCACATATGTTGTACTCGAACTAAGCTGGTTGCCTTTTTAGCCCAACTCAGAACTTGGCTATAGCCTTTGAATCTTGGTCGGGCAGGTATTATGACAACTTCCCTTGTCCGTTAGAATGCCACTGCAGGTAACACGTTGAATACTAAGTACGTCGGTGAATTGACCCGACCAATAGTCCTAAGGCATAAAGAAGGAAATCTGTTCAGTCTGAGCTGGGGGAATTGGTGTGTTGACAATCACAATGCAGAGTGCATCATTCATCTGCATCAATTCAGACATAAACACGTACAAGAAACGGACTCGTGCACTTTTGGTGAACGGGAAAACCAACGTGGAGAGGCTGTGGCACGTAGACCAAACCCCGAGATTATCGTGAATTGCTCGACCTAGTTCGCATATAATAGAAGGCAACCTGTTGTTGCTATAGACCACACGTTAAGAAATCATAAGCTTGAGGTTGCCGTCATCACAGCATAGACCATGGTGACACATTATTGGGCGGCGGTAGCTTCCATAGCTACTGTGTGCGTCTTCTTCTGGCTCACGTATACCAAAAGACGGCCAGGCCATAGGCTTCCCCCGGGCCCCCGGGGACTTCCATTGATAGGGAACCTTCATCAATTTCCTTCCAGCTTGGCCAGATCAACTTTCGATGCATGGCACAAGCAGTACGGGCCGATCGTGGGCCTGTCCCTGGGGCAAAGACCCGTCATTATTATAGGCAGCGCTTCGATTGCCAATGAGTTATTTGCGAAGAGAGGTCGCATCTATAGCTCTCGGCCTCGAATGGTGATGGCGTTAGAGAACCTATCCCACGGGATGCACACGGTTTTCCTACCATATGGGCCGCAGTGGAGGGCGCACAACCGCATCCATAAGACCATCCTAGCACCGAGCAAGGCCTTACATTTCCACGAACTCCTCGAGGCAGAAACAAAGCTGACTCTCCGCGACCTGCTGCACGGAAAAGACTGGAATCAAAGCATTGTGCGCTTCACATCTAGCGTCGTGTACAGTCTTGCGTATGGTCAACGCCTTCAAGGAGATGAGCCGGAGATCCGGGAGATGTCTGATTTCGTTGAGGAGACCATGCGTGCAATCTCTGGATCCTGGCTGGTAGATATCCTACCCATCATCAATGAACTTCCCAGCTTGATCAACCCATGGAAGAGATTTGGGAGTCGCTTTCATCAGCAAGCCATGCGGATATTTGCAGAGAGCAGCCGACACGCCATAAGGACTCCAGGCTGGAACTTCACAAAGCATGTCCAGACAAAGGAACGAACCGGCAATTTCAGCGACGAGGAATTACTCTATATAGTCGGTGTGCTCTTCCAAGCCGGCATCGACTCCACGTCCACAGCCTTCCGATATTGCATCCTGGCATGCATCTTGCACCGTGACAAAGTGATGAAAGCTCAGCAGGAGCTAGATGCTGTGGTTGGGAAAGATCGTCTGCCCGGTCTGGATGATATAGCTGAGCTGCCTTATACGAAAGCCTTCATCAACGAGGTTCTCCGCTGGCGGCCTATCACGGTCGGATCGTTAGCGCACTGCAGCTCCGAGCACGACACGTTCACGGGCTATGATATACCCAAAGACTCAGTCATAATACTCAATCATTGGTCAGTCGTGATGAACACCGATACCTACGGACCAGATGCCGCCTCCTTTCGTCCAGAGCGATGGATTGAAGATCCCAAGCTGCCGCTTCTTGCATTCGGCTGCGGGCGACGAGCCTGTTCGGGACAGTATCTGGCTCAGAAGGAGCTTGAGATCTTGATCCCTAGTATCTTATGGGCTTTTGATATCGAGGTCGGCTCGGCGGATGGGATGGAGCTGAATTTAGATCCTTGGAATCTTCTGGAAATTGGCGGACTTCTTCGACCGCCTCCATTTCCAGCAAGCTTCATCCCTCGTGACAAAGAGAGACGGGCGCTCATCGAGCGTGAGTCTGAGATGGTAGATGCAGCGGGCCTTCAAGACATTTTGGATCGGATCCAAGCACGTGTGGATCGTGGCTGAGCAGTTTATGATGAAGTATCGGCGGGTTAGAAAGAAGAGAAGAGTAGGAAAAGAGTAGGAAAAGAGGAAGCTGGGAAGAAGAATGGGAAGGAGGCAGGCAGGTCCGGAGAGACTAAGAAGCTCGGAAAGTGGAAGTAGAGCTGGGGTACCTGTAAGGAGGCTTTGGAGACATCCGTAATACCTACGTGTTTTGTCAATACTCTGTACAGCCACTACATCCCACTTAGTTATCTTGCACCAGTCATCAACCTCTCACTCCTGGTTCAACCTCATCCCAGCTTTCTTCCCCAAGATAGCCATCATCTACAATCTCATATCAATTTTACCCCCCGACTAAGCACTAGGGAGCTTCAGAAGAAGAACCGCAACCTTGACTATACAACCGTTCCTGGGGGATCCCCCCAGACCCCTCTCTTTTCTCGACAGTAGCTGTCACGACAATCGCCAACCTTACATTGATCCATGTCTCAAGTCCAAACATGAATCACTAAACCAATCAAGACAGCACCACCCCACCACCCCCCCAAGATACCATATCCATATCCAAACCCAAATCACCCCTCCACAATATCCGTCCACCCCCGGACCTCCCCAAAATCCATAACGCGATACTCCCCCCCAAACCGATTCAACGTATCATCCCAGTCGCGACCAACCGCCAACTCGGGCCGCCACCGCACCGTCCTTGCCAACCTTTCGTCCAAAACCCCCTCCAACCGATCCACAATAGAGCCCCCAATGGACGGGATATGCGCGAACCCGCGGCCCGAGGCGCCCACCGCCAGCAACAAAGACGGATGGTCGGGGTGGTAATCAATCAAGAAATTGCGGTCGACGGTGTCAGCGCACCAGCAGATGCGCGCAAACGCGAGCGGCCGGTCCGCCAGCTGCGGCAGCGTCGCGCGGAGCAGGCCGCGGATGCGGGCCTCGGACTCTACCGGGATCTGGTGGCGGGCGAAGGGGACGCTGCGCCGCTCGCTGTGGGGCTTGTCGGCGGGGTTGTCGTAGACCCAGTTGCAGTAGCCGGGGTGCTCGTCGCAGATCTTCAGATCGTGGTGCTCGGCGTCGGGCTCCATGAAGAAGCCCTGGTCGGCGTTGAAGAGCACCGGGAGGTTGCGGTAGGCGGCGGCCTCGGCGGGGGTCAGCCGGATGTGCGCGAGCGTCCAGGCCGTGGGGCGGAGCTGTTTCTGGAAGTCGAGGAAGTGGTCGGCGTTGGCGCCGGCGGCCAGAATGACTTTGGCGGCGTGGTGGTGCGTGCCGTCGGCGGTTTCGACGCCGATCACGTCCCCAGCCCGCTGGGGGTGGTCGGATGCAGATGCGGAAGAGAAGAGTAGCCGCACGACCTTTCCTTGCGGGTCGCCGCCAATGAAGCGCACGCCGAGGCGCTGCGCCTCGGTGATGGCTGCTAGGAGGGCATTGCGCGCGTGCACCCAGCCCGCGCCTTTCTTCTTCCAGTACCCCTTCCACCCTGGGAGAGGGCCGGTGAGGATCCCTGTGGGGAAAGCCTGTCGGAAGTCGTCGGGCGTGTTCAGTTCGACGACCTCGTCTCCGGGGCGGTCACGGCGATGGATGTGCTTGAGGCCGTCCGGGGAGAAGGCGGATGTGATGGAGCCGGTTTCGTGGAAGTGTGGCTTGAAGATCGGGTCGTGCTGGAAGCCGTGGCTCAGGGCGGCGAAGAAGGTCCGATTGGCGTAGTCCGGGTCGTCGTCGGCTGGAGGTTTCACTGGGTGGGAGCTCGTTAGGTTAGGGGTCACGCAGACATTCCTGAAGTAGAGAGCAAGAAAGCGTACTGAATGAGACAATCTTGTTCACATCGTTCCCCGCCGAGATAGCAGATGGCTGCGGATACGCATCCAGAACCGTGACATTGGTATATCCTCGTCGCGCCAAGTGCAGCGCAGTCGAAGCACCCCACGTTCCAGCCCCGACTATCAGAATATGCGAGTTATGCATGTCGCCGTTGCCGCTGTTGTGACTGTTGTTAATGCTATCGGTGTCGCCCATCGCAGGTAAGGGATCGATGTCAATGTAAACAGACACAGAGGGGCCTGTCGTCTCTTGGATGAGATGTGGAGCACGCATTTCTCCAGACCCTAGTAGTTTATCAACTCAAACTGAACCTGATGTGGCCTGTCAAGGATCTTATACCGAGTTCTCGTAGCTTGCTGAATATGATACACGAACCCCACCGAGGACTGAGAATCGAGAACCGTTGGGTGTGGCCGCGATAAGGGAACAAATCACATCATAATTGGATCCAATTTCGAGCCCCCTGTAATGGCACTACACTAGGCAATGATAAGGCAAGCTTGCTCCACTCTTGCAACAAGCTTCGCTTGGACCTGCCCTTGTCTGGTCGATCTGGGGTAGACGCCATTGCTTCATTGTACAATAATTGTACAATAAGTACATTGACGCCGGCAGATTTATGACTTGCTGAGGCGGCCTTTTATGGCCAAGCTCATTCATTGTGTCTGTATAGATCCCACGAGCCATACACCTCTCAACATGCCCCAACCTTGAAGAGCACTCACAATATGAAGCTCAGCTACAGTCCCAGTCACCATACAGTCTCTGCAAAGCAGAATCGATCAGAGAACAGCCCAACACGCAAATTGAGAACACGAGCACAACTCAAGTATCCAGATAGACCGACGAAAGATCGACACACACACACACACACACACACACACACATATAGATTTTCATATTTCCCTTTGCAAAATCACATCCCAGTCCGATACAACCTCATTACACATAGATCATCTGAAACTGCAAAGTAAAGCAGATCAACGCAGATGCAGAGTAAAGCAGAGGATTAAGATATAACAGATAATTCCAGAACATGCTCCCAGGTTCAGTAAACGGGTCCCTTCCTCGATCGAGTCTCAATGCAAATCCTTGCTTGAGAAGACACTGCTTTCTGTTCCTTTCACCTTTTTTTATGGGTTTTTTCTTTGCTGATGTGTGTGAGCACTTCTCCGAAAATTGGCCGCGCGCAACCCAGCAAACGATATTCGAGATCAGGGCACAGCCAGTAAATCCATCGACACAAACCCATGCTGCCACAGGTATGCCAGACATTACTGCAACATCATCAACCCCATTAGCGAAAATGCCACCCCTAACCCCCCATTAAGTGAATAAATCATAAGCCTACCTCAGCTACTGCAACCCTGCCCTCCAAATCATCCACATGATTACACAGCGCGACAAACAGATCGAAAAAGAAGGGATGCCCCCTCTCCATCTCCAACTGCATCGTGCCGCTCGCCTTGAAGACCGCCCGCGAACGGATAATCATGGCCAGGTACCGCGCGCGCAGTTGATCCTCCGACTCGGGCGTATGCTCGTACGCGAAACGCGCGGACCGCAGAATAACTTCCACCGCGATCCCGGTCCGGAGACCCTGTTTGCGCAGGGCGAGGCGCTTGAGGGCCTCGGGGAGGCCGTAGTGCTCGGCGGCGCAGTAGATGGCCGTATCCCGGAGGATGAGGCCTGCGCGGTGATGATGGAAGGTGGCAGTAGGGGAGGTGTTGGGGCCAGTGGAGCCATCATTATTATTGGAACGAGTGTGAACTGGCTTGGTTGCTAGGACCTCCTCGGCGTTGTGCTGCATCTCGTTCTCGTTGTCAGCTTCTTCCTCGAGGCGCCATGCAGGTGCTTCGAGACCGTCCCCACGTAGAAGACGCGGGTAGTAGTCGCCTTTGTAGAGAAATTCGAGGATGCAGGAAAGAATTTCCGGGTCCCTGTCTCTTCTAATCAGTCTCTCCCCAGACACATCGGAAGCGACGCTCCTAGGGAAGTCAAAGAAGGACGTCATTACTCATCTGGCAGAGCCACGACTTTATTCAAGTTGCTCTCGATGAACTGATCCCGGAGGACAGCGTCGAAGAAAGTAGCCCGGGAGAGTACATCTTCATGCGCGACGAAGAGGCGATGATCCGGGCCCACGATCAAGCTAACTACGGGGCTCACGAGGGGGCTAGAGGGTTACAGATTGAATCAGCTTTCACGGCCCGGTCAAGCAAGGGGACACTGACATGCGAAAGCATACGCGAGTTACTCAATCAAAGCAAGAATAGAAGACGGACACAACCCGCAAGATTGACAAGATCAGCGCAAACAAACACCTACCTTGTAAGAGGCGGGCCCTTCGGCGTCGACTCTTCTTCCTTCTTCTCTTCATCCTTCACCTTCCCACCCTTCATTAACTTCGCCTTAACACTTACCTTCTTGGTCATAGACGATCGGACAGGCTTCTTGACCCGGCGGTTCTGAGCCAGCAAAGACGAGGAGCGTTTTCTACCGGCTCTACCAGCCATCGTGCTTCGGCCGCCCGGATCCATCCACTGGACCAGGAACGAGACGATAGACATTCAGGTGTGAGATGAAGAGAAAAAAGAGAATGGAGGAGCAGGATATGACCAGAAGAGGGAACTGGAGGCGAATGAATGTGGATCAAAATGCAGGAAAGGACAGGAATGACGCTGCCGCCGTTGGGTCATGCACAGGGTCGCATGAACGGGGAAGGAGTCTCGGAAGCTGATCATGCAAGACTACAGGTTCCCTTTTGGCAGACACCGGGCTTCATCAGAAGGAGACCCGGGGGGAAGCTTGCAAAGGAATCTGCAACCTTGTGGTATCTAGCTTGCGCGTACGGTCATCTACGGTAAAGTAGAGACACTGTAGCGGGACGGTCGACTCTGGAAAGCGTGGAGAAGAAAGAGAGAGAAGAGCAGAGACGAGAAACAGGAATCGAGAGATGAAGGTGTGATGGTGGTGGAGGTGGACGGGATCATGTGATGGTGAGCGGCTGATCGATCGATCATTCGTGCTTGAGTTTCGGCTACTGTATTAGTTATTGTAGTACCTAGTACTGCCAGGCTACAACCAGGCTCGGCAGCCCAGGCAGGAATAAAAGCCCCCATGACGTTATACGTACAACCTAAGATATAGACTTATGATCATGAACAACAATCATAACAGCTTCTTGCCACACATCAAAAAGAAGCACGCCCTTTGAGCACATCGCTCCACGCCGTAAGATAAGAAGAACTGCAAGCATAGGTACAGATAAAGTAGACCCCATATGAACGACATGAAACAGGATGATCGCTACCGAACATACCATGACACAGAACAACAGTAACAAAACTATTAGCAGACCATAGACAGTAAAAAGAATGTACCCGAGGTGGTCGAGCTGGGAAGACGCTCCGAAGAAGACAGCAACGTCCTAGTAGATACGAGAGCATCAAGATCAGGCAGTCTTCTTCTTCCGTCCCCGCTTAGGCTTCTCCTCATCGTCAGCAGTAGCAGCAGCGGCCCTAGTCGGTTTCTTCGCGACTTTCTTCTTAGCGGCAGCAGGCTCCTCGTCAGCTTCCTCGACAGCGGCCTTAGGCTTCGCTGGACGACCGCGCTTGGAAGTCTTCGGCATGACCTCCTCCTCCTCGTCTTCATCAGATACAGGCTTGGGCTGAGCGCTCTTCCTGGATCGCTTAGGCTTGGGTGCTTCTTCCTGCTCCTGCTGCTCACCGTCGGCCTCAGCCTCGGCCTTGGACTCTTTCTTAGGCTGAGCACGACTGCGCTTCTTGCTCTTGGGGGTAGGTTCCGCCTCATCCTCCTCGTCAGCTTTGGCCTGAGCCTTCTTCTGTCCATAGCATGTCAGGTTCAAGTCCGAAGGAAAGCCATAGAGAAAACTTACCTTAGCCGCGGCCTCCTTTTTGGTGGCATTCGAACGGAAGCCTTTCATACCGGGGCGGTTGACTTCAACATCCTAAGTATCCAGACGGGTTAAAGCTGCACAGACACCCACGAGCAAGCAAATAGCACCAGCCCCAATCAATCCCCTATTCTCAGAGAAAAAAAAAAAAAACACAGGCAAATTACTTACTCCCTTCCAATCCTCATCATCAACATGCCCCTGCTCCAACGCCCGACGGACCTTCTCTTGGTTCTCCTCAGAAAGCTCATCAAAGCCATCGAGAGCCGAGCAATCCGTCTCATCCCCGCCACTCAGCTCCTTGATAGCGTCCTTCAGATTCTCGATGACATTCGGCGTGACACAGCCCCTGGTTGTGGGGTACATCAGATACTGAAAAAAACATAAAAAAGAAAAGGGTTGATGTTCGCAGCTTGCAGATGGCCAGACCCAAACCAACCGGCCAGAGAGAAAAACTTACCAGTGACGCCATTTCCAGCTCTGGTAATCGCCTGCTTCGACCCAGCTACCGTGACGGAGCTCCCCCTTTGCAATCTTGATTTTGGCGTCCTTGCATTCCTTGTTCTGACAGCCGGCACGGCTGGTACTCGCCTCCTCTGGGGATTGTTAGTCCAGAGCTCAAAACATCAGAGGTGGAAAGTTTGTAGGGTAGCATGATCGTGATAGTGCTGCAGGCACCTAGCGAATAACATCCAGTGTAACGGAGCAGAAAAGAATCCAAAAGGCAAAAAAATGTTTAGGGGTCGGGTGAAGTGGATGATGCGACAGTTGGCAGGACAGCAAGCACCACGGGCAGAACAAATAGTACTGAAGACTCATGGACCACGACAGCTTCACCAGTTCAAATGCCATTGATCGATAAAGATGGATATTTTGAGACAATAGAAATCACACAAAAACACTGTACTTCGAAGGCAGAAAAGGATCGATGGAACGGAACCTACCCAAACGATATGCGCCCATTTTTGCAGTACTGTACTGCAATGACGACGGTGCTACGTGCGGCAAGTTTCTTGGGTTTGGACACCAGCACCAACCAGACTTTACTGGGTATGAGACAGCAAATTCAAACACTCAAGACTGTGAGGAATTCGAAAACACGCCAACAGTAGGTAGACGAGGGAAAAAGAGAGAAGAGAGAAAGATTAACAACGAGAGTAAAAACAGAAGCGGAAACAATCGAAGGTGACTCGGGACTTGAGAAAGGGAAGGAAAACGAGCGAAAGGGAGGGCGAGCGAGCCAACAAGCCCAACGGAACCCGCCAAAGACCAATGCCGCAGGGCTCCTCGCCGCCCTTTTGCTCTCGACATCCATGGCTGGCAGTTATCATTATTAAATATTGATTTACATTAGATGGCAGATTGGCGCGGGCTCTCAATTTCTTACTATCACTTAAGTTACTGAACTACTGAGGTTGGTAGTTATCATCTCTACTACATGATCAATCCCTGCGGTCGCTGCGGTCGGTTCTTCGAGAATACTTGGGAAGTCACTGGTTTTACTGCAGCAGACTGAACAACACTCAAGATGTCTTACAGGCGTTGTCTACCTAGGATAGCTACTGCCAAAGTATCAGTTCAAATCTTAGATATCATTGTTCATCAGATGCCGCCTATCGCTGCCTATCTTACCCACTGTTGCCTAAAAAAACAATCACGAGCACGGACTTGACTCGTACATACATCAGATCTAGCAAACAACAAATATGTCGCTCGAGAATCACTGAGAACATACTTCCACTGGGTCTCCACAGCCATAAGGGGCTCTCAGAGATTACAGCTCTGGCTCATGTCCACAATGATCCCGAAGAGCTTCAAGCCATATTACATGAAGTTTCTCCAAATCTGCGATATGCTTCTGAAGCATGACCACCGCCCCAAGGCTGAGCCGCGACATGTATGGAGAAGCTTCTTCAGCACTTGAGTCTTGGCCCGGGGAGTTGCGGTGGTGATGCTCAATCATTGCCAGCGCATCTTCGATGGCTCGACGGATCAGATGAGGACGATTCATGTTCAGCGCGGTCGTGGGCGCCGGGAAGTATAGCCACGAGGTAACGTCTTCGAACCCAGACACCTCGTGTGCCAGAGCATATATCATCAGCTTCCGTGTCAGTAGGAACGCTCTCTCGGTGTATTGAATCGAGTCAATCCGCTTCTCCTCGTCTGTAGCAAGGGTTTCGAAGCCAGGCTCATCTGCAGGAGTTAGTGCTTAACAACGGGATTTTTCAGGACTGAAGGGACTGTCTCACTGTAAAACGGACGCTTGACCAAGACCAAGCCCATGATGGAAACCATGACCTGGAGAAGGGTAGACTTGGAAGAAGACCAAACCTCATCTGGGTTCTGTGCAGGCCAGGTACCCAAGAGACTGAGGCAAACCTGGCCATCAAGGTGCAGATTAGGATTGACTTCTGCCTCGATGATGGACCAGTAGTGAAAGAAAGCGACGGGGGGCTTGCTTGGGAATTTATCCGTGAGGTGGAAGTCGATCACAAAGGGCGCATGCTCGTACGGAGTGCCCACAGGCCCAACAATTAGAGTCCTGATGAGATCCACGCGCGACTCCCATGAACGGACATAGATGCCAGGAGGAAGAGATGTATTGAGGACCCTCCATTCCTTTTGTATGCGCTTGATACTCAAGCTGGAACTCCCCGCGGGCTCACTCGAGATGAAATGATGATCAGAGGGTGGGGGTCCTTCGAGTACGAGGAACGCTGGCGGAGGCGATGATCCGGATGGATCTGTCCCACTCATTTCCATGTCTCCTTCAGCATCTGCAATACTGACATGATAATATGGGACCTCCTCGATGTCTTCCAGTGCATCTTTCGAAGTGTGTTGAAGCCCTCCCTCCTTCCCATGAGAGACTCCGTGGCAGTTGGCATCATCATCATCATCATCATCATCATCATCATCAGTGACATCGTCATTATCGGTATCATCTGTGTCGGGATCTTCTGACTCGTCGTTCAGAGCCGAAGACCCATTAGGAGGTATTTCTTCACATTCACAAGGATATGACAATATAATCCTCTCCGTTGGCATTTCAATATCCACACATGAATCTCCGTGAGTCAAGCGCACCGTGACGGTCCCATCGATGTTGGGTTTCACGATCATCCCGACAAAGTTCGCATGTAACCTTGAACAGAAGTCTTCGTAGTGAATACTGAGGCGCGTAGGTGCCGGAGAGTTGTCAACCGCGATCGTGCTCTTAAACCATGCAGTACGAACGATATCTCTCTTCGATTTCTCAAGGTAGCTCCGGATAGCGTCGAAGTGCTTGGAAGCTGCATGGCTCGAATGATCGGCGCTTTTGTCAGACGCAGGGCTCACCCGTAGAGCTTGCAACACAGATGCGTGTATAGTACTCGGGATAATATGCACAAGTCTCCCTGGTGACCTACGCAAGGCGGGGAAAGAGGCGAGCTCATAGAGCGATACTGGAGTACTCCTGCTGTTCAAGGATTCCAGTCGAGTGTGTTCGTGGTTGAGACAGAATCCGTGTAGCGGGAGCTCAACAGTTGCCTCGTCGTACCATCGAACATATGCTACGCGTTCTCGACTATCCACCTCTTGAACAACGCCCACGTGGTGTGTATGAAGCGATAAGCATGATGAACATCTATTATCATTCCCGGTCGAAGGAAATGCTTGAACTGAGTCTTTGAGAACAGTCAAATCTCCAGGAAAGACCTCTTCTGCGGGATAGGGACTTGGCGTATGTAGAGATATGGCGTTCTCTATGGTGACCTTCCCGTTTTGCCACTGAACCGTCGTATCTGTCTGGGATGAAACAATGCGAAAGATATTCAGATCATATCCGTACGAATATTCCGCTGGGACATGACGATAGTGAGGGTATTTTGCAGCCGCTCCAACCGTGTCACGGAAGCGCACTACACTCCCCAGTTTCATCAAGCAGGTAGGCCTCAGCTGAAGTTCCTCCTCGCTGGACTTGTTCGTCGGGGCCCGCCCGAAGTCACACTTGACCGCATACTTCTTGAACAAAGATGCTCTGATTATCTCCGTCCCCCCGGTGACTGTATCTTTGTCTATGCCAATCCCGAACGCATTTGGCATCATCCACTTGACATGGTACTGTGAAGCTGGTGTAGCCAACGTATGGACATGCTGACGACCACGAGTTAGGTTCTTGGTACGAGCACCATAGACTTCGCACATGTTAGCGGAATCGACCCAGGCAGATCGGCCAGGATAGACTTGACCAGGGTCCTTGTATACTAGCTCGGCTCCGGCAACCTCTGACAGTTTAGTGATCTCTTCACCGCGCGGCATCCACACCAGCCTTGTAGGGTCGAACCAAACTGGACATTCGACGTTCAATGGATTGTAGAGGGTGACGACCTCGCTTTTCTCTGTCAAAAACACAGGATCTCGATCAACCTGCCGGATGACCCCAAGCTTCTGTTGATATATGATGTGGTCTCCGACGGCGAATGGCTCATAAGACTCAATGTCGGAGACGACAACATCATGTAGCAAGTTAGGTCGTAGCTGGTCCATGGGTGGCATTATGTTGGGGCTGAGACACTTCGGCTTATCTTTAAACATAAGCGAGCCATGTTCCCCTGTTAGTAAGTTGCTGGAGAGAGACACAACAGGCTCCAGAGTGTATTTAGTCCGGCAGCTTAGTACCCTGCCACACATCGCATCGTGCGCTTGACATTTGACGATATCCCCAATGTGGGATTCTCTGTCGAGAAGTCGAAGCTCATTTTCATGAACCAGCGAATAGCCCTGCGATCTATCCACGAACCGGACAAAGATATATCCTTGCGGGGTCTGTTGAGGAGCAAAAGAGGCTTTAGTAAACACGCAGAAGGAATCCCTGAGCTTTGCTACCTACATCCTCGGTCTGCAAGAATTTCTCCAGAACTTCCGCAGGTGTTGATGGATAAGACAGGATCAGGTAGTCCTCCGGCGGGTAAACTAGGGGCTTTCATGCAGTATAGGTCAGTCACACCAGAGATCTGTGTTCTGGAGACGGGGAAGAAAAAGTACATCATCATGAGTAGACTGTATCTGGTCAGTATCTGAGAGAAGATCTACCGCAAGAGACCTGGTAAACTTACCTCAACAGAGCACACGCGAGACGGATCTGAGACCAGACAACATATGTCCTCCGTTTCGAACTAGCACAATATGAGCTTTCACGTAGAGGAAGAGTAGCAAGCGATGTCTTCCTCGGCCCCCTGAACTTACGTGGATATTCGTATTTCTTTGTGCCTCAGTGGTCGCCGCCATCGTCAGGAACGAGGCCACGCGATCTGCATGGGCGTTTGAATTCGCAGTGGGCAAGTAGTTGGGCGAGCCAAACTGAGATGAGAGTATGAGGAAGAGAGAGAAGGGAGTAAATCCTGTAGGGTGCGAGTGTAGTGGTTTGCTGACAAGAGAAGGAAGAAGAAGAGGAGTGGCGTCAGAGGTAGGGAATCACTCGTGAAGGTGAGGGAAAGTGAGAGAAACTCCCTGGAGCCTTGGATAGATGAGGCAGTTCTGCCGTCTGCCTGGGGAGTGAATGGAGAGCCCAGCACCAGAGACCGGTCAAAGAGGGCCGACGCGCTTCACCACCTTCTAGAAAGCGTGTGTGATTACATGGGAAAGACAAGCCAGCCCCGCCGGGAAGAGGAGTATAGATAGATAGAGAATGAACAGGGAGGGGTTTGTTTTCCCAACAACGCCTCCAAAGGACTATTTCCTACCGTCATTCTCCTTCAACCTGAACAGAATCAAACATGCAACCTATGAACCACTGTGAAAATCCTTGTTGACGATAAAATCGTCAGCCAGTAGTCATACATTCAATAGTCTATACTTCTACTTTAGTAGTACCGCCAACCTCGGATAAACTTCCCTACAGCACGGCCTACATTAACTAACTTAGTCTTGGCACGACCACCACTCCAAAGCTTCCAGAACAACCACCGCGCCGATCATCGAACAATCAACATCACCATCACCAACATCCACACCTCCTCCTCACACCACCGAACACCAATACAACCACCCCCAAACCACCACCACCACTACCACCACCACAACCAACCAACCAAAAAAAAAAAAAAATGTCCGAACCCATCCCCGAATCAATCCCCACAAGCGCCGACCCGCGCAGCAAACGGCCGCTGAAGCGACGCGCCGTGAACGGCCCCTCCACCGCACAATCCGAACAAGCCTCGCAGATCGAAACGCTGATGCGGGACCCGACGCGCGAGATCCACCTACCTTCCCAAAAGCCGCCGCGCACCGCGGGGTCGCTGCCGCCGCCGCCGGAGATCGTCGCCAACGTGCAGGGGTCGTCGGCCGGGGCCGGGTCCGGCGAGTTCCACGTCTACAAGGCCAGCCGGCGGCGCGAGTACGAGCGGCTGCGGCTGATGCAGAGCGAGGTGGTCCGGGAGCAGGAGGACGAGGCGTGGGCGCGGAAGCAGGCCGAGACCAAGCGGCGGGATGAGGAGCGGACGGACAAGAATCGGCGGCGCCGGGAGAAGAAGAAGAAGCGCAGTAACGAAAATGCGAAGAAGGAGGGGGCTACCGGGGCTACCGGGGCTACTGGGGCTAAGGGAGGCAGCAGTGGTGGCCAGGCGGATACTGGGAACGGGGAGGGGAACAAGGATCGGATGGTGGTTGATGAGACGGCTGCCGCAAAGACGGTGGGGGCTGATGGCGTCGCTGCTGCTGGGACGGAGGAGGGTGGGGAGGTGCAGGGGATTATTATCCACGATGAGTGAGTTGGATTGCATTGCATCGGGAGGCCGGTGATGGCTGGAAGGAAGTGCTATGACCAGTATTGCACACAGCATGTGGAAAAAGAGATGCAGTAGATTTTACAATGTACGATATGAAGATACCCATTAGTTTGAAGTCTAGGATGTTCTTAACAGACTGTCCGTTCCACAAGGTCATCGTGCAGAATTATGTACGCAATTTTTACTATCTTGATATCTCTCGCTCCATTTACTCGTCGCCGCCGCCGGCACCGACACCCACTTGCTGAGCCGACTTACCGCTGCAGATGTCGTCGACACGGAGGAGCAGGCATGCGGACTGGTTTCTCTGGTTAGCTTATGAGACAATCTGACATCAACAGCGCGGGCACTCACCTCAACAGCAGTCTTGATGCTCTGGAGCTTGACAGCCTCGGGCTCCCAAACTCCGTACTCCTTCATATCAACCAAAGCTCCGGAGTCGCCATCCAGACCCCAGGTGGTGTGGCCCTCGACGTGCTTGGCTCTCATACGAGTGAGAACACGGATGGGGCTGGCACCGGCGTTCTGTGCTAACGTGCGGGGAATGACCTCCATGGCGTCGGCGACAGCCTTGTAGGGCCATTGCTGGACGCCCTCGATCGACTTGGCCAGCTGGCTCAAGCGGACCGAGACGGCCATCTCGATGGCACCACCGCCGGGGGAAAGGCGGGGGTGGAAAATGACATTCCGGGCCACGGCCATGGCATCCTGGAGGTTACGCTCGATCTCGTTCAGGATATCCTTCGAGGGACCGCGGAGGAGGATCGTGCAGGCCTTGGGGCTCTGGCACTTTCTTAGGAAGGTGAAGTACTCGTCGCCAATCTTCTCGATCTCGAACAGACCACACTGAGTCCCAACGTCGGACTCCTGGAGGTCGTCCACACGGTTGACAATGGTGGCGCCCGTGGCTCTGGCAATACGGTTGTTGTCCGTCTTTCTGACACGGCGGAGAGCTGTGACATTGGCCTTCATCAGGAAGTGCTGAGCGAGATCTGAACACAGGAGTCAGCTATATGCAGATCAAACCATGTGGACACAATCTTCCTACCTGAGACACCCTTCTCGGTGATGACAACATCGGGCTTCAGAGCCAAGATGGCATCGCACATGTGCTTAACCTGCTCCTCCTCAATCTGCAAGATGCGGTTCCAGTCATCCTCCTTGGAGATCTCGATGTTCGTCTGCGATTCACCCTTCTTGTACTCCAGCGGGCAGTCGAGCAAGATGATGCGGGGGTTCTCGATTCTTCTCCGCATCTTCGGGTGCGTGATATCCTTGTTGACCATGACACCGTCGATAACCTCACTGTCCTCAATCTGACCACCGGGGATCTTCTCGACACGAGCGTAGCGCTTGATGTCAACCTCACGCTTGCCACCACCAGCGTCAAAGGACACGGTCCGAACAGCCTTCAGGGCGAGACCGCACATAAGCTCCGACCACCGAGAGACGAACTTGGTTCCGATGGAGGACTGAATGAGGGTGTACATGGCCTTGTCGTCGTCGATGTCGACGGGTATCGAGACCTCCTCGACGATGGCGAGGGCGTCAGCCAAAGCACGCTTGAAGGCGGAGATGATGACAACGGGGTGGATGTTGCGTTCGAGTTGAGGAAGGGCCTGTGCGAGCATTTCACCGGCTGGTCAATGTTAGCAGGCTTGCATCGAGGCAATCAGGAGAGCCCTTGAACGGCAATGCATGCATACCAAGAATGATAACAGTCGTCGTTCCATCTCCGACCTCCTCGTCCTGAGTGCGGCTCAGTTCGATCATGCTCTTCGCGGCGGGGTGCGACACCTCAATTTCTCTCAGGATAGCGTGTCCGTCGTTCGTCAGAACAATACCGCCCATCGGGTCCAGCAGCATTTTCAGCATAGCCTTGGGTCCGAGACATGACCGGATGATATCCGCAACGCTGCAGTTGACAATACTGTATTAGAGACCGGAGCGGGGGAGGCGGGGAGAGGAAGGGTTTGACGTACGTCTTCGCAGCGGCAATGTTGGACAGCTGAGCTTTACGGCCAACCTGTCTGTCACCAGCGTTGGTGTCTATAAGCAAGTCAGCATTCAGAGGCCAAGCACAGGCAAAACCTCCCCCCTCAAAGCAACATACTCATCACCACCACCGGAGCCTGCATTTTGGCGGTGGTTCTTTGGCGTGTGTGGGAAAGGAGGGGATAGAATGAACGGGATTGAATAAGTCCTGCAAAAAGAAGCAGAATCTGAGCAGCAAGCAGCCAGAAAAAGAGGCCGGTTCGTAGGATGGGGAACTGAAGGTGTTGTGCCCGCCGTCACCATCAAATTTCCAGCGCACCCCGAAGTGGGATGGCGGACAGGAAGCTCACCGCCAACTAGCCTGAATTGGGTTTAGTGCCACCTTCCCCCTGATCTATCAGTTCTACCTGGATAACTCGACCGCCTCAATCTTTACTTTGTACTTGGTTATATGCACAAGATGATCTCTATATAATGAACCGGCCACATCGCAACAACTGCAATGATCGATCTCCCAACAACAATCAAGAGTCCCAATACACACCCATCAAGCTCAAAAAGTGGTATACCGCACAACGCCAGCACAATCGAAGTCCCCAACCCCAACCCGATTCTATCTCTTCAACAGCCTCCCCATTCTTCGTATACTCCTCTTCACTCTACATCGCATAAAGTTGATTACTGACCGGGTCTTCTTGCGTTGATGATGTGATTGAACACCGCCCTTCCCATCACCGCGCCGGTTTCTACTACTGCTCCCCGTATCAGTCTCATACAGAGGCCGCCCCCTATCCTCCGGCCGCGGTCCATAACCATAATGCATACTGTAAAACCGCCTCGAGCTGACGGGTGAGACATCCACATCCCGTTCAAAAACCGCCATCTCCTGATGAGGCGGAGCCATTTCCGGTACCGGTTCACCATCACCATCACCATCTCCGAACCAAGTACTGTTTTCCCCCATGGCAGCAGCAGCAGCCTGGATATCATTCTGCCGGTTGACCGACCACTGCTGCTGCTGCGAGCGCCAACTCCGGTCTTGCTGGTAGGTGTTTTCTTGGGTTTGTCGCAGATGGTAGTGGGCGTCGCTCATCTCCTGGTCCGCCGACAGCCGGGCCATCATGTTCTTGAACCAGGTCTCGGCGTAGTGGCTGTAGTAGACGGGGCGAGCGAGCCGGAGCTCGTTGTGGGCGCTCTGCTGCTGCTGCTGCTGCTGCTGCTGGAACCGGTGGACGCGCTCTAGCTGCAGCTCGCGCATGATGTCCTGGAGGTGCACGGGCAGCTGCGCCAGGGCGGCTTCGTCCAGGTCGTAGAGGACTTCGTCTTCGTCGTCGGTGGAGTATCCGCGGGACCCTCCCCCTCGGGGCTTCGGCCGCGGCCCGATCCAGGAGTACTGGCTGCTGCTGCTGTTGCTGCTTCGGCGTCCTCGGGAGTAGACATGGCCTATAGGCCCCACGGGCGGAAGCATGCTGGATGAGGACATGATGATCTGCCGGCCGCCGGGGTGCGGTGCCCTAGCCTAGTACAGCCAGTGATGGAAAATATAGTGCTTCCTGCCAGAAAGAGTCTGTCTCTGAGCTGGAGGCCCGATGGAACCCGGTAAAGGAAAGAAAGCAAGAAGGCCGACGTGTCACCGGACTTGGATTAGAACATTCATCGATGGCTATAACATCAATTGTCAGTATAAGTAGGATGTATAAGGGGCTTCCCTCATAGCTTCTTCGACTAACCTTTCACACAGTGAAGCATGCATCAATCGACCAGTATTCACGGTTTGGATGATACAGATACGCGATAGGTGTCTCCTGTCAAGCATTTCTCTCCATGCCGTAGAGCATAGACAGTGGTGGTCAAGCTGGATGTCATAGATGTGGCTCATGGGCACGTCTGTGGTGAATTGCGGATGATGCAGAAGACTCTCCCGCCCAACGTTGCCATCGGAAAGGTTGCGAAGAGACCAGTTCATAAATCGTCCCCCATCCTTCGCCCTGCAGGGTGACCCTCTGTATTCTTAAGTGAAATTCTTTGACGAGTGGATGGAGAATTTCGTTAAGACTGGTCATATGCAAGAAAGACGGTGAGAAAAAAGCAAAATGAGTTGTAATGGATGCCAGTGCATCCAGTGCAGGACATGAGAATGTAGAAAAGTATATTCAAAATAAGCCCACAACAGCCAAAAAGGCATATTAGACACTAGGGAGGCTCTAACACAAAAACCTTGTTGTACATATTTTATCGGACACTATTCAAACCCTCCCCAAAAAGTTAAAGGTTATCTCTCTCAGAACTCGCGACTTTCGCCGATATCGCAGACATCGAAAGCCCCCGTTTCCGGAAGGTCGTATTCTCGCAATGCCTCCTTCAGCTTCTTGGGGGGTTCAAGCACCTCTTCTTCAGTCAAGACCCATGTGCCCCAGTGGATGGCCATGGCTCGCTTGCATTGGGTGTCTCGGAAGATCTTGACTGCATCGTGAGGGTCGGCGTGCATGGGGCTCATGAACCATCTGGGCGCATAGGCTCCAATGGGGATCAACCCTAGGTCAAAGGGGCCTCGGTATTGTCCGATCTGTTTGAAGGCAGGGCAGGTGGGGAAGTTGTGCTCGGGGGCATGGTCGTTGGTGCCAGCTGGAAGTTCTGGAACGGCTGCGTACCCGGTGTCCCTAGAGATCTGGGTTAGGAGGAACAAAGCGACTTCATGATTCCGGATCATCGATCATAAACCTACCCAGCGAAGTATAATTTCTTGCCCCCGGACTCGATTGACCACGAAGCCCAGAGCGTCTTGGCCCGATCGAAGACTCCTCGGTTGCTCGTGTGTTGCGATGGGAGGCAGCCGATTCGAGCCTTGATCTCAGCTGACGGGGAATTGATGTCTTCAACCGCTCCCTCAACTTTTGCCGGGGACTCCTGGGAGGGCGACAGGACGAGATCGCGCTCGTCCCACCAGTCTAGCTCTGTTACGTTCTTGATTCCGAGCTGCTCGAACCAGCTTCTGTTACCCAGGGGGGCGAAGAAGTGGCAATTCGGGTGTTTTCTGAAGATTTCCTTAATAGTAGGATGCGAGAGATGGTCATAGTGGTTGTGAGAGATCACGACTGCATCGATGATAGGGATATCTTCAATCTGACAGGGAGTGTCGGTGTAGCGCTTGGGGCCCAGCCAAGACAGCGGAGAGCAACGGTCCTCGAGAACAGGGTCGAAGAGGACTCGCAGGCCGCTGGGGAATTCAACATAGTAGCAAGCGTGGCCGAGCCAGGTTGCGCGCAGACTGGAAGCGGTGCGACTGGCCAGGAACTCTGCTTTCTGGACAGGAACGGTGGGAGGTGCGGTGCTCGGGAATTTGACCTTGCCCGTGATCATCTGCCTTTACGCAGCAGCAGCAGGAATCATGCGCGAGTCAGCTCATCGATGCCTTGCCAACTTGCCTATATATGTCGTCGCTCTCTGCGGCCTGAGCACTTACCACCAAAACCGTGCAGCATCACTGATTGTGATATCCTTCCAAGAGCTGACAAGAGGGATTAAAGTTAATCAACCTCCTGTAATGTTCAGTTTGCCAGGTGGTAACTTACTCCCATGGGTTCTTGAAGCCATTGGTACGATGATGGGCCTTATCCTTGACATCACTCGGGCCCGGAGATCCCGGCGCGAGCAAAACCGCGGCCGAATACAGGATCCCTGATGCGGGGGTACTCATGTTGCGTTTTTTGGAGGATAACCCACGTGAGACCGATTCACTATGACGATGGAGGGAATGCCAATTTCTCCAGAGCGCACGCATATCCAACTTCCGGTCCTTGGGGGAGGGAGGGAGGCAAACTTTATAAGGACCAAGGTTCAAGGCACGGAGAGGTGCGTGGCTCGAGACAAAAAGAAAAGAAACTATTGATGACTATCAATTATGCTGACGCCTGCTAGTCACCTACAAGTACACAAAGACTGGAAGTTATTTTTTCCCAGAGCTAATCCCTGTCAACGCAGAGACCGGATAGGTTGATCAGCACAGTCACTTGATGGTGAATACGGGCTTGGAGCAAACGTACAGTACGGAGTTTAGTTCTCGAGGCTGGCACTTCCTTATCTCCGCCACTTAACCCCTGCGGCCGAAAATCCAAGTGGGGCCACCGCTGTTAGGTATTCAGGCAGTATGCACGAAATGTACTACACTCGAAAACAGTACTGACGATACCTACTAGTAGTTGCAGATAGTAGTAATACAGGATAGGTGCAAAGCGCGGAAAGTGGTTTGATATGCACAAGCTATACCACTAGTATGAGAGGAACAATGAGTTACTAGATATGTATTCCCTGCGCTCTAACCCTCCAACTGAATCAACCCCAAAGCAGATGGAAAGGTCAGGTTAAGTTCAGTCATGTCATATCATTCAGTGCTTGTTCTCCGTCTTCTCTCTCTCTTCTCTCTAGCTAGGGTATGGGGATAAATTAAACTAGCTCGAATATGACAGACAAGAGCCAAGAAAAGCAAGGCGTTTTGATCGGGGAAACAAAACAGAAAAAAAAAAAAAAAGAATAAAAAAAAAGAATCCAAGTGCTCCTCTCGTCGTCCCAAACGCCTTCAAACAAAGAACCAATAAGATCAGAAGTAAGATGGGAAGAAAGCAATCGTGTTCACTCCCGCTAGTTGTATTTCCGTGCGTGTAAGTGGTAGTAGGCAGAAGTAGTAGGTGTAAAGTAAGCCAATGAATCCGGTGTAGCAAGTAATGGTAAAAGTCGTGATTCCCAAATAGTCTTTGGTACTCGTGCAATGCGGTGGTAACAATGCATATGTTGATTCGATCAATATTGACCGGCCAAAAGGTATAGTTCGGTGGTGGACATATGTGCGGTTGGGTTCGTGGGGATTGAATAATCAAGTCAGGTCAAAACATGAGACACCAAAAGAAGGGCTAAGTTCTACTCTTCTTGGCCCGTTCATTACTATAGACCCCATCTCCCGTGTCCTTGGAGAGAGGGTACAGATGCATCCCCATGTCCGTCGGGAAGTCCGGATGCAACATGTTGAACCGGTTGGGGTTTTGAGGGACGCCATTCACCTCAGCAGGACTAGGCTCGACAAGGAGCTGCGCCAGGCCTCTGTCGACGAAGCCGACCGGCTTATTATGCAGCCGGTCCATGCGAGCCCAGTCGTCGTCAACTTCCTCGTTCATGAGCGGCGGTAGCGGGGGAGCGCCGTTGTTGCTTGGTCGCGCGTGGTAGTTGGCCAGAATGTTGTAGGGGAGATTGGGTCGCACAGCCGGCTTATCAGAGAGCTCAGCCAGGGCGTTCAGCGCGTGGTTGCCGTGCCCCCGGGTCGAGCGCGTGGCGTGGAAGTTTTGGCTGGCCGTCCGAGCCATATCGGTGGCCGGGGTACCGTTGTCTTCCGCGCCTGTGCCGTCGACGCCGGAACCCTCATCCGCGTCAGTGTTGTTGCCGTTGGTGGCGGCACCCGAGGGCTGATCCGCACGTTTGGAGGTTGAGAAAAAGTGTACGGTAGCTACATGTGCGTGGTTCGCGTGCGCACTGAGCTCTTTTTCCGTAAAGAGGTTCTGGATCGCGTATGCGGGCGCTTGCTGTTGCTGCACCAGTTGAGCTTTTGCGCGCTCGGCCGGATGTGATGATAAGCCCGAGTCGCGAACCGGAGAGCCGACTTCTTCCTCAGGTGCCTTTCTCTTTCGCCTGTTGAAAGTTTCTGCCATGGCTCCGTCGCCGAGCTCAAGATCAACACGATGGCGAGTATGCCGCGTCTTGCGATTGCCGTGGACACCGCCTGGGCTGGCAGGATTGGTGATGCTGAACTGGTTCGGATGCAGGAGCAGAGCGTTGGTGTCAGCCAGATCCAACTGCTCTTTCTCCCGCATCAGACGGGCCCGTTTGCCGGTAATGGTCTGGACGAGACGCTCGCGGAGGGTATTTGCAAGGTGTTTGTATTCTTCTTCGGCGAAGTGGACGCGGAACGCATATTCCCGTCGAAATCTTTCTAAATTGTTGGTATGACGACCCTGGGCAAGAAGGCTCATTAGCACGGGCAGGCCACACCCGAAATCAAGACAAAACGCAGACTTACTGCCAACATCGCTAAATCTGCATCCTTTTCGGCCTTGGCCTGGTTTACTTCCTGCACGAATCGCGAATACCACATTCCCGCCAGACTAGCCATCTCCTTGGCAAATTTCCCTCCGCCGACAGTATTCTCAATCAGCTGTGCAATCTCGTCTGCGGAGTCGGGAAGCGGGCCCGGCTCGTACGGATCCGCATTGTTGATGAGGGTCATGTCGCATTGAAGGGCATGCAATTGTTGCCGAAACTGAGTGTCTCGGTTCTGGCTGAAGGAGGCTGTTAGATCGTGGAGACGCTCCTGAAGCGCACTGCGTCGCTTGTCCCGTTTTGAGAGCGGCACGCTGGTCGGAGGACTTGTCGAGCGTCCACGGGAGTGTATATTGTTAGACATGTTTGGGGCACCGCTGCTATGAAGTGGAGATGGAGGAGCAGGCGAGTAAGCCATAATCTGGGCGGATCGCTCGCCTGGTAAATTTGCAAAGTAGAAGACGGGGGGAGGGCTGGGTTAAGTGCGAGAGCGATCTATTTCTCTTTTCACTCTCCCGCTGTGTATGAAAGACAGGAGCAATTGAGAGGTGGTGGAGAACCGCTGCTGTTAGAGAGCAGTGCAGGTCCCAATTCCGAAAAGTAAGCACATTCAGGGCGAGAGAGATATCGCAAGATGGACAGACAAAGCGAACCAGAACAAAGTGGAAGGATGAATGGATGGATGAACAGTGACGGAGGAGAAACAGAAAGCGGGCAGCCGGCCGTTGGCCCGATACAGCTTAGCGTCGGGGACATTCCTCACCGCCCGGCTTGACCAGCTCGCCTTGATTCCCAGGATAGTTAGAGATGAAATCGTGGTTTCGAACATAGGAACAATATCTACTGGTCTTTCCAGCATCGAAAGATCACCTTCCCTTCACGGTAATCTATGCCTCGTGTCAGACGCTGTGTTCTGATGAGAGAATCAATATCCCAAGCAATTGAATCTATACAAGTGCAAAGTACGCATAGTTCTTCAGTAGTTGATGCCAAACTGGCACCCTCAATTTGGATGAATACATCCTGTTTTATTTTGATACTTGGATCCCTGCAATCCAACATCTAGACTGATAGTAATAATCATCGTCATCATCGACACAAGCTAGTGGTCATCACGCTTCCATAACACAAGATATCCTGGGTATTCTGTTCCAGCGGAAAAACAATGCAAACAGCCAATGCTTCCTAGATAGACGTCCCAAACAACATGCAAACTGAGACCCAATGTCCATCCAACTCCTCAAGACGCCGTCGGACCCGCCAGGTCCCTTTTTATTGTAAGACCATATATCCAGCCATAAACAAAGTCAAAAGAAAGAAAATAAAAACAAGAATCAATGAGTAGAACGAGGGAGAGACGCAAAGGGCGTGATGCGTCTGCAACTCGCTCAACCCTGTCCGAGACCGCTTACGAGTGGGATCGGCGGATGACAAAAACGCCCAGTTCAACCCCATCGTGAGGTTCGGAATCCTCGCCGTAAGGTCGTCGTCGAATTCCATCCAAGATCTCACCCAAGAGCATGGCCGACGTCACCTCCTTGTCTTCCAAGATGTAGTTCGTGGAAGACACGTTGGAAACAGCTTTGGTGGCCGGAAGACGCCGACCATTCTGCCAATACACGCTAAGCACCTCCTTCATGCGAGCTTTCTCTTGGTGGATGAACCATTCGGTCCAAAGCTCCCGATCGAGATGAGCGCTGCCTTTTCGAGCATCCACAATACTAAATTGAGAAGAAGAGGAACTCAAAGAGTTGCAGAGCTGGGCGAGGTTTTCCCGCATCGTGTCGAAGTCGTCCATATGAGACACGGAAGAGAGCTTGCCCAGATAACGGCCGATATCTGTAGAAAGTTCATTCACAACCACGAGTTGACGAAGCAAGGGGTCCAGAATAGGACCCAGGTACTGTGACTTGAAAGTAGATCCACCCCTGCGAGTCGGGTAGACAAAGAGTAACGAGCCCCCGTGAGAGGACAGCTCGGATAGTCGATCAACCAAGAAGGACGGGCGGTATGGCGAAAAGAGATCCTTGTATTCCTGGGCCGACGAGGGGGGAAGGTAGCGTTCCAAGATCGAGAGATGAACCGTGAGGGGTGGGACGATCGGCATGGGCGAGTGAGAGGGTCGGGTTTGAATGGGACCGCGGAAGTCGTGATAAGCTGATACCACAGCGGCACTGGAGAAGACGGTGGGGTTGAAGTAATCGTCGTTGGAACATGAAAATCGAGGGCTATGTGGGGGCGATGATGGTAGGTTGGAGAGACTGAATTGTTCGGGAACTGCGTGGGTGATATTGATATAGGGCGATTGTCCATGTCGGAGTCGATTTTGTACTGCCTGCACTAACGAGCAATAGACACTGTCGTTGGATGATATCGTGGCGGCCTTGTCAGCAGGGCGAGGATAGGGGAGCATCTGAGAGACGATTTTGACGGCCTCTCCGCGGGAGTTCGAGAGAGCAAGTGATGAGACTATTCGCAATGGACCAATCAGCGGCGCTCACTCGCAGGTTCCTCGATCCTAACTTACCTGTAGCTTCGATGCTGTTCTCGAGCCATGAGCTGTGATCACAATCCATCTCATCTGACGACCCTGGGCTACCACCGGAGCTCGACGGCGACACGTTTGACAGCTGGTCGGAAGGGCTACTGAGGCCGTCAGTCCGCGCTGGAGAATTGCCGATGTTTGGGCCCTCGTCCATGACCATGGGCCCATGGTTTCGAGTCACATGTGACTCGAATAGCAACATATCGGAGGTGGGGTTCCAGGCAATATGATCGTTATCATCAGGGGGAGTAGGTGGAAGAGCAGAGAGGTAGTCACTTTTGGCCGACGAATCCCACCCAGTAGAGGAAGACTGCGATGCTCGAGTCGCCAGCGAACTAGAGGCAGTCGGACCAGTGGAAAGACGAAGGCGGGATTGCGGGGAAGAGGACTTAGAGTCGGAACGAGAGACTTTCGACGAGAGACCCAGTTCTTCAAAGGATGGAAGATGGAGAGAAGCGTTGCTGCGCGAGAGGAAACGGGAGACTGGAGAAGGCTTAGTGAGGATTGAGCCCTGCGAGGCTCGACGCTTGAGCCGACCTGAGCCAGTGTCGTGATGGAAGGATGCAGGAGATCGAGAGGAGTGGTGTTGTGGCTTGATAGGAGAGATCGGGCTAATGCGAAGGGGGTCGTGCGAGTCAAATGGCGACACGGCTCTTAAAGGCGAGCTAGGTTCTCCGGACACTTCTGACGAGGATGGCGAAGTTGAGGAGCTAGAGGTTTCTGAATATGGAGAACGCATGACCGAGCTGTTTCGCACCTCCAAAGCAGGCCGAAACGGTCCATGACACACTGGAGAATTCATTCAGTCTGCGGGTGAAGGCGCTGCTGGCACAGTGGAAGCAGCGAGGGCGAGACGCAGGCGGACCCAATAACAGAATCGGGCCCTGGAGCAACGGGAGGAGGCGGAAGATAAGACCGATTGGAGGGGGGGGATAGTGGGAGTGGAGGGGAATTGGAGAGAGGGCAGATCAACGCCTCTTGATGATAGCGGCTCGGTAAAGGGTGGTCAGGTTGTCTGTCAGGAGGATCGTGTGCAGTGGAAGGTTTCACGGAAAATATAGTCGAATCAATGATCACACCAATACCGGAAAAACGAGGTAGTGAAAGTGGTAGTGGTGGTTGAGACAGAAAACCAGTTTAGGTTGAGCTGAGGACGGGACGGTCGGGAGATTGATTGCTGTGTGGTGGTGGTGGAAGTATAGGAGGGAAGTATAGATGAGGGGAAGAGAGAGGGGAAGAGGAAGAGAGGAGAGGAGAGGAGACAAGAAAAGAAGGAGAAGAAGGAGGAGGAGGAGGAGGAGAAAAGAGAGTTGTGGTGGTAGTTGCTAGTTAATGGAAGTGTGCGGGTGGATGTGGTTGATGATGATCGATGATGATACAGTGGGGAAAGGGCGAGATTGAAGGGCGAGCGAGACTAAAGACTCCAGCTAGAAAGCTAGAAACCCAAAGAGACTACTACCGTACTCCGTCGTAGAAATTCGAAATTCGAAATTCGAAACGCGAAACTCGAAGAGCGGCCAGACGCCATCCAGTCAGTAAGTACTAACTTCGATGAGCACTAGCAGCAACAGGACAGACAGACAACTGAAGAAGGAAAAGGTTTTTTTGAGGGGAAGGAAGAGAAAAAGAGAGCGGAGTGAGTAGGAAGAAATGGAAAGAGGGAGGAAAAGAGGGAAAGGAGCCTAGCCAAGGTGGAAAATGGAAGGGCCAGAACAGATGGTGGTGGAAGTGGTGGAAGTGGAAGAGTGACAGACAGACACAGACAGACACAGACAGACACAGACAAGACAGCCCGAAAGGAACAAGACCCTCGGGCTGCGACTTTCCACCCGTGTTCTAGACCGCACCCTGCCTGATTGGGGAATTTCCTGACACGAGGCCGCCGCTCGCTGCAGATGGTGGTGGTGGTGATTAACAGGTCCAATTGTTCGACACTAACTATAGTAGAATTCTTTAACTTATGACTTATATAGATATACCCATCTACATCGTAGTCTTTCATTCTTCAAGACTCTATCATTTTGACTATTGTACAAGCAGAATCAGAACAATACTTAAGACTGTAACCATCCCGTAATATACACGTAATTAAATGGTAACATCCCTCAGTTCCAGACACTGCCCGGACTCATCCCGACTCATCTAGGCCTTCCACCCTCAGCCTGTTGTGTGTCCCACACTCCCACTGCCTTCCCATAGTGGCTGATCGGAGCTAAGATGGGCAAAGCCGGGCGATACCTTACCGTAACCAGCATTACACGGGCCTTGAGGCTATCCTTTTCCTTCCGTTGTGGCCACTTTTCTTCCTCCCCGTCCTTGGTTTTTGTTTTTATTGTATTTTTTTTTGATTTAATTCGAACTCTTTTCAGCTTTTTTTTTTGCCCCCCCCCATCCCCTCCTCCTCTTTCCATTACTCAAGACCCACTGCCTAGAACTGGCCTCACTGGGTTCACCTCCAGTCATGACTCCACGGACCGTCGCCTTTACCCGGCTTTACGACTGCCCATGCCCATTCTTGCGTCGTCTCAACTTCTTTCTCATTATCTGTTGTCGGTGAGGGTGTACTTATTGTATGGGTGGTATACCACTTATCGGGGAGGAGGACAAGACACACGACCTGCGGATGACCTGGTCAGTAATCCTATTTCCACCCCACCAACCAGCCCTCTCCCAAACCATCCCCCCCCCGAAGGCAACAACAGCTATAGCTACTGCTTCTTATGTCGAATGCGGCATTTTGATAAATACTCATACCATCCAGATCCCCAGTCAATCCTAGTCCATGGCATGGCAGGGCTGCCAGGCGCCCCGTCAAGCTGTCCGTGGTGGTCAGGGCAGTGACAGTTGATGTGGTCTGGGCTCTCTTTGCCCTTTTCCCTTTTCCCTTTTCCCTTGCCCGCCCACCTCGCCTTAGAAAGGATCTCGTATTACCCGGATCAGCATCACTTTTGGACGATCATCATCCTGCACTGTCTGATCGAGGAGGCTTGTTTGCCTGGTCTTGCGCGCGCGGGCGCGGGTGTGAGCCTCGATCGGATCTCCGGGTCGAGACACGCTCTGAATCAGATGCGAAACGACAATTCTCATTTTCCCCCTACCGTACTCCGTACAGTACACAACGTACATACAAATTGTTGATGCGACAAGGTCAACAGCAAACACCTCGTCACACCGACAGACAGGCGAAAAGTAATCCCAGGGCGCCCGGCCGCCCGCCCACTGCCCACTGCCCCCTGCCCCCGGAAGATAGTCCCTGCACAAAACGAGAGATGGGGCTCTCTCGGCTGAAAAATCTGTGCACAATCAAGGTGGAGATTGTGTATAAATAGATTGGAAGGGGACTAGCTCCCTAAAGTCACCAAGTGGCTCGGGCTTGATCATCGCCGGGCCTCATTGCACAAAGTCATAACTCAGAAGTTAATATGTCGGAGGTTTTTTTGGAGGCATACACAGTAGATTCCACTCGTACAAGCTCAGGCTGACTACTGGTAGGTATGGGGGGGGCAGCTCAGCTTCAACCCGGTCCTGCTCTCTGAATGGAAACTCAATTGGTGATTCATACAAGTGATGGTCAAGTAAACACCAAAGAGGAAAATGATTCCCCGTCCACTCAACTGCTACTTCCCCAGATCCAGTCATTTTCCCATTTCCCCGAGCCCGTCGACCAGTCCACGATACTTTCCATGAATCATCTATTCGGTTTCCCCTCCAGGCTTTACGAGTACTCAGCAGTAGGTATGCTTTCTCAGATCTTGACGTCGTCAGCCTTCCCTCCTCTCCATACCCCCCCACCCAACTCCCCCTCCCTCACCCTGGTTCCACGGCAGAAAGGCGCACCTGCATGGCGCGATCGAATCCACTGCCGCATCCGGGCGGATTGACGCCTAGACCCTGGTTTCCGTGCTGCCGAAAAGATCCGCCTAATGTGATCGGGATTCCGCCTGGGTAGTCAAAAGTTGAACAGGTCTTTTTCATCACATTTCTTTTTATTTTTTCCTCGCTTGAGGATTTAAGGTTCAATTTGCTTTTACCGTGTGTGCGTGTCCAGGTTTTCTTTTCCGTGAACACCGCAACTTTTGACTGCGGGTTAAGATCATTTCATCTTCAAGGTCAAGTGCTCCGTAGGTTGGCGTGACTATACTTCCAGCTCATCTCATAGGCTCTAAGGCAGGTACGAATCACAAGAAGCATAATCCCGCCCTTTGTCCCAAACCTAAGCACACCGTACAACCTTAGCTATCTCGATAGACTTTGAGATTGGAAATCAATTTAAACTTGCCGACTTTGCCGTGACGAGTTTTGGTTAGGTGCTGAAGACTACCGCACAAAGAATCATGAGATCCGTCAATGCTACAGGGTACATGTACATACAGTACAGCAAGATCTTTTACACTCTTTACACTGGGCAGCGATGAGTAAGATCCAGTTGTACGGAGTAGATCCGGGCAGAATCCCGCCCGAGCCTGAGGCTGAAATGCGCAATTGTCCGTTGCGCGTTGCTTTTTTTTTTTTTTTTTTATTTTTTTTTTTTTTTTTTTTTCTCCCCCTACTGAGTTAAATTAACGCGCAATCAATAAGCTTGCTCGCCCGTCGCTGGAAATTACCCTTTACCCAATCGTTGCTTTTTTTTTTTTTTTTTTATTTCACTCATCGCCAATCAACCCTCTTAACCTTGAACCCCTTATTCTTTTCTGCTGCAAGTAAATGATCCGAACCTGCCCCCGTCAGATTCACTTCCCATACTTTCCACACTTTCCATAGATCTCCTACCTATTGTCCCCCCGCCGAAAGAGCGGTCGACAAGTCACTGACTGACACTAACATGTCTAAGGTAGTATCGATGAACATTCATTCAGTGAGTGATGCACAAATGTATGCGCCCGCCAGGCTGAGCCTGGGTCTAGTCCTTTCCCTTTCCCTTTCAATTCCACCGTACCTAACCCTCGAAAATGGAAATTATGCCCCTCCTCCCCTCCCATGACCCGAATCAGCTCCATCCGTAAATCCGCCTCTGTCGTTTTTTTTTTCTTTCTATGTAGACTAGGATCCAGTTCACGACGTCAGTGGCTGGTCCGGTTTAGGTCCCGTGCTTTTTTTTTCTCCTTTTCTTTCGACAACTTTACACTAAAAAGGAAAACATCCACATCCACGGGGACAGGGAAAATCCATTTGACAGCGAAAGGGGGGGTTGCTTGGTGGCTCACTTGTACTCGTACCTGATCTAGTGGTCGGGTTGGTCTCCAGCTTAGAGTGGGCTTTTACATTAGGGGTCTCTACCGGTACAGTAAAATTGCATGACCTTCTACAGCCCGTATCCCCACGACAATGAGGTCAGAATCATACTCATGGATACCATTTCATTTCGCTAAAGACTACCACAAACCACAAACCACAGGAAGCAGAATCCATGACGGATAGATTTTCCCCACCACCGATGGGTTGGGTCAGTCAGGGAGATTGCACTTCCCAACTGTGCGGTTGACACCGTCAAAGTCAAGTCAAGTCAAGTTAAGTCCTGTCATCAACTTTGGTCCACTGTCAACTTTCCAGGGACCCAAGGGTGTGTGTGCACGTATCACCTGGTCCCTTTTTTTTTCGGTGTGCTCGGTAGACTTGCTTGATGGGAATACCTACCTACCGGTAGTAGGTAGATGAACGAATACGGGAGGTTGTTCGCAATTTGCATTTACGGTACTGTGCTGAGAGTAAGATTATCTTGTAGATCTCCGACGCAATCCTGTTTCCCTTGGTCGTGACAACTGACAAGGGAAGGAAGGGCAAGGGGTGAGTCTGTGACCAGAGAGTCTAGATCTTCTTGTTCAGAATTCCATGTACTGACTGTATGTACATGTACTATGTAAGTCATGTTGATCATGGTCTAGGTTGATAGTCCTCGATAGCGTCCGCCCATGCTTAAAGGATGGACTATAATCGTAAGTCACGGGATTCACCAAAGGGGCCACATACATATGCGTGCACACTAGAGTAACTAGGTTCCGTAAATCATCACTGACTGTATACTGTGTAGCAAAAGTCCAGTCCATTCTCAATGCCATGCCATGCGATGCACCTTCATCTATTCTGACCCGTGGTAGTCTCCAGCATCCTGATACAGTATCACGACCATTATCCGACCCTCAACAATACAGAGTATCCTCCCAATCACTAAATATTGTTATCAGATGTTCCCACCCCAAATCCTCATAGATAAAAACCAACCACGCAACCCCCGTCCAACATACACGGTACAAAAAAAGCCCTTTAATCAACCCGACACAAAGCACTACCCCACAATCCCAGATTTCTGCGTACTGTACTCCGTACATCAGTAGATGGAAATTCCTCATTCATCCCAACTCCACACCCCCCACCCCCCAATATCGCTTTCTGAACCCCAACACCCACTCAGACTGTCAATACAACATCCCCCTCCCGATCGCATTCATCATCATCTTGTCAACCTGAATCAACACTTATCGAGTAACAAGAGAATCTGTTCGATGAATAGATTAAAAACGGCCCCCTACCCACCCAAATTCTTATCCCGTCATCTCACTTAGAGTTGGTCGTGGTACGTATTCACTCTGCCCTGCCCCGTCGGTCCCGTCCCCTGGCCTGGCCTGGCCAGCGCCCGGCCGCTCGGGTGTCTTTCCTTTATTGTTTGTCTGGACTGAGGGGAGTTACTGGGAGGAACGCCACCGGACGAAAGAGGGAGGTTGTGGTCTGGACCTATGCTGAAGGGTTATTTCTGGGGTTGATTGGGTGGTTGGAAGGGACTGTACTACGGGGTGACTACACGTGTGCATTCTGGTAATTTCTGGGGAATCCAAGGATAATTGAAGGGACCAGGCTGCAGACCTGGTCGGATTAGTTTTGATTTGCGTACAAATGTCATGTCAAGCCAGGCTACATGCAGCAGAGGCGGTACCGATGGTTGCGACTTGCTAGCGAATAAACTAGTAGTTGTTAGTCGTAGTCCAGGTCCCCTGGGGCAGGGTCCGAGAGCTGGAGCTGGGGTTCAGTAATTGCCGGGCTTTAGTTAGCTATGCTTGATATTGCTCAACTCGCGGGCTCTAACTACTTGCCTGGAATGATTATCCGTTCAAGTGGATGTCAGTGCTTTGACTACTTCTTATTCTTATGAGATATAGCTGTAGAAAGGGATTGTTGCTTTATACTATTGTCAATTCAGAACTGCGATTAATAACCTGAGGTGAGAATATCAGTTCTGATGCTGGATCTACGTACAGTATCTGGATCTGGTGCTAGTTGCACCCTGATCCTCTATCAGTACAGATGATTTCAGTTCAGTGTGACGACCAGGTGACCGGCCATTACTTCTCAAACAAGCTGCAAGTATAGGATTATGCCCCTGCTGTTCAAGCAATATCCTCAATCTTACAGCATGGTCTCTGCACGTAGCGCAGAGACGATTTCTGACAACAACAGTCCTCGAGCCCTCACAAGGGATAATCAACACATATTAAGCACAGGTACAAGAAAACCACCCCTTTATCCTGATGCATCAGACTCCGTGCCCAGCCCTCAGCAATCAACACTCTCGTGAACTTGTCCCGATGAAGGACCTCACAAGTCCTTAACCCCCCCCCTTCCCGCAGGATTTCTAGCTCAAACCTTGCTCAACATAGCACCGATGCGGTGTCTACCCGGGAGGAGGGGGAAGGGGAGAAGGGGGGCAAGGATACGATGGGACCCGGGGGAATGGATGGCGGCGCACCTTACCTATCTACCTACTTACCTACTTACCTACCTACTTACCTACTTACCTACCTACTTACCTAACTACTAGGTACTCCATTTCGCCTTTTGAGCAGATTGTCTCAACAGCCAACCATCACCAACATCGCCACGGCTCCGCTTCAGGACAATGCTACCCAACAAATCCTCATCCTCTCGCCTTGAGGCTTTGCTAAATTCCAAGAACTAGCCCGAGGGCGGGCACAAATCATCGAATCTGGCTTGATTACATACCCCCACCCCAACCCTCCCTCAAGTAGAGCAGCCGGAAACACCAGGGCTATACATCAGCCTCACACGACACGCAGTACTCAGACGAGTTAGAGTCGCACACCACATTCCGTTCATGGATCCTGGGAACCACGCCATCTGTGATGCATGCAGCAACAAGTACCCGACCTCAAGCGACAATCTTCCAGATGTTGAAGGGGCGAGATAGGAGTCTGAGAGAGAGGGAGGTGACGAGGAATAGCGGCTCTGATTCCTTCCTACAGCGGACAGAAATAGAGGGGGATGTTGTTGCGGATGGTTGTTGACGTTCAGAGCACTGCCGAGTACATGATATAGGATGACACGAGGGCATCATGCAGCATTGCTTTTGTTCAAGTTCAAGTCCAGGTCCGTACGTAGGTATAGGATGCGAATCGAAGGCCGTGCCTGTACAACATAAGGGTAGTTGAGACACTGTAGGAAGAGTCGCCAATAGCACAGTGGCAGAGCACTACCGAGCTCTCGAACGAGAATTCGTGGGCTATTTCAGGATATGGATCCGAACAAAGTAATGGTCAAACACTAGCCCAACATACACAACCTTACCCATGTACGCAGGGCCAGGGACAATCCTACCTGGTAGCTCCAAGTCTAAAGACAGGAAGGCAGACAACAGCAGCAGGGGAGCGAGCGAGCCATGATATGCTCCGGGGCGCTCCCCAGTTCCACTGCGGTCGGCGACCAACCTGATAAACAAGGATGCTTCTGTTGTTGGCAGTGGCAGTTTTCACTGATCGAACATCACCGGATGTAAGGACAATCCGACCATGTCGCGGTTGTGGCGCTGATGATAACGTCCTTTGGAAGGGGCCTGTTCCGTAACGCCTTGCGCTTGTCAATGGGATGAAGAATAAATAAATAGGTTGGTCCATGTGAAAAAAAAAAGCCCAGCGCTGCGGTCGCACAACATCATGGAATACTCAAGAGAAGTATCTTATGTATCCATACTCATGTAGTGCTTGGCATCATGCCATCAAGTCAGGATATGGAGTACTGGAGATGATGTAGCCTGGAGTCCTAAGGTCTGAATAGGCTCGTGGCATTGGTTAGCTCGGTCGCTCAATGCACCAAAGGCGAGTCAGACTTACCGCTGATGCAAGTCCGTAGCTTGGGCCACCGACTGACTCGTTACAGATGAATGTTTACACATGTGGCTAGTTTGAAACTGACTATTTGCAATTGGTCTGTATTTCACTATCTGGTGTAAACCGAGTAAGCTGAGTTACGACGCGCGTCTCAGAGTTAACTCATCAGTCGACTGCCCAGTAGGCTATAAAACTCGACATCCATTCGAATCCCTGGCCGCCTAAACGGAGCCCATTGCTCCTGACGCTTGCACCGCAATGCGTAGTGCAACCGCCTGGCTGCAATTGTTGGCTGGACCGCCCCTGCCCATTTCTGCTGACGAATACCCGCCGCACAAGTGCATCTCCGCGGGTCCCCTCCTTGCAGACGTGGCTAGAGGCCGACAGTTTGATAGCTGCCATGCGGATCATATGAGCCTTGCAGAACTGGTGCACGTAGAGATCCCTTGCGTGATAATGCGGCGGGTGGAGTCTCTGGGGGTAGGAGGTCGCAAGATATCGGGAGGTAGCGAATAGTTCGCTTCCCGTCATCGCGTTCCACTCCAGATCTGAGTTTCGACTCCCAGAGTCATGGCACTGCATGTGAATAATGCTTCACGCAGAGCTAATCAGTTCCGACCCGGTGGACGGAGTGAAACGGAGTCATGCCACTATGCCTCGAAGGGTGGAAGGGTGTGGTAGGATAGGTGGATCGCTCGTATTCGTGAACATCAAGTCCAATGGTTGGAAACTTTGATTATCACACCATACCAAGGTAGCACTTTCAAGACGTCACGGATCTTCTGCGAGCATCCGCATGGCGGCGAGTGTGGAAACGTTGAGGCCGATCGGTCCGACGTGACTGCATGCCGCGACCGGTGGTGACCTTGGCCATCAGCTTTTGTTCATCGCCCATTGTGATTGTGACTGGCGTGCAGTTGGCCGATTTGGCCACAACAGCCGGTCGTGACGAGTCACAGTGGAAGCCGGCGTGGTACGACATAGACGGCGGCGGGTCTTGCCGATCCAGCGCCGCTTGCAGCTCCAGACACTGCAACACCAGCTCCTTGACACTGTCGGTCAGCGCATACGCGCGGTATTCAATATCTGGCCAGAAATCATCGCCCCAGAAGGGATCTTCCCGGACGGCGGCTTCCAATGACCGGAGCCAGAAGTCGAAGCTCGGCAACCGTCTCTTTGTCCCTTGCAAGTGGTCGGACAAGAGACAGGCCACGGCGATAAAGCGAATGGTGGGCTCGGAATTCATCACATGAAGCACAATGCACGCCGGGCAACGCTCCGTCAAGTACCAATCGTGTTCCTCGGTCAAAATCGAGTGTAACCAGGCATAAGCACTCCGTGCCTCTCCCCGGAAGGCCCGGTCGGCTTCCGCTCCTTTGCGACTGGGAAGGACATTGGCGGCGATGCGCGAGGCTTCGTGATGCAGGAGAGACAAGGGAAGGAGCAGCGTGTGGATGATATCGCGATGTAGACGGAATGTCTCTTGTTCCTGGGCAAGACAGGAGTTGCGGTGGCAGGCGCAAAAGCTACAATCAACCCTAATTAGCCCTGGGATGACCAAAACAACCAGCCTCTTCCAGTCACATACCTCGGAGCCTTCATGCCCAATTCCTGTCGCCGGAGGTGTTCTCGCATCATGCGAAACGCCTCATTGCGATCCAGGTTGTCGCGGTCCTGGTGCGAGATGCGAAACGGCGATACAGTATTGGCAGTCGACATTGTTCTTAATCGAGTCGCCCGTTGACTATGTGGGGACAGCCGTAGGATCTAAGAAGGATGTTTGGCAAAGGCAATTCTGAAGCGCCTAGTAGGTGAATCGAGGTGACGTGCTATGATAAGGTAGACAGTGTGCGCACACGACTAATCTGTGGCCAAGCAATTATGGCAAGCACAGGCAGAGAAGCTTTCCTGAAACGGCAATGATGAGGAAGGAAGGAACCACGGATAGCATGTTCCAAAAAAAGAATTACTGGAGAGGAAGTGGTAGAGCAGAGTGACTGATATCTCGAGGGGAGGAGCGAGGTTGATAAGCAAGCGAAACCACAACAGAGACCTGTGATGAGTGACTAGAAAAGTCCGGGGATGGGAGAGAGGGGGGGGGGAGGGGAAGGGAAACAAAAGCGAATATGAATATTATTATAATAAGCGCGATTGACAGCGGACAAGGGGAGAGATACGGGGAGAGGGAGAGGGAGAGGGAGAGGGGTTAGATGAAAAAGGAAAAGGAGGAAATGAAACGGTGACGAGCGATGCCCACTCACTGCATCGAATGCGGGAAGGAACCTTGAAGCCCGCCAAAAGCCCGCCAAAGCCAGCCCACGCCAGCCAAAACCAGCCCAACCCAGGCGAGGCCCCGTCATCCACGCAAGCCCCCGACGATCCAATTCAACTGCTCCAACATCCCTTTATCTCGCAATCTCTCACACGGTTACACCCCTGCGACCGTTCAATATTTGGACTCCGGTCTGCAGCTTCGATGCGTGCAACCTTCGCCGCTTCTGATAGTACCTGTATGTTTTTGCCGCCATTTTTTGGCACTCTTCCTGGTCTTCCACCAGGTCCGGAAAAATGAATGGAATTGTGTGGGAGAAGGGAGGTGGGAGGGAGGGAACGGACCTCGTCCGCACAGTGATCCTCATTATCTGGCCATGGATCGGCCAGGGTCTCGATCGTTGTCCAGACCCAGTGGCCCCTCGTGCTGCCCGGGCAGGCCTTGACTCTGAATAACTCGGCCCATAGAAGGTCCATAAAAAAGGGGGGGCAATTTCAGTCCAAGGCCGCCAACTGGCTCGGGAAAGACTGGGCCGCCCACCAAACTAGTCGAGATAGTTAATGATAGTTGGGCACGATTCCCGCTGCCACTGATCACATCACGATAGTCGTCCACGTATGGCGTCACACGCCAACACCGGGAAGCAAGATCCAAGACATCGGAGAGGCAAATCGAAAAGAACACGAACAAGGGCTGCTTCTTTTTTTGGTCGACGGTTTTTGCCCCTGCTCCTTTTTGGGGGGAGTTTTTTCGGGGGTATCGAATCTCGAGGAGAGAAACATGTAGATTGCGCTTTAATTATCACAGTGGGATGCAGTGGGATCATGCAGTGGGGGGGAGAATCGAGACATTGCAGCAACACCATTGGCGGGGATGTCTGAGATCGGTCAATGACTAAGCTCACCTGATCCCGGCCTGCCATTCCGGGCATTTCCGAGGCTCCTCGGACGAGGTCGGCTTAGTTCAACTGTAGTGGCCTGAATAACCAGGCCCCCACAGGCCCCCACGACCGGTTCATTCCTCCCTCCCGAATTACCCAATTAGGAAGGGAGGATAATACTCAGTACACCCACCAACTGCAGAGTCGCATTTCAGTTCTCTCTCCCTATCTTCCAGAGACTATGTTGACTGTGCATAGTCAATCCCTCGGAAGCATTGTTCACGTCGCTGCAACGCGAACCCTGCATACATCCATGTCGCCAGTATGGCAGCTTGAAACTCAGGCATTTGACGATTCCCTCGGTCTTCCACCTTAATTCCCCGCCCCCTGTCTGCCATTCCGCGCATTCCAGCTCATCCCCCGACACCAATGGCTTCAAGGAGGCCTGCGCCAATGCTCTTTGACATCATGCTACTGGAAATACCATTGTCAGGCATGTCTCCGTCCAGAAATTCACGGTGCCATGGTATGGCTGGGAGCCATCTCAAACTCCCAGGTACCGCGTCGCGAGGGTGTTGAGCAGCATGGCATCACATATTAAAGAACCTGATTCTATCCCATGATGAGAAGCATGTCAGGCTGGCATCTAGCGACTTCAGTTGTTCTGTTCTCAATCGGGTTGCATATCGCGGAGAATTGGTTCGACTGTCTATCGAACCCTTGCAGCTGCTGCTTCGGTGAACACAACGAGCCCGGTAGCTGGTCCAGCACACGTTCGCCTTCGTGCACACGAAGCTGCTGTTGCGAACTCGTCTGTCAGACAGGTACAATCGCTTTGTCCTCATTCATCTGCTCGACATTAGCCATTCTGCACGAACGACCGCCACACGTCGACATTGAAGCACCCAAAGCTATAAGCCGGCGCACATTAGCTCAACTCGCACAGAATGAAGACACACTGCTCACCGTCGCTGGCGACACTTTTTATGCTGCTCGCAGCATCAGTGCCTCGCGCCGCACATGCCATTCAGACTATTTCGGCCGTGGGCTCGAAATTCTTCTATGAGGACGGCAGGCAATACTATATAAAAGGTACAGCACCGCGGCCTACCAATACCACTTCACCGATCCTCCTTACTAACGCAAGTGTCCTTGGCGCTAGGAATCGCCTATCAGCTCGTTCCCGACGATCCCTTGATTGACACCGCTCAATGCACGCGAGATGCGGCCCGCATGGCTGAGTTGGGCACCAACGCAATCCGCGTCTATCATGTGGACCCTGAAGCCGACCACGATGGCTGCATGAAGGCCTTCGAAGATGCAGGCATCTATCTCTTTGTGGATCTGGACACGTTCGATACAGCGATCTCCCAAGTCCGTCCCCAACCTACAGAACCTCATGTCGGGTCACATGACCCCCCCGTAGCCGTGATACTAATAAAACCGTGTAGGTCGAGCCTCATTGGGACCAGACCCAACACGACCGGTTCGCAGCTGTTCTGGATGAATTTCAGCAGTACAACAACACGGCCGGATTTTTCGTCGGCAATGAAGTCCTCACCACCAAGGATGGCTCTGCCGCCGCGCCATACGTGCTAGCCGCCGTTCGCGACATGAAATCCCACCGCGACGAGAAGGGATATCGCCCGATTCCAGTGGGCTACTCTGCAGCCGATATCGCAGAGCTGCGGCCCATGCTGCAGAACTACCTGGCCTGTCGGTCGGACCCCGCAGAGCGCCTGGACTTCTTCGCCCTGAACGCCTACGAATGGTGTGGGGAGTCGACCTTCACCCAATCCGGGTACGAGTCCCTCCAGAAGCAAGCCGAGGGCTACCCCGCCCCAATCTTCTTCTCAGAGACCGGTTGCAATGTTGCACGCCCCCGGACCTTCGGCGACCAGGCCGCCATCTTCGGTCCCGAAATGGCGGACACTTGGTCAGGCTCAATGATCTACGAGTGGATCGAGGAGACCAACGACTACGGGCTAGTGAACTACGGCCCTCCTCCACCGCCTCCGGCCGCGGACGCTCCCGCCGCAGCCACCGCCAACGGGCCCCTCGTGCAGGATGGCTTCGTCCGCCAGGGCGAACCCACTCCCGTCGCACCGGACTTCGACAACCTCAAAGCGCAATGGGCCACCCTCAACCCCACTGGCGTCGCTCTATCCGACTACGCCGCCTCCACCTCCACCATCACCCCGCCAGCGTGTCCCGCCTCCACCGCCGGCGGATGGGCCGTCGACCCCAGCGCGCCGCTGCCGACCCTGGGCCAAGCGGCACCATCCCACCGCGCGGCACCGACAGGCGCGGTGACCGGCGATGACTCCTCCTCCAAGGATGAGGACAGGCCCCCGCGGCAGCAGAAGGAACTCGACGTCTCCGACGCCATGTCCGCGTCCTCGGCGCAGACCATCCTCCCCTCCTACGAACTCAGCAACGGGGCAGGTTCCTTCGCTATCCTTCGCGAGGGCAGCCTCAACCGCGCCATCGAGGTGTCGCTCGCTCTGTGCACGGTCGTAGGAGGTCTGGCGCTGTGGTTATGAATCTTGTGATCTGATGTATGTTACGCGACATTTTGGAGTGTATCTTCTTCTTCCGGTGTCCCTGGCGTTCTGCTCTTCTAAAATTCAGGCCTTCCCCACATTATCCGCGATCCCTCGCTGTTTTTCTTTGACCTTGACTCTTCATGCATTGCGGTATAGTCCGAGCCCGAGGGTGGTCACTGGATGACTATCACGAATCAATACAATATCCCATGGAATGTACTTTGAGCAAAGAAAGCATCCCCATATGGGCGATCCACAGTGGTTACACAGATTCAGTCACCCAGATGGGAAGCTGGACTATTTTTTAATACGTACAAGCGGTCCGCTAGGTAAGCCGAGAAAGACCAAGTGTTCCAAAAAATAATTAGGTATCAATCACAATTCACGCCCAGAGACTCCGCCTGCACACCATGCTCGTCACTCATCACGCCCGAAGTAAGGGAAAAGATCCTTTGTGTAGGTAAATATGAGAAGGGGATATACAATATGTGTGTCAGGGGCAAGAGAGCAGTTGGTCGATGGTGGCTGAATAACGACGGGATGATGAGGGTGGGCTAGAGCCCGGGGTGGAAGGTTCAGTACACATCTACACCGCATCAGTAGAAAGGTATGCGCGTGTAGGTTCCGATTGAAGGATAGGATGAAGGAGATCCTGACGAGAAGATCCGGGGGAAGGAGGATGAGGCAAGGGGGCTCTGGCGATCGCTGCTCGATGACGGCATATTAGAAGTACAGATATGTGCACTGCTGGTAATTATGTTCACAAGGAAAGAAATGACAAAAACGTGGGGGAGGGGGTTAGTTCTTCCCCATTGCAATGCTATAGTTCCAGGAGGGATCATGGTGCATTGACGGCCCGGACGCATACTCGGGGTCCAGCCAAGGGGATGGGGATGGGGATGCAGTCCTAGAACTGATGTACCGGTCATGTTGTTCGGGGTCGGTGTCGCTGCTGCCGGTGACATAACTATCGGTCAGATAGCAGTCGGGGAGACTGGAGCTGGACGCGGAGGCGGTCGAGGAGGGTTGATAGGTCTTGAGACTCACGGGGCCTCCGGAGTTGGTCGTGGTCGTGGTGGGAGAGTACTCGGTGCTTGCTGTGGAGCTGATCAAAGACGACGGTGACCGCGGTGCTGCTGGTCCGGTGCGCGGGACAATCAGATTATTCGAAGATAGATCAGCATTCTTATTGGTGCCGACGCGCAGGGCGTTCTTCGACCGAGGAGCGTGATGTTGCAGTTTAGAGGTACAGTGTATCGGAGTAGCGGCGGCGGCGTCCAACTTCTGGATCGCGCGCGCGAATAGCTGCTCGACCTGGAACGCGGAGGGACGCTCGGCTGGGTCTCTGCTCAGCATCACTCGAACAACATCGAGCATTGGCCGAACGGCCTGGAAGATGGAGTCTTTGTGTTTCTTGGCGTCGTTGTCCAGGAGTGTGATCCATGAGCAGACCTGGCCGGCGTTCCGGTCCAGGTGAAAGGAGCAATCGGCGACGCCGCCCCCACGGCCGGCAGTCCGATTCTTGGCTCCCCGGTGATGAGCAAAGGCGGAGAGCTTGCGTTTGCAGAGAATGGTAAAGATATCTAGTATCACAGCCCCGAGGGAGAAGATGTCGGAGGCTTCCGGGTCCGTTTGGCGCGTCTGCCAGGTCTGGACTATTGCAGCATTCGTGCCTATGATAGGATAACCGATTGGGTGATATATAGCAGAAGAGGCGGAAGAAGATCCCGAGGAGTTGGAAGAGGTGATGGAAGGTGTATAGAACATGGGCCGTTTGATGGATCCGATGGCGCGTTTGCGGACACTTCCAGTACTGGATCCGGAAGAGGACGATTGGGTGAAGGAGACTCGCGACGAAGAGGACCCTTGCAGGCCAATTCGTATGGCAGTACCTTGCGAGGTGACCGATTCTGCACGTGGACTGTCTGTCTCGTGATCGGACGGCAGAGAGCTTCGGAGTCGAGACAAGCTCAGGAAGGACGGGCGTGCAGTTGACGAGGCCGACTGCTTCCGCGCCGAACGGCTCCCTGATGGAAGACTAACCGATGGTCTCGTTATGTCAGTGTTCTGGACACTGACCGAGCGCACCCAGCGCTCTGGGGAGCCATACTGATACGACTCGACGTCATCCATCTTGGCCGGCGACAGCAAGGTATCGAGTGCCTCGAATTGACCTAGATAGACTCGGAATTCAGCATCGACCAGTATGTTCGACGGACGGATGACGCTATGTGCATGGCTATGTGCATGCAGCCAAGACAACCCATCAGCCAAGCAATGCGGCCAATTGACCAATATCTCCCGCCGCTTGTTTTTCGGAAGCCGTTTGAATGGTTGAGGCACGTCAGTGAGGAAAGACATCAAGGTGCGTTCGTATACTCCGGAGAACAGAATGCAGACCGTGTTATCCACAAAGTAGGATGCGTAGATCGAATAAACGTGGTCATGGGCCAGCCTCCTCAAGGAACGGATCTCCTCCAGTACCTCATCCTCCTCAAAGAAGTGCGGTGCTCCGCCGACAGTGACTTGCGTTCGCAGGAGTATACGGCACGCCGCGCCGGCTAGAACCACCTTTTCAACGCCCTCTCTTACCAACGATGTTCCCGTGCGGAGGAGTTCCACAGGAACGCCTTCGTTTTGAGTGTACTTCACATGGTCGCCTGCTGCAATTCCGCGTACAATGAACCGCCATTGCGCCAGGAAGAACCTGTGTTCGAGGTCGGGGTTCGGGCCGTCGGCAAAGAGAGGCAGACGCTTGACACTGGGGGCCGAGAACGGTAAATCCGAGTCATCCAGAGACTCGTCTATTAACGCGAAGATTCGATCGGGTATGTCGATGTCGACAAGAATGAGAAAGAGCCTGCCGGCCTTGGCGATGATCCAGTCGAGATAAGATTCGCTCGTCAGGCCCTCTCCCCAAGGCAGCGGGGCCACTAGACGGTGCAGGACATTCGAAGGGAGCTGGCCGAAGACGTATTCCGGGCAGAGGGTCGCTTTCACCCGATCCTCGGGCCACCAAAGTGAGGTGACGGGGGCTGACATCTCGGACTCATGGCGATCCGGGTCGTCGTGGAAGGGCGAAGCTTCCCCACAGGCGGGGGCGGACATCTAATATAACCACTTGGAGATGAAGAGGAGAAAAGGGGAGCGTGGCAAGGATACTATTTCCGGCGACCTTCATGTAGGACGAACATGTCTCAATGCAGGTATCTGTAAGTGGCTGCCATGAAGGCGTTCGGGCAATGAACAAACCAGGAAAATGAAGATCAAGGGAGAGAGAGAGAAAAGCAAGATGAGATATTCGATCAAGAGGCGTGCAACAACAACCCCAAAAAAGATTGAAAGATAAAATAAAAAAATAAATAAATTGCCATTGTAAATGGTAATAAACATCAAACTTAATAGGCTTAGATATCGGGGGATATAGTCGGCGGGGGACGGATGGGTAACCTACTGGTGGACACGAGGCTTATCAAACAGCAAGGGGGACTCCCCACGCCATTATTGGAAGGCTCCAATCAATAGTCATAATGATCAGAGGAGGTAGAAGAACGAAAGAGGAGTAGAAGGAGGGGGTCACTCCTCGCTCTCATCTACCAGCCAATGCTCGCGGGGGGTGCGAACCGGGGCTCTTGCTGCACTGTAACCTGGATGCTGGTGATAATGATCCCATGTGACTGGCACTGGAGTTGGTCTATGCTCGAAGCCGCTATGACCACCAGTGCAATGAGAAACAAGCACTGCAGTCAGTAGTGTCGAAGGACGATGGCTGGTCAAGGCACTAGGGGGGCCACCCCAGTGACTGCAGGACGAGCTCGAGCTTGCGAGGTGGCAAGGATCACCATGGCAGTGCGGCAACGGTTCATACTCGGTACAAAGAATCTAGGTCGTTTGTTGTACGGAGTATCCGTCTATGAGTGGGGAAAGGATGCGAGGCTCAGAGAGCCGGTATACAATGACAAAGTTTGGGCGCGAGTCAAGTCACGAACCGGGCCGGTATGACGATTGAATTCGGCTCACTGCGTGGATGCGTGGATATCAGCAGGGCAGGGCAGGGCAGGGCATGACTATTGTTCTCTCTCGGCGGGTGGGCTTACTCGTCTCGTCCGTATCTCCGAAAGCGATGTCGATAAGGCAACGATATGGGGAGGAGAGGAGGATAAGGAGAAGCCGGAGAAGGAGAAAGACCTTCGAGAATCAATGGATAACCAGCGCTAGTCCCAACACGGTCATCTTTCCCATCTTGCCTATTCTCCTCACGATTCACATGATTCGCATGATTCAAATGATTTACTGCTTGGACTACAAGCTGCCTCACTGCTGAATCCTGCTAATCGTCTCACCATACATGTCGATTCGACCAGTAACCAATTCATTGTGATGTATCATCGCCGGCATTCGTCTGTCAATCCCTCTACGCAAACAAAAATCCCCCGAAAAGCAGAACCAGCAAGGGTTGCGCGTCTGTCTATCGATCGCTAGGCTTGCTCCCTATGCCGGAACAAGAAACGTGGCGTGGCGCAAAGGATCCAGAAAAGGTCTCAGATGGGCGTCCTGCAGAGAGTCGGTAATTCCTGAAGGGACGCACCCAGTGATTTCCAGCATGAAGAATTGTGGCAGAAGCGTGGCACACACTCCTACTCATCCTGGGACTCTCTCGGTCAGCCTATGATAACCACCAGGTCCCGAGGAACCAACAAGCGCCACAATACGCAAAAAGCAGTTCCTTTGAGGCCCCCTCCCCCAAAGAAATGCAAAATAGCAACCCATTGAAGAGAAGGCTACGGAATACTTCAAACATTCGAAGCTCAACAATCGCCAAACTTTCCGCTATCCAGGGATTCTTGTTATCAGCACCGCCCATTCGTCACCCGAGAGACATTGCTTATCAGCTCTGCCGTCAACCCCGGCCTCTGACAGCGGACTTTATTCATGAAAATGCGCCCGTTAGTCAGAATGAAACCTTGATAAGCCCTGCCTGCTTCGGGTTCTTACAGTACCCCTTCAGCCATCACGGACCAGGGGACGTCAGCCCGGGATTTGACGGATCCATAGAGCTCTTCTACAATTGATATGTGCAATACAGTAGATGTCGGCGAGGCTGAATGGTGCACCAACACCAACACTCCACCCTTCCGAAACGTATATCAAAATCAAACCACTGCTATGCACCGTTCACAAGATCACGTCTCAGGTGAAGTGGGCGTGTGGTCCATGCGCGAAGATCCGGGTCTGGAGAAGAATTTGGGCTTGGGGTAGGCATAATGGCCCAGTCCACCATATCTCCAGGCTCTACTCCGTACAATGGGTCTATGTACTAATCGAGTGGCTCACAAAAGTACTATACCATACCCTCCGTTCGGTATGCTGCTACCGGTCAGCACTAGTTGAGTTGCCTAACGATTAATTTATTACTACGCGCTATTCTTCTTTCCCACTCTTTTTTACGGAGCACGGAGACTATGTGCAGTAAACCAGTCCCTTATCTTCAGAGCGTGATCGGTCCTCGCCGGTCCGCCGGGGCAGCTCCGCCCTCGAATTCCGGGAACTTTCTTTGAGTGGCAGGTCTAGAATCAAGCGAGGCATCGGAAGTGCTCTGTTTTGTGCCTGCAGACTGACACCCCCAAGAAAACCATGGGGAATGGTTGCATGCAGCCTAGAAGGAATCGGTAGTCGAGCCTCCCCTTCCCTTAGATCTCTTGATCATTTACTCAGTATGTTCACCCGCAATTACCCATTGTGGGAAGCAAACTTGCCGCCTTACTGTACGCACCCCATTTTCAACTACTCCGGCACCGGGATGAAGCCCATTGCTCAGAAGGCGCGCGGTATGGTTGTGGCAGCCACGCGATCGGTCTCTGCGGTTTTCTTTCTGAACAAAGGAAAAAAAGAATTTCGAAAGATCTCGGGCGGAAATGTGACTACTAGCTCAGACAGACCAAGATCGATCTGACTTTGACAAATGATGCAGTGCAACCTGAGATCGTCTCGTTCCTTCATGCGATGACAAGAAATGCAGGTGCAGACAGAAAAAAAAGATACAGTAGGATACGTAGTACATCCATGATAGGCACAAGAGAGTGCTCGAAGTAGGTAGTATGCAAAGAAAATTTCTCGCAAGTGCTTTTTTGCTCTCTTTCCCCATCTCCCCCCTTTCCTGTTCACTGTTCCAGACAGAAAATAGTTCTCAGACGATCAAGGTCGTCTGATAATTCCCTTTCCTCCACTGGAGGCGCGGGTCGAGAATACAATCGTATGTGCAGAGGGCTTGGGCTGACTGCTTCACCATCCATGGCGATGCAGATACAACCCCCTCCCCAAAGAAGTAAAGAAAGAAAAGTCAAATCAAAGAGAGAGAAGGAAGGAGCAAGAATCGACACTGATGTCTCCAAGCTAGTCAAATCATGCATCGAAGTGAAAATCCCGACACTTTCAATCGTCCCCCCCCCCCTTTTCATCCAGGAAAGGAGGGATGGATCTTGCAGGGCTGATCGCAATTATATTAGGAACGAAGCGTTCGTCACATGTCGTAAGTTTTTTTTTTTAAACCTTTTGCTTTTTTGCTTCCCTTTTTCTGTTCGACTTCCAGAATTTTAGCCTATCAGACTAGACCTGTCAGAAATGGATCATCGTTTCATGTTTATTCGGGGGGACGGGGAAGCACGCGCCAGCCCGAGCTATGATGGAAACCCACCTCCTTTGTGTGTGTGTGTTCTCCTGTTCAAAGTTCAGGAAGACAGCTTCGAGGGCTTATGATCCCATGCGCCGAATGCCCCGTCGCAATTTACTGTTCGTTCGATGCGTAGAAGCCATCCGTTGCGGAGGTTGTGGGTGAGGCTGGGTGGGATGTTGCGACGGTTCCTCATGGGACCGACGACGATTCCACGATTTGCGGAAATGCTGCTGTTCCTCGTCCTGCTGCTTTGCGCGGTGATGGAGAAACTCTTCGTGGGCTTCCTTTTCCTCGTGCAGAGCCTTGATCTGATGACTGGTTAATTGTATCCAGGTACCAACCTTCCTTGAAGCGAGAAGGGGGTGTGGTTTATTTTCCAGCGCTTGGCTCGGTATAGATGGAGAAATGGAACCGTCGGGCAAAGAAGAAGAGCACAAGAATCAGGAAACTATAATCAGTTGAAGACACTCACCTGAGTCAGCCATAACTCCTGCTCCGAACTCCAGGCCTTCTGGCAACGAGCCAACTCATGTTCAGCAATCGCTAATTCTCGTTCCTGCCTCATCGTCCACCGACATCGCTCTCCAACGAGACTGGCCCAGCTCACGACGCGCACGACTCCATAATGGCGTCTGTGAGGGTTGCTGGTGCTGCTGCTGTTGCTGCCGCTGCTGTCGCTACTGTTCCGGCTACTGCTTCCGCTGCATCTGCTGCCGTCGGATTCGCTCACCGCCATGTGCACAGCTGCAGCGACAAACTCTTCATCGTCATCTGGTCCCTGCACGGCACCGCCCCAACGGATTTCTTGATGATGATGCCCATGCTGCCCATGATAGTCGATGGCCTTCCCCTTCCACACCGCTGCCGTTGGAGACCGCTGGTCCGGGCGTTTAGTGAAAAGGGACAGGCCCAGGACGTACTTGACAGGGTTGCTGACCCCCATCTTGTGGGCTATATAAGAACAGTCGACGAAGAAGAAGATCTGAAGAAAGAAGAGGAGAAGGACAAAGAGCAGTGGAGCAGTGGGGAGGAGACTGATGACGTTCCCTGCCTGGGGGCGTGCGTCTCGTGTGCGTCTCGTTTGTCGGGCCACGGTGAACGGTGGATTTGCTTGCCCAGGGTCCTGGGAGAGCAACAGAGAAGGAACAGGGAAACAAAGTGAGCCTGAGGTACAGTACTTCTGCAAGGAACCCTCGTGTCCTGATTCAGATGTCTCGCGTGTGACTTGGGTCTGGTCTTGTGTCTGCACCGAGATATGAATCAGTTCCTCTTCCCATCTCCCTCGTCTGGAAATCCCTTTCTTATACATCAAATTCAACGCCCACCCGCGGCTGGCTCAACTCTCAGGATTCCCCGACTGAATGGGACATCATTTTGCAGCATCTCAACAGAATCAAAGAGAAAGGACCCGCAATTTTCTCAATTAGGCGCCATAAGAGAGACATACACGCACAACCCCCATTTCAGGCCTTGAAGAGAGGAAAGTCAATGGGGCTAGAACTCGTGTGTCTCGTCTCTTTGTGCTTGGCTGGCACCCATCATTATGCCTGCAGAAGCGCAGTCGAAACTACAATAACTGCATCCAATCACAGGCCCAGTGGGACTGGTCAGGCATGTCATCGACCCTACGAGTCCTTGTGTCACCTCAATGACTGCATCTTGGGGAGCAAGGAAACGTGGCACATGGTCCGGCCTTGGGTGGGACACACACTGGCTCCATGGGGGAACAGCATGGAAATGCTCAGAAGAAAGGAAGGTAAACGTTGCAAGGCAAACAATCGACTCGGCAGAATCACCTTCCGCGCGAAGAATTTGTCAAATGTACGGAGTACATACTTGGGCTTTTTCCTTCCTATACATGGTATTCGCAAGGTAAGTCGACAAACTGAACAAGGTCTCCAACGCAGTTTGGAAGACACGCTGCGACGCGAAAAGTCAAATCCCATACACCAATGATGTCACAGTAATTCAACCCAAATTGTACTAAGAAGCAAGAATTCTCTGGCAGCTGACTCGTCCGCGGCCAATCTCATAAGCCCAACGTAAGTAAAAAGAACCCAAACAAGCAAAGGGGGTATGGTACATGTACAAAGTACGTGCTATACAAAAACAGCACCAAAAAAAAAGTCAATGATGGAAAAGTCAGCGTGCCAACTCAATGCGAACCCAAGAAAATCCGGTCGCTGCTTTGCCACTCCGTAACGACCCGAGAATATGCAACAAGAATAGAAGTCAGTGCAGCGTACGCTAGCTAATGTGCCAGCGGAGTCTTGAGTTCCATAAAATCTGTGTATCGGGATTTGCACGTCAGTGACCAAGCGACCTGCAACTCTGGGCCTTTATCTGCGCCACGTCTCATAGACCGTGTCCCTGCTTCGAGAGTTGCCTATCCCCGGATGATCCCTGTAGCGCATGGGTCGCCGTTCCTTCCTGATCTGTTCGCCTATGATAATGCTGATCAATCTTCTATGCAAGTCGGCCTCCGTCCAAGTAATCTGCCCTGTACCGCCGGCCCTGATGTCGTCACGAGAGACCTGCTGTGCGAACCTGTCGATGATCGCAAACTGATCCTCCGTGACTGGGACTCCAAAGACCCCGTCTGAAGTCCAGATCCAATCTCCAATAATCTCGGTCCGGCCAGGAGCCGGATAATAAGGGAAGCGCTCAGGGTGCTTCTTGGAAAAGCGATAGAGGTTATGCAACAGGCGGTAGTGATCATTGGAAAAGTGCCCGGAGTAACGAGCGGGTTGCCGCTTATGCCTCATCTCCCTCACTTCCTCGTAAAAAGGGTCCCGCGTATCGCCCAGTGATTCATAAGATCTGCGATCAAAAGATATCTGTTGCTCGTCTCCTGGCTCTGCAACGTGAGACGATGGTCCCGGGATGCCTTCCAAGCGTTCCGAGTCAAATTCATCACGAGCGTGTCTTGAGTTTGCCGTGGTTACTGCTTCATCCTCGTATACAACTGAGTTTTCCTCCCTTTGGGAAGCTGGCCGGAAAGACTTGGGCGCTTTGAGCCATCCAGGTGTCAAGCTAGTAATTTTCTGAAACCAGGATGATGCTTGGTTGTCCAAGCTGGCTCGTCGTGGAGGATCGGGGGTGTTGTCAGTTGCAGCTTGAAAGTATTGTCCCTCGGCTGCAGCGGCATCGGCAAGACTTTCAACATCGTCTCTCATAATCTCTCGTCCACTATTCTGCCTGGCCATCTCCAATCTAGTGGTGGGATCTATCTGAAACGTCCCTTCTTCCAAGTCACTGTGCGAGCTCAGCTCGATCGAGTGCTCTGACAGCTGATCATGTTCAGACGCATGTTCGTGGACGCCTTGCCCATGAGATGCTTGGTTTGATGGTGAGCCACCTTCAGACTGTGATTGGCTCGCATTACTCGAAAGACTACCTTCTCCATAGTAGTAACGGCGGCGCTTCGGGGTAGGATCTCCTTGGTACAAATTTGTGAGGTCAACATTTTCCTCGCGCAACTGCTTGACCCGCGAACGACCGAGGAATGGCACTGTGTCCTGCTCCTTGGTCCAGTGAGCCGGAGAGTATAGTCGCCCCGTCTGACTGCGGGCCGGGGTCCAGCCAGTTTTCCATGGGCTTGACTCATCCTGTCTAGGGCGCAGGTCATTCTTATCATTGTCAAGCATAGACACGCGATGTGATTGGTTGCCTTGCTCCATTGCCTCCTGCTGCCAGATGTCTTCATAACCCTCGTCGTCATCTTCCTCGTTCGCTTGTTCTGCCTCTACGTACCCATCCTGGCTGGGTGCTTCTTCGGGTTCATCATCGAAGCCATCATCCTCGTTCCACTCTTCGTCTTGTTCTGCTGGGACATCTGATTGATCACTCCTGTCGCTGTCAATGACAATGACTTGACTAGAATTCGCCATTTGAATTTCCCGACTGATGGCCTCCCTCTCACGTTGCCACTCCTCCATCCGTCGCCTCATGACTGAGCCGGGAGTATCGAAATCTGCCGCACTCAGCGCTGGTTGAGGTGACTTAGGAGAACTGGCTTCTCTGCTCCGTAATATAGTTCTCGCATTGGTCTTGGCGTCTACGGCCAGCGACTGTTGATATCTTTCTAGTTCCACTTGTCTCTGCTTCGCAAGTTGCTGTCCAAAGGCCAAGCCTGCCTGCAGTACTTGTTGGGACTGAGGGTTCAAATCCTGGAAAAGAAGTTGCAGACGCTGTCGGTTTGCGGCTAAAGCGGAATCTGATGACTGCGAGGTTCGTTGCTTCCCCTCCTTCAATTCTGTAAGAGGACCCTGTAAAGCGATACCGGCGCGTATAATGCGGACAAGTCTGAGTAATGGCTTCTGGCCTTGTTGAACTGGACGCAATGTCGGAACGGCAGAGGAAGAGCGGATGCGTCTTGTGGAGGCTGATCTACCACCTGATGCGTGTTGCAGTGAGGTACTAGATTCGATGGAGCGCGCGATTCGCATACGAGGGTGGTCTTCTATCTCTGCGTGAGAGACGGGTTTACTGCCGCCATGGATTTCAGGGTCGAGTGATGTTCTCTGCCTGAGGACGCCGTTTGATTCTCGCTTCAGGAACGGCTTGAGAGCATTCTTGGCGATCTTCGAATTGCTATCGCCCCCGAGGCCATGTTGCTTGGCTGAGGGAAGAGTATCCAGGGAGACCATACTGAACCCTTCACTTTCCATAATCGAGTCGAACTCCTTATGCTCGTCCGTCGGATCGCTCCTGCCGTACGATGCACGGGTACGGCGATTGCCGCTAGATGCAGCTGTTCGTTGGGAAAGCGCCACTGTTTCCTCTCCCGCGACCGGCGAAGATGTCGTTGGGGTCGGGTATAGGCGCGGCGGTCTGGGTGTATGACCGGCATGCAATGTGGTTTTAGACGAGCTGGACTGCAATTCGCGTACGGGAGACGGCACCTTCGATGGGGTGGAGTTCAAGTTGTATTCTTCGTTGTCTAGATGGTCAACTTGTGGGGTATCGTATGTGGGCTCGAAGGTCACCCGTGGAGTAGTGCTAGCGTGATTGACCACCGCAGGTTGCTCCGGTGAGAGTTCATCGTCAAAAATATCGACCATCTCTTCGTCCTGGGGGGATCCACCATCGTCCTCATCCGACCCAGCGTCCCCAGCAATGTACACAGGGCTCCATCGTGATCGAGACTCAGCGGTCGGAGTATCCATATCAATGTCTAGTGTTCCTATATCCTGCTCACGTCGCGTGACCGCATCCACCTTCAGCGGAGTCTTCCTCGGTCGACCGCGTTTTCGCTTCTGCGCAGACCCGGGCGGCCCTGGGGTATGACCAGGGCTGCCTGCGGCTGGTATCGCATCGAGTAGTAGTGTATCGGACTTCCTTGGACGGCCTCTACGCCTTCGCGGTGTCTGCTCGGACTCGTCCTTGAGTGGTATTTTTGTGATCATGGTCGATGGTCGAAGACGTTTTGGCGTGGGACTTCCGTAATCGTTGCTGTTCTCTTGGTCTTGCGTCGCTTCCAAAGTCACACGAATCCTCCACGGACTGACATTCCCGTCGGACTGGAGTTTATCGGGAGACAAAGCTTGTTGTTTTCCATTCAGTTTGAGGTTGGGCGAGGCGGGAAGAACGACATCGTTGAACTCGAAAGAATGGGCGCCAGGTGTGAGGTTGAGCCGCGACCGCTTCTGTCGTTTCGTCGTCCGCTGACTCTGGAGGAGGTCAAAGTCAGCTGGCGACATGAAGCTCTGACGACCAGTGAACGGTTTGAAGGGCGAGGAGATTAGATAATCACTATCGCCAGATGGCCCAAGAATGTCGGGAGAGGAGGAACTCGAGGTGCGAGAGGACATATCGGGTTATGAACGCAGCTCGCAGACCATGGGAGGGGCGACTCTCAAGTGCGCCCGTCGCGTCTCATTGAAAGAGAGGGTACACCACGGTCGGGCGCTAGATGGCGGTCGACATTTCGGGGGGAAATTCAACAAACAAGAAGCCAAAGGTGTATTCTCACAGTCCAGATAGACTCAATTGTAGATCTAAGGGCGGGGAAAGGGAGGAATTTGCGTGCTTATCCACGCATAACATAAACAAGTCTCCCGATCAGGCAGGGCGGACTTGGAGCTGAGAGGCCTGACTCCTGAGGAACCAGGAGTTATGTAAGCGGGCGGTAGGTTGTTCCCTTCCATCCCATCCTGATGCCTCAGGCTACGAATAGCCTTCACCTGGCCATCTGGTGGACTGTCAAGTGTCAACTAATGCAGACAAGACACCTCTACTGATAGCTCGGTCTAATATATCCAGTACTCCATTATGCTTACCGGTACAGGTGAGCGCAAGCCTCATGCGACATCATGCCATGGCTTGACCAATATACTGGTACTACACCCACTGACCAGTGCCCAGCTCGGCAATCGGCACTGCACCGAAGCTTGTCAACGTAATATAGCCTGGAGACACGAGCAGAGTGGCAGAGTACTCCGTACTCCGTATAGAGGAGGTACATGTAAGCACTGCCCGTGGTAGTCTGGCACTGCAAGTGCAAGCTTAGATGATCGACGGGACGCTTGCCATTTCCCCGCAAACCAATTCCCCCACCGGAGTATGCCCGAACCGGACTAGTGCACCACCCCCGGGGCCATGGCTTGGACCCCCTTTTCTGTTTGTTCCTTAGGCTGATTTGCTCCATTCCCGTGGCTTCATCCTAACTACAACCTACACTAAGGTACTAGGTAGACTACTGTCACCAGCCTTGTTCTCTACCCATTCCCCAGCTTTTCTCCTTCCGGCCTGAACTCATCATCGCTTGCATCTCCCTCTCCCGCTTTCCCCTCACTTTACATCCCGAGCTTTCACGTCATCTCTAGATCTGGAGCTAAGGTGGTCAGACGCGGACTAACTTTTCCCGTCACCCTTGCTCCCAATCCTCCCAATCCCCAACCCCCCAGGTGTAGCTTGATTAGCTATCCACATACTTGGCATCTGTCCCCCTGACAGCTGGACTTTTACACCGTCTCCAATTTGCGGGTAAGATGACGATGCCTTGCCCCCCCCCCCCCGTCGGACAATTGACAACATGAGCTAACCATGAGTACCAGTAGCGGCATTCCTACCCCAGTTCCTGCGTGCTGCTGTCCACCCCCGCCCCCTCCGCCGGCGGTCAGGCGTGCCATCATGAGGTAAAAGAGCCCTAATGTGGAGTACTTAAATAGAACGATGGGACCTTCCTCCACAACCCGCCAGGGAATTCCCCAGCTGCTCGGTTGTTTCCGTTCCACCCTCTGCCCTGCCCGCATCACTCCCCGGATTCTATTCCTGTACTGCTGCCTGTGCCTTGCGGTCACCACGCTGCTCGGAATCAGAATGCATCTCAAGAGCTATCTCTCCACCGCCCTCTATGGGCTGCCTGTACTATCCCAGGCTGCAGTAGCAGTGGCGACGGACCCTTTCAAGGCCTACACCATTAGCGCAAAGAACATCACCGCGACGCTGATCCCCTACGGTGCACGCTTGACATCTCTCAAGGTCCCAGACCGCAACGGGAATTTCCAAGACGTGGTTGTGGGCTACGATGATCCGAAGCGGTACCTTCAAGACACGGAGACCAACCGCACTTTCTTTGGGGCCGTGGTCGGCCGGTACGCCAACCGCATCAAGAACGGCACCTTCTCAATTGGCACCGAGGAGTATCATATTCCTGAGAACGAGAATGGCGGCAAAGACACCCTCCACGGAGGCCCATTGGGCTATGATGGCCGCAACTGGACCGTCACCGCGTACTCCAACTCGTCCATCACCTTCACCCTGGTTGACCGTGCCTTTGAGGATTTCCCGGGTGATGTGATCACCCATGCCACGTTCAGTGTCCAAACCGAGGCCACCAATGAGAACCCAGAGGGTTTGCCCCAATTGACCACCAAACTGGTGGCTCTGGCTCTGACGGAAACCACCCCGATCATGCTTGCCAACCACATCTACTGGAATCTGAATGCTTTCAAGAACGAGACCATCCTCGACGACACCTGGCTGCAACTGCCCCTGTCTAAGCGCCTGATCGGCACCGATGGGATCCTGATTCCTGACGGCAGCATCCTGGATGTCAACACCGCCTACAATGGCTCTGCGGACTTCACGGCAGGCAAACTGGTCGGTAAGGATATCGACGAGGCCGTGCACCTCTGCGGCTCCAACTGCACCGGCTACGACAACTGCTTCATTGTCGATCGCCCTACGCAATACACCGCCTCCAACTCCATCGTGCCCATCGTCCGCCTGAACTCCAGCACCACCGGCATCAGCCTGGAGGTCGCCACCAACCAGCAAGCCCTACAGATCTACTCCTGCAACGGCCAGAACGGCACCATCCCCATCAAGGACTCCCAGATCAAGCTCAACAAGGAAGAGGGCATCGACGGCGCCGAGTACGTCAACAAGTACGGCTGTCTGGTGATCGAGACGGAGGGCTGGATCGACGGCATCAACAATCCGGAGTGGGGCCAGCTGTCGGATCAGATCTACTCGCCTGAGACCGGCCCGGCCGTCAACTATGCCACCTACCGATTCGGCACCGTCTAGGCGGCTGCTGCTGCTGCTGCTGCTGCGGGGGCTTGCGGAAACAAACTTTGCTTGATTGCTTGAATCTCCTCTTTTTAGCGACGCAAAAAGAACAATCTTCTCGAGGCATATCTCTATGACACTTGGTCTTACCCCCTTGGCCCTCGAAACTATCTTTCCGATGTAGAATCTCTGCAACCCTGTACATAAAAAAATTCTAAGGGACCATTAGGTCTAACTAGTCACCTTAGGTTGCAATAAGTTACTCATCCCTAAGCCCTCTAATTCATCGACCTCACCTTCCCACTCAAAGAGATAAACCCCCTACTTATAGATTAAAGGAACTGCTCAAATCTAGTCAATGGAGTACACAGCAATTGTCAAAGAAAATAAATGGGTATACAAAATGCAGTCAGTGCTAAGAAATTTAACGCAAACGAGGATCAACGGCTTGTACTGTAGTTGCACGAAATGAAGTCTACCCCCACCCCGCCAGCGTCCAACTTGACCGATCCCCGCCACCTCCGGCCCTCAACCCCGACCGCCGATCGGGGACGTGGTGCCCATGGGCCTCGAACTCGCGAGTCGTCGCCCCGGCCAGACCATGCTGGAGGTACTTCTCGCGCTCGATCTCCACCAGGCCCCGGATCTTGAGGCTGGTGGTCAGGCTCGCCCCGGCCCAGGGGCCCAGCGACTCGACCTCGCGCAGCACCCCCTGCACGGACGGCGGCAGCGCGTCGCGGTCGCGGTCGCGGTTGTTCCGCCGGATTTTCTGCTCGATGGGGTCTTCGAGGTCCGCTTCGTCCTCGGGTTTGGGGTTTTCCGGGGGTTGCTGCTGCTGTTGCTGTTGTTGCGTGGGGTTCTCTGTGGCTGACTCGGGGTTTGGTTCTGAGTGGGTTGATGGTTCGGGAGACTTCGTCTCCGTCGGTATGTCGTTCGACGGGGCGGGACGGTTGTCCTCGCTGGGGTCTGTTGTTTTAAGATGAGGAGATGCCGGATCTTGAGCGGAAGCTTGGACTTGGGACGAAGGGGAGATTCGGAGGTTGGCAAGCTTGCGTCGTTGTTGTTCGATCACTTTGCCGCGGACGGGCGACCAGCCGTGTTCGGCGACAAGCGCTGCAACGTCCGCAAGGATTCGTTGGCGGATGCCGGGGATGTTGGCGCCGCCGCCGGTGAAGATGATGCGTGACATGCAGGTGCCGCGGGCGTCGGGCGGCAGGGTAAGTAAGGCATTATAGATCAGGAGCGGGAGAGGCTTTTCTTCGTCGTCGAGCTCGCAGTCTGCTGTGCCAGCAGCAAAGAGGACGCTTTCGACGGGTTCGCTGAAGGTGGAGAAGGGGAGGTTGATGTAGGTAGATCCTGGGTTCGAGGGGGACGGGATCTCCACTGTCCGCTGCAGGAGGGAGGAGAGAGGGGAATGGTGTGTGGTGGGCTCGGTTTCGCTGTCGTCGGGTTGTGGTTGCTGCTGCTGCTGCTGCTGCAAATCTGCTGGTGAGGGTCCCTCCCGGGGTCTGCACCATAGAAATCTACTGGCAACTTCTTCGCAGAACTCGAACCGGACCGAGATTCCACTGTCGCCCGGTGCTGGCTGCGATCTAACCCCACGCGCCGTTGGGATACTTGTAAGCAATCGACCCGTCTCCTGCAGCAGGGCTTTCATCGCCCGGGTGCTCCGCTTGATTGCGATCTCACGATACTCATACACCCCCGTGACGACCGTCTCCGCCCAGCCGATATCCACCACCAAGGCGGAGCGCACTCCGGCCGCTGTCGCCGCCATCGTAGCACTAGTCAACAACGTGATGCTCGGGAACCGCCACCGACTGAAAAGCGTCGACAGCAAGGCCGACAGCAACGGGTGCGGCATGATGGCGGGGAGCACCAGCACCAGTCGCGACGTGCCCGCGTCCGTCAACAGGTATTTGTTGTAGGTCTCTCGAAACACCCGCTCGATCTTGTCCTCCACAAGGCCCAAGTCTACCCCCCGGAGATCCATCTTCCAGAGCTCGTGGGCGCTCGCCCAGTCTTCCGGGTTGACAAGTGGGCGCAACTGTGCCGGGTCGGTATCTGGGTTGTTCGTCTTCAACCAGCCGCGGTAGTCGCCCACGCGGCGGCATTCTTCGGGGCCGCAGCCTACCACACACATCGGGACGCTCTCCCCCTCAAAGCCAGCCCGGAGCCAGCGGGCGCCAAGCTCAAAGATGATGGCATCTTCTTCGCCGCGGAAGGAAGTGCTCGAGGTGGTGCTGGCGAAGGAGGAGTTGTTGGATCGCAGGTTATGTTGTGGGGTATGGGGGGAGGATGGAGCCCCGCGCAGACTGCTCATCGAAAAGGGACGCTTGCTGTCGTCGTACCCAGAATTGGTATATGATGTGCTAGCCATGGTTTGGGATGGGTCTTTGGGGCCACTTTTGGGAAGCTGGACGTCGTCCGTTGCTGTCGTTCTTGTTGTACTAGCTTCTTTCCTCAAAATCACAGCGCGGGGAAGGTTCGGAGGTCCGAGGGTCACACGCAGCGATCATGCTTCCCTTTGCAGCGAGTCTCTCGAGGTCTTTAGGCAGTCAGTCAGCCGTAGATCAATCCCCTGAGCCAATTGAGCAAATTGGCCAAGTCAAGTGCGACAGCGAAAGCAGCAAGACGACTCACTGAGCGGCCAGCAACAACGGAGTGAATCTCCAAAAGGCGGGCGGATCTACATCGGGCCGCGCCAATCGCCCAGTTGTCGGCCGCCATCAAAACAACAACACATCTCCGTTTGATCGGCCTCTCTTCTCTCTTACCCTTTTTCCAATTATCTGTCTTTCCGCGTGGCTTTTTGGAGTGCCGCCTGTGGTAGGTTGGGCTATCCTTTTGGTCACACACAGCTCTGGAATTGAGAGCGCAGTCGGAATGGGGATCCCAGGGTAAGTGAAACCAGAAAACTTCTCTTTTCTCCGTGCTACCGATTGCCCTCGAGGAGGGACAAACAAATCTATGTCCGTTTCCCCGTCTGCACGTGAGCGCACGAGAGAAATAGACATGTCAACCACCAACTCCTTCCAGATCCCCTTTGCTAATTCTCAACAACATTAAAGACTTATCCAAGCGATTGGTACTGGAGAGCGAATTTCTTTGTCCAAATTGGCGATAGGACATCTGGAACGCAATGCGAGACCCATTCGTGTCGCAGTGGACATCTCCATCTGGCTTTTCCAGGTGCAAGCCGGTCGGGGCGGTCGAAACCCCGAATTGCGCACTCTGTTCTACCGACTACTGAAAATCCTGGCATTGCCCATCCATCCGCTCTTTGTGTATGATGGACAGCATAAGCCACCTTTCAAAAGAGGTCGCGCCGTGGCTGCGCGCAGTCACGGGAGTGCGCCGATCATTCGCCTGTCGAAGATCATGGTGGATTTGTTCCGATTTCCACGCCACGATGCGCCCGGAGAGGCTGAAGCCGAGTGCGCGAGGCTGCAAAAAGTCGGAGTAGTTGATGCCGTCATGAGCAATGACGTCGATACTCTCATGTTCGGGTCAACATTTACAGTCATGAATTTCTCGAAAGAGAGCGGGACCGGTAATGCGGCGGCCACCCATGTCACTTGCTATCGCATGGACTGCGCCGCGTCCCCTTCCAATGTGATGCTCAATTCGCCTTCGAATGCGATGCTGGATCGTGCGGGCATGATCTTGTTTGCTATGCTAAGCGGTGGTGATTATCTTCCCTCTGGTGTTCCGAGATGTGGCAGCAAGCTGGCCGGCGAGATTGCCAGAGCGGGCTTCGGAGAAGATTTGTTGGAGATTATCGATTCGGATGGTCCCGACATGGAGGTGCGGCTGAGCGAGTGGAGAGAAAGACTGCAATATGAGCTGGAGGAGAACGAAAGCGGCTACTTTCAAACCAAGCACAAGGTGGTCCGAGTGCCGGAGACATTCCCGGATAAAACTGTTCTCTCGTATTACGCCAAGCCCGTGGTGTCGACAAAGAGTGAGATCGATGTTCTACGGCACCGCTTGAGGAATGCATGGGACCAAGAGGTTGACGCGGTGCAGCTGAGGAGGTTCACCGCTGACACCTTTGACTGGAACTACCGCTCTGGAGCTAGAAAGGTGACCAAACTACTGGCCGAACCTCTGGTTTGCTACAGACTCCGCCTTGGGAAACAGGCCTCAGCCTTCTCCGCAAACCAGCCGAAGCTTTCTAGCAGCGAAGTGCCGATGCTGCAGAAAATCAACAAGAGCCGAGAGAGCTATAGCACAGATGGTATGACCGAATATCAGGTTGACATAGTTCCCGTCGACGTCGTTGGCTTGGACATCATGGCCGAAGAAAAAAATCCTCCCCTGCCTTCGCCGGGAACCACAGCGTCCGCCGACGAAGACGAAGAGGAGCTTGAGAACACCACGGATCCTGCTCCCCAAACAACCATCAAAAAGCGTGTCACAAAGCGGTACGATCCTTACTGTACCGACAAGATCTGGATTTCCAAGACCTTGGCAATGATAGGGATTCCAGATGTTGTGGAAAATTGGAAGAAGGCAGAAGCGGAGAAAGCGGAGAAAGCCAACGCACCGAAAAAAACCACACGCAAGACGGGCCCGCGAAAGAAAGTCATCGACCCTGGGATGAAGCAGGGAAGCATCCTGAAGTATGGATTCTTGACCAAGGAACGATCGGAACTTGGAAGCGACAAGCGCCTCCAGCTCGCAAAGATCACAGATGATTCCGGTTCTTAGTTTCAGCCTTAACGATAGGGACACTGATTCCTCTCTCTCTCACATGATTGGTCACAGAAATCGCTTTGATCACTGTGTTCGGCATCGTGATCTACGCAAGGCTATTGAAGACTCGGTTGCCTATACTACGAAGTGAAGCAGCGACTTGCGCCGTGGCTGGAGCTATGATTGTTCCCACCGCTTCATTTTCCATTCCAGACATGACAGCTTTGTCTCCCCTCTTTGCAATCTTCGCTGAGGATTCCCTTGTTTCCTTGGACTTGGATGATATACCGTACTGCGGCTGGGCAGACGGGAAGATTCCCAGATACATGATGGCCTCTCTCAGGAGTATATATGAAGACTAGAGCCTTGGTAGTCTCGTTCTATAGGACAGCACAAGACAACAAGACCGGACAATTACTCGACTATCCTTGCTTTGGCTATCTTGGTCAGCAAACACGTCTGGATTGTCTCGCCTGAGTTCCTGAAAATGGAAAGAGAATCAGGCCGCCTGCAATAGGCTTCATCAGACGATGTTCCGGCCAAGTCCCGGCTCCGAATTAGATCTTATGCCGCATCCATGCCGGTGACAGCGACGCGGCGCATCAGACCTACCTCAAATTAACTGGAACATACCAGTCAACAAATGGAATGCGGATTGCAAGACCGCGACATTTAATCGCACACGACTGTCACAGCCTAGGGTATAAGATGCATCAAATATATAGTCAAGATAAACAAGCAATTTTTTAAACATAATCAATTGAAAATATCAACGGCCGATTGAACAGGTGTCTGTGACGGTAGCAGATTTTGCTCTAGAAAGAGCACCAGCCGGGCGACCAACTGTGTATGTTCGACCCCTGCTTGTCCGCACCGTTTCTGGAAAGGAAGAACTCGCCTGGGGTCCCCACCCTCCCTCCCTCCTTCCTTGTTTAGGCACGTGCCTTCCTCGGCCTCTAAATATATGTAAAGTAGACGAGGGAGGTGCAAATTCTACAGACGATCGCTCAGTGGCCGAGAATATCCCTTCAAAAGATAGTACTCCTCGGGCTCCATTGTCCGATATTTGTACAGTACAGTGCATCGAAATATATTTCACGAAAACAAACAGAACAAACAGGGAAAGAGTAGCGGGAATTGTCCGATCCCGGCCAAACCCTAAGTAAGGCGGATGAGAAGGTGGTCCGCAACGAAAATACCGGAGAATAAAGACACTGGCTAGACGGAAGGAGATATGCAAGGAATGACTACCGTGGATGGATGGGTTAATCTATCTATGGTCCACAGAAATCAATCACAGTTGTTTTTTTTTTTTTTTTCTTTCCAGTAATGGACTGAATGATTCATCAATTCGATGGCGTCGCCGGTAATAGTCAGGATCAGAAAGGTGTGTCCCCCCAGATAGAGGACTTCTGTCATGTAGATACAGTATAGATCACAGAAGTGGTAGAAAGTAGTATCCTGCACAGTGTCAATGCACGATGCCCCAGTCCCCGATGCTGCAAATTCAGGCCCGCCGAATTGGCTTCTTCTCTGGAAGCTGTGGCGATCAGATATATGAAGGAAGCATGGTGTCCATTACCGACTATGGAAGGAAGAATCTAGCCAACAGCGTTATGCCACATGACGACGTGGTTGCTGCACGTCACAGAAGCTTACAATCTTCCTCTGCGGCGCCAAGTAGCTTTGTATAGTCCTTGGCTCGGTCCCAGAAGCTTCTCTTCCTGTATAGCAATTCAAGGGCTAGACTGTCCTCCATGATACTCTTGAGCAGGTTGCACTGCTCTTGAACTTCGTTGTCGGACCCAGTTCAGGTCGATGATTGGAACGGGATTGGTAACGGTTGGCTTCGCCAGCGGAGTAGAGCTTGCAGGAGCCACTGATGGTCCTGGATGGTTTCCTGTTGGCGTGGTACTTGCCGGAGTCAAATTCGGAGACAGCATGATAGCTGCAGTAGTCAGTGTGGGCGCGTCTGCTGCCGTAGTAGCTGCAGGATCATAAGAGATGAATATATACCCTGGCATATCTCCCACTGAGGGGCGCGCTGAAGCATTGATTACTTTGAATAAATACTCGACTCCCCAATCAATATGCAGGATTATCGTCTGCAGTTTTCTTGAGCATGCCAGAGTGAAGTGGTTTGTTGCTGAGTGTAGTATGCAGAGTAAGACTGCAGGTTGTGATGACGATATGCTAGCTTCAGTAGACAACAGGGCAGGCACGGCCATTGCCTCCAGTATGACCACTTACTTTCCTTTGCTGCGGCTGGTTCCTCCGGCGGCTCACTAGGAACCGTGACTGCCTCGGGAGACCCGTAGTCAACAGGCATGGTGCCCGACCTCTCAAGGAGAAGCGTCTCCGGAGTAGCTGTGGTCGAGGCAGCCCTTGGTTTCTAGAAGATCTGCGCTGATTGTCTGGCCGGAGTGCTTCCTAAGTTTGGGGGTCACTCACTCTCTGTATCCTTGGTCCATCGGGTTCTCAAGTATCTTGAGTATATCGCTGTCCGATCCATTCTGTCTGAGATGGTTCGGTGGAGCTTTGGTCGCTTGTCACGATGGCACACAACGCTATAAATACAGCTCTGAAGTGTGAACCGTACGTCAGGAGCCGTATACTGCACGGCACGCGCATCCCAGACCTCGCAATTGACCTCATATTTGGTCAAATGCGCCTGGATGTTGGCGACGTCCAGAAATATGTCAAGCATCGCCAGTGCGACTTCCTACAAGTGCCTCAGGTGCGGGACTGTCCATGGCTTTAGTCACGTTATTATTGCTGCAATTAGGCGATGCATTATTGTCAGCTGAACTTGAATCCGGCCGCGAAGGAACTCAGCCCTCAGCTCAGGATGTCCGATGTTGTCGGATGCTTGTGAAAGTATGTGGTACACACTTTACTCTCTCGATGTGCCGATAAGGTCTTTGAATTGGCTCAGGCCTGGGGCTTTTTCGGCTAATTCATCCTCTTTTCCGAAGAGATCCGACAATCACTACCTGCTTGGTGGTTGCATTCTCACGCAGCCCTATAGCAAGATAACCCCAATCCTGCGGGGCAGAACGATTTCGTCGTGCAAGGAGTTGACGGCCAGGTAAACCCCCGCGTCGCACAGCTTCATGCCGTAGGGTGGCCAATCATCTAGCAGTCTTAGAGCTCGACAGTCCTATGTCCTATGTACTAGGTGACAGACCAACGGTTCTCTCTCCTCTCATCGATGGCTGTATAAGACGTTTGGAAGGACCGCTGAATCCGCGCAGGCAACATGTCCACGATGGAACTCCTCTTTTTTTGCAATACGTTCCTTCTTTGCAACCCTTTTTCGCGCGATACGGTTCTCTCCCTGTTCATTGCGGTTCAGCCAGCAACATCGCTAGCTCACATGAAGAACGGTACTTACTAGTCCATTGTAATCGTTCGATCATCCTCCATCTAGAATATTCGCGCCAGCGGCGTCCGGAGGCTTGGAACGATTCCTTTGATTAAGCTGTCCGCGCCAGCTCATCGCCATCCATTATAATCCAATAATAAAGATCACGCCGCATGATGTGGCTCGCTCGCGGTGTGGTCTGGGCATGCCCATTTTCTCTCTCCATGCTTTGTGATCCCGCTTTGAAGATTAAGTTTGAGGAGCTTGATGATTTTGAGCAATATAGAGACAGGAAGGGTCCAGATGCTTAGCTAGCATGCAACTCCGGATAGGGCATACCTCAAACGGCAAGATGTACGTGGCTGGGTTGAGTCGCTCGGGACTTTTGTAGGAAACGTCTGCTAGGACCTGCAGATGCGAGCCTTGTATACTAGATAGACATGGAGCTCGATCGTTCAATTGATAGCTGAGTATTAAGAGAGAGCCTTAGCGAAATAAGAAAGTCTTGTCATATGAGAATGAATCCAGGATATCAAGTATTGTGGGTGGCTTGTCTGATTTGATAAGTGGATGGAAGATTGCTTGAAGAGGACTGGAGAAAAATGGGTTCTTTTCTATATGTGTGTATAGATACGACTTATATCCCCCGATGAATGATACTGCAAGTTCACTGGTTGAGTGCACATCTATGTGGAATGAATGGTCACAGGGGCTGATTCACCTGAGAGCCAGAGTACCAATGAATGTGCTTGATAGGCGAGATATAACAGCACCAGGAACGCATTACAAGAGAGTGTAGTATACTAACGAGGAGATGGGTATTCACATTTACAACAACAGCTTTGTGAATAGAAAGCATGCGTATCCAGGAACCAGACTGAATCTATCACACCGAGCATTAAGCATACCGCAAAAAACATTTGAGTGAATTAGTAAGAAGAGGTTGGTATCGATTGCAAGCACCCAGGTATCACGAACTTGGAGATCTATCTAGATCCATCTATCACAAAGCAGTCCATTCCATGTATGTTAGGAAGTGATCCCCGGCCGCAAGTGACCTTTGACCAGTCACCACTGGAACGAATGGGAACAATAACAATAGCAAACGAGAAGTGTGTAGGATACTCGGCGAGGCGTGGAAGAGAGAAAGGCAAGGAAAGATGAACAGATAGCTGCGCATCATATAGACAAAGAAACAAGAGGTCGTCAGGCGGGATTTGTCCTCTAGCAAATATAGTAAGGGGGATATGGAACAGGAAGAAATAATACGGCCAACGCCAAAAGAGTTAGGGATTTGGAGTCTAATCGTTCTCAGCCGAAGACCTTGAGGAAGCCCCATAAGCCAACACCGCTGAGGACAGGGATCGTCAGATTATCGTCCCAGCCGAACAAGTCAATGAACTCGCTACCGGCAGCCACCAAGCCGGAAACAACGCTCATGACTCCAAGGGCCAGAGGACCCGACAGGACAGCACTGGAAGTATCCGCAGTCCAGCCGAGCAGATTCTTGACTGAGCCAGGGATCAGATTGAGGCGTCCGGTAAACATGAAAGAGCCTTCAGGATCATTGGGGAAAGTCCCAATGTAAGGGACGAAAAAGCCCCAGAAAGCGGCGGCAGTGACGACCCCAACAAGCCAGGCGCTCAGGGTGCCGGCCAAGCTCTTGCCTTTGCGGAGCTGGCGGGTGTGTCGGCCATAGAGGCGACCAAAGGTGGAAGCAGCAGTGTCACACCAGCTAAGTAGCAGCACACTCATGACACCGACATCCTTGGGAAGGAAGCGCAAGACAGCGTATGCGCCCAACAGATACCAGATGACGCCATTGTAACCGGAAACTTCCGTCTCGCGCATCAACGCTCCCACACACCGGATATATAGCTTGTTGACTGTCTCTGAACGATGGCGAATGATGTCGACAGAAGCAATGGGGACCAGAGCGCCGAAGAGCCATGGGGTGATTTGGAGCGGCTGAATACCTCGCGTGTACAAATGTAGTGTTAGGAAGCCGATGGAGACGTGTAAGAGCTTGCGCGGGATCTCATGTCGGTGGATGAAGCTGCGATAACGGCTGTGGAGAGGAATGAGACCAAGAGGAGAAGGGGATCGCGAAATGCTCTCCCAAGCGCCACTGGGTCTGAGTAATGGCGACAGGTATCCATTGTTCGATGCGGCATGGCCGTTCGTTGTTGGTGACTTGACTTTCCCAGCCGGTAACTTAGGGTTGGATTTGCGCTTGCGTTTTCGCGCTGATTCTGGGCTGGGAGGGCTCCGAGAACGAGCCCGTGAGCGCTTGAGAGTCGCATCCGCGTCGCCGTTGGTCTCCTCCACCACTTCACCAAGTCGTTGTTGTCGACGCGCAGCAGAGCGCGTGGTGGGTCCGAAGTAGTCTCGCGAGCTCGATCTTGGGTCTGAGGGGGTGGGGGAGGGCGAGATCACACGAGGAGTCTCGGGAATGGCATCATGGTTTGTAGACATCTCGACCGCGGGTATGACGAAAGGTGGAAGGGCCGGTTTCCAGATGACTCCGGACAAGGGTCGCGGAATTAGGTAGATGAAGAGGGCAGCGCAAATGCCCGGTGTAGGGGAGCTGAGTGCTTGTAACGACGCAATGATGGGCAGGTCGAACGACGAATAGGTGCAACGATGACGAGGGAATGTGGCTTATGGCAGCCAGCGTCGATTGTAGTCGTATGTACAGTAACAGGCAGACACACCGTTGCGCATGACGTTTCACGCTCAGTACATTATCGGCATAACACTCGAGAGGCAAGGTCTGTACAGTGAGAGTTTAGGAGAAATTCACTGCACCGAAAGGAGAGCAACTAGGATCGAGGATGAGTTAATTTGAAGATGGGAGATATTCAGACTTGCGTTCAGCTTCGATTTCAGCCTGGAAACCGATTGGCTTCCGCCGAATCCGCAGGCGGTCACGTGTAACTATGGCAGAAAGTCTCCACCGCCTCCGGTATCTAATCGATAAGGGAAAAAAACTGGAGGATTGAATCTGAAGAAGATGAAAAGATCGATTACGGTGTGAGGTGTCCAATCAATTATCAAATTACTTTGGGGAGAAGTGAGCGTCAAGCAGCGGACTCAATATGGCCCCTAAACCTCCTCCTGGCACATCTACCAGAGCGTGGGATGCAGTGACACCCCCTCTCTCGGAATGGGTACTCGACGCCGTCTCCTCAATGGGCTTCACGCGCATGACCCCCGTCCAGGCGTCGGCCATTCCTCTATTCATGGCGCATAAGGATGTGGTGGTGGAGGCAGTCACTGGCAGTGGCAAGACCTTGTCTTTCTTGATCCCCGTCGTTGAGAAGCTTTTGCGATTGGAGGAGCCTCTCAAGAAGCACCACGTCGGCGCAATCATTATCTCTCCCACCCGGTAAGTCTCATCTCAGTAGGGCCAGGGCTGCGGTTTGGGGCTAATAATCTATTCCAGAGAACTCGCTACTCAGATCTACAATGTCCTGACCTCGTTGCTTGCCTTTCACCCTCCATCTGCCTCCGTGCTCAACCCCGCCGAAGACGCCGATGCGCCTCGTCCCAAACACCTCTCCTCCGCCCTGAAGGTGGTCCCGCAGCTTCTCCTTGGAGGATCAACGACCCCCGCGGAGGACTTGAGCACCTTCTTGAAGCGGTCCCCGAATGTGCTGGTGTCGACACCAGGACGGTTACTGGAGCTCCTCTCCTCGCCCCACGTACATTGCCCCCAGTCTTCGTTCGAAATGCTCGTCATGGACGAGGCCGACCGACTGTTGGATTTGGGATTCAAGGACACACTGCAGAACATCCTGCGTCGACTGCCCAAGCAACGGCGCACCGGTCTCTTCAGCGCCAGTATTAGCGAGGCAGTCGACCAGATCGTGCGAGTTGGTCTGCGCAACCCGGTCAAGGTCATGGTCAAAGTCAAGGGCACGTCAGGAGCCCAGGATAAGCGGACACCGGCCAGGTCAGTTTTCCGTGCATCAACCACATAAGACTTGAGCATCACTCTCCCCGCCATTACGGCCTAACATGCTAACATGATGCAACCAGTCTCCAAATGACCTACCTCACCACCTCACCCTTACATAAATTCGCGACCTTACCCGCCCTCCTCCGCTCCGTCGAACCCACCCCCCAGAAAACCATCTTCTTCGTGTCCACCTGCTCCGGCGTCGACTACCTCGCGGGCATTCTCCCCCTGATCCTAGGCGAGGACTTCCAGCTGATTCCGCTGCACGGCAAACACCAAGCCAACGTGCGCGAAAAGAACTTCCACCGCTTCCTCAACTGCCACACGCCCGCCATCCTGCTCACCACCGACGTCGCCTCCCGAGGACTGGACATCCCCTCGGTCGACCTCGTCGTCCAGATTGACCCGCCCTCCGACCCGAAGACCTTCATCCACCGCTGCGGCCGGGCGGGCCGCGCCGGCCGGAAGGGTCTGAGCGTGGTCCTGCTCCACCCGGGCCGCGAGGAGGACTACGTCTCCTTCCTCGACGTCCGCAAGACGCCGGTCGTCCCGTACCCGAAACCGCTCACCGTCTCCGACGCCGACGCCGCCGCCGCGACCAAGCGGGCTCGCAAGGCCGTGCTCGCCGACCGGGCCCTGCATGACCGCGGCCAGAAGGCGTTCGTCAGCTGGCTCCGCAGCTACAGCAAGCACCAGGCCAGCAGTATCTTCCGTGTCGCCGACGTCGACTGGGAGGCGCTGGGCAAGGCGTGGGCCCTGCTGAAGTTGCCCAAGATGCCGGAGCTACGGTCCTTCACGGGCGACCGGACGCTGGGCGTCACGCTGGACTGGGACACCTTCACCTACAAGGATAAGCAGCGGGAGAAGCGCCGCAAGGAAGAAATGCAGGAGAGAGCCGAGCAGGCGGCGGCGGCGGCTAACGAGGGCGATGAATCCTCCAACAAGCGACGGGCGACCGAAAGCGCTTCCGCATGGAGTAAGAACCTCGAGACACGGAATAAGAAGCAGAAGCGCAGAGAGGTGAAGCAGGCGCGGGCTCAGCATACCCGGTGGGAGAAGATGACTGAGGAAGAGCGACAGAAGGCTCGCGAGACAGAACAGATGGTGGAGCAACTCCGTCTCAAGAATGAAGAGGAGCGTCGACTGCGGCGCGCAGCCAAGGCGGCCGAGGGCAAGGGTGATGCCAATGCTGAGGATGACGAGTTCGAAGGTTTCGATTGAACTGACATCATGTAACCTGGTTTTCCTATCGTCATATAATTTTGATACCATGTCTACTACGTCTCTAGAATTTGATGTCCGATAAATGGTCCTCTTTCTCCGCATTTCACATACCCCTGCAGTAGTTTCCCTTTGTCTATCGGAAGCATTCTCATGCAATTCTTAGATTACCTGCCATAAAAATGAATTGATCACAAACTCATGAACTGTACATCGATTGTCTGTGTGGATGAAAAAGACGCTTCAGTGCCACTCGATACATGCAAGGCAATTCTTAATACAGACAACACCGGGAATGCTTCGCAAACCAAACCAGACAAAAACAGTGATGGTATCCCAAGACCTGTCTAAAACAACTCCTCGGGCATAAAGGTACACGCGACAATCGAAAAACCTGAACAATTTTCAGCCACATGGGCAGACCACAGTTTGGTGTGTATGAAGACGAATGTGGTGGTCTGAGCGAGAAAGAGCAAACGACAATTAAAAACCTGAACAACTTTCAACCAGATGGGCAGACCATAGTTTAATGCAAAGACGAATGCGGTGGCCTGGGCGATGAAGGTTTATAAGAATTGAGAACCTGAACAACTTTCAGCAGACCATGGTTTGGTGTAAAGACGAATGTGGTGGTCTGAACGACGAAGAGCGAACAACGTGCAAAAACCTGAACAACTTTCAACCAGATGGGCAGACTATGGTTTGGTGTAAAGACGAATGTGGTGGTCTGAGATATTAAGAGCTAACGGCGTTCCAAAACGTGAACAACTTTCGACCTGATTCAGTAATAGCATTTATCAACGCAAGGTTTTATGCAAGTGCGGCGTGCGGAAATCCAGTTTCCATTTCGCGCCTGAACGCTTCCAAGCCGGGCGTCCAGATATTATCGTAAGCGTGGTCGACCACTGAAGGATCCCACAATTCATTGGCGATGCGAACTGCCTCGGCACTGAAGCCCATATCTTCATAACTCTCGGCTTCCGGCCAGACAAGCTCAGAGAGGTCTCCATTTGGGCAATTCTCATAGAGCCACTGAGCATCGCGAGCAAATTGGTCGTCACCGAAGCCCTCGACGCTGGATGCACGCTCGGGACTAGCGACAGGTACGGGGACCGTGCTGGGAGTAGCAATAGGTGCGGAGACTGTGTCAGGGGTAGTAGCAAGGGTCAAAGGGCTCGAATAGCGGCTCGCAGTGCGGAGTCCACTGGGCGTCTTGGGTTTGTATTTCTCTGCTTGCGAGCGGACTCGAGCAAGAGCATCATCTTCGACCTTGGCTGGAGTGGTAGGAGGGACAAGCGCCTGCTGCGGAGTCACGCGAGTCTCTTCGGATGATGTGCTAGAAAGAAGATTGGTTAGCAAGCCGGTGCCTTGCCTGGGCTCATCAAGACAAAAGGAAGAACATACCTCTCAGTAACGTGAGGCTGCGAAGGAGCTTCAATTGGTGAAGTGGTCTGTGTATCGGGCACAGATTCGAGGGTAGAAGCATTGGGTTCCGATGGGGAGTCCGAATAGGGAGTCTCGAATGTACCGGCGCGGTTGGGAACGAAACCTGGTGTAGCCTCATCTTTCGAAGCTTCCGAGGAGGTGTCAGAATAAGGTGTCTCGAATGTACCATCCCGATTGGGAACAAAGCCAGGAGCTGGGGTATCTTCTTCTGAGACATCAGAAGAAGTATCAGAATAAGGGGTTTCAAAAGTACCATCACGATTGGGAATGAAGCCTGGGCGACTCCGCGGATCCGGGTAAATAGTGGACTGTTCGGCCTGTGAAGCGGTGTTCAGAGGCAGAGACGAGGATGAGTTACTCGATTCGCCAGACAGATCCATGCCGATGAAATGCTGTCCAGTGTATGGATCGGTGGCACGAGGCTTCAATCTAAGCTTGGATGGGGTATCCTGGGGACTGGCATCGAATCGAACTTTCTTCGAAGCTGGACGCTCGGACCGGAGAACACTGCGAATGGCGGACTTTCCTTTCATGTCTTGTTTCTTGAGTTCGGTTTGTGGGAGTTCAGGCTCCTCATCTTCTTCGTCATCGTCAGAGATCACGAAATAGTCCTCGTACATTCCATAGCTGCATCCAGGCGGGTTAGGGATCACATCAGGGGAAGGGGCCCGCTTGCGCTTCTTCTGGCTTGGAGTGGAGGTGCTAGACTCTCCTGGGGCAGAATTGCGGCCTCGAGTTATGCTGGCTTCGGCAATGGAATCACCAGAATCATTGGGGTTCGATGCAACGGCCGAAGACTCAGAAGCTTTGGATAGAGCCGCGGCAGGGATCTGTTGGACAGACTTGGGGGTGGGTTTAGGTTTATCGTCAAGGTAGCGAGATCTGTCAATAGTAGCAGGGAACAGGGAGAAGGAGAGATCACGCTGCGGCTCTTGGGTCGAGCCCTTACTCTTGGGAGTGGGCGACACTGTTCTGTTCGAAGGAACGAACGCTCTAGGCTGTGTACGGTTGAGCGGTTCGGTTGATGGTTCTGCTGGCACTAACAAGCATAAGCGGAATAAACAATACCAAGCCATGAAGAAGGCATACCCTGATTGTCATTTCTTTCGGGGGTCCGACCAAAAGTGGGAATGAGACGAGAAAGTCTGCGAGGGACAGAGTTCAAGAGCCCGCGGATTCTCCAGCCACTCGCAGGACGGTCCGGAGTGGTAGGTTGCTGTGTCGGTTCCGGTTCCTGCGCAATTTGTTCCTGAGGCGGTTCGATATCCACGAAGCTTGGGAAAGGTTCAGTAATCGTAATATCTTCTCCCGGAACTGGGGTCCTCTCAGAAGCGAGACGGTCAGCGTCCTCCTGAGCAAGGTATTGCGAGATGCGAAGACTGGTTCTATAAATGCGGCCTTGCGACTCGGCGTTGCGACGGCGAAGTCTCTCTGAGAATGGGGTGATATTGGCGGTCACACGGCGAGGCAAGGGACTGGCGTGAGAGAAGGGAGTACTTCCGGGAATGCCAAGGTTGCGCCGCTTATTCGCAGCGGGGGTGATTGGCTCTCCGTCGTTGTCGTTGTTGTCTTCATTGGTTGGGCGACGACGCTTCTTGTCTGTGTTGTACATTAGCCCCGCTCCTGTAGAAGAGGATGTGTCATGCCCCAGACCCCCGGGAGCACCAACAGCCCCCTGTTGAAAGGAACCTGTGGCGTGACCGTTGCTTTCACCCGACCCGATGTGCTCAGGCACGGGTGAAAGCACGTCCACAGCCCTACGCTGATTCGTAGGACGTGAACCGGTCCCGACCAGAGGAAATGGACTACCCGCCATTGGCACCGCCGTGGCTGGTTCCTCCGGCGGCTCACTAGGAACCGTGACTGCCTCAGGAAACCCGGAGCCGACAGACATGGTCCGCAACCTCTCAAAGCGAGGCGGCTCCGTGCTACTTGGGGCCTCGGAGGCAGCCCCCGGTCCCCGGGAAGCCTGTGCTGACTGTCTGGTCGGGGCACTTCCAGTGTTATGGGATGACTCACTCTCTGTAGCGTTGGAGTCCCGGCCTACTTCAGTGCTTCCGTTCTCCTGTGAGATTGGTTCCGCTTGCGAAGCGGTGGGTTCGGCGTTCTCGTTCTCTTCGGTCTGGTGCTGTTCGGTCTCCTCGGGATCGGATTGACCAGTTTTGCGAGTAGTCCGGCGCGTTGTGCGCTTCTTTGTAGTCGCCTTTTTCTTGCTGGCAGGCTTTTTGATGGTTGTAGAAGACGCTTTCTTAGCGCGCGTTGCCTTCGGGCGAGGGGCGGGCTGTTCTTCTTCGGCGGCGGACTGCTGCGAGTTGCTTCTCGTCGATCTAGTGGCGCGGGGAGCGGGCTGTTCTTCTTCGGCGGCGGCGGACTGCTGCGAGTCGCTTCTCGTCGACCTAGTGGGGCGAGCAACATTGTGGTCATCTAGGGAGACGAAGCCACCAGGCGACATCATCTGCGAGCGAGTACGCATTTTGACTGTTGGAGAAAGTGAACGATAATTGGTAAATGTTCAAGTTGATAAGGCACTAAAGTGAGCACCGTTGACTTATTTGCGATGCGAGAAGACCTTGCAAGTCTTCCCAATGTAGAGGTAGCTTAAAGGGCAGGTCGACGGTAAGAGAAGAGATGGGGGGTAGCGGATTCGAAAGAGGCAGGGTTGCGGTTTTCGCGCGCACAGAGAACAGGACAATGACCCAAGTTGCAATTTAGCTTCAACCTTGAGAGCCCGTCTCGTGGCGTGAAATATGAACCTCAAGCCGAAGCAAGCACAGCAGGAGTTCAACAGGAGAGAAAATGAACACACGTGAAGGAGGATGATGGTGATTGCGAACTGATAGAGAGTACAGGTTGTAAGGGCTGGAAACAAGGCCTGAGTCGAATAAAGCTCGAGTCTTCAGGCACAAAGATGTGAAGAGGGCGGAGGTGACAGGGAGAGAGGGTGGAGGAGACAAGAAGAGAGGATGGAGTGTAGGATGAACAGAGAGAAGGTGCGAAGGGAAAGCGCGACGGGATCCCGACTCTGCTGACACTGCGAGGCAGGAAGTCAAGCACAGCTGAAAACAGACAAGACAAGAGCAGGGCGATATTTCGAAGCGCAAAAGAGCAAGTGCTTGGGTGGAGGTAAACGCCTTTGCGAAATGCGAAACAAGTGGAGAGGAGAGCGAGGATGTTGTAGAGAGGATGAGAAGGAAGAGGAAGAAAAGAAGGAAAGAAAACAAAACTCACCGGGTGGGTTGTGTTATGATTCTGTTGTTATGTTGTTATGGCGCGTGTGGGCCGTGGACCCGCGGGGCAGCTGGCAACATTCACTATCAGAGCGAGCAAAGCTATAGCATCTGGTGATGGATGAGAGGATGGCAGTGAAGTGAATATTCCCTCGACCACGCGGGAAATTTGCGGCTCGAGGGAGTGACGTCCCGGCAGAATTAACCAGGCGGTGAAGCCGTCGGCAACCGCAATCTAGCCGCAGATTCCCTGCGCCGCGAGGGCTCAATCACTCCAGATTACTCAGTAATATCGCTATGAAGACATCAGGCATGGATTGGTAATAATACACCCGGATCTGAAAGATTTGCACGTGCATCATAAGAAATACAGGCTGCTGAATGGTTTAGCGCAGCGAAGAATGAACCTAATTAGCTACACCAGTTCGTACTACAAGAGTCGCAGACTCATTGATCAAACAGCAGAGGCAATGAGAAGTCGCATTCTATGCAGGCTAACTCTAAGCCGTTGAAAACGATAGCAATATTTGTACAGTACACAGCGATGATCTGGGAGCAGCCAGGAATCGCTGGAGTGATGTGGCACTAGATGAAAAACAGTTTCGCCCGCTCTCTGCCATAGTCGCCGGGTGGTGGGAGGGGAACGGTTTCAGAGACAAAATCATGAGATCGATATACGCCAAAAGAATAGTTTGGGAAGAGGATGGCCAAAGGAAATTATAGAGTACAAACGCCGGCAGAGTCCCCATTACATGCTAATCTCACCCTGCCAAGCAGCGTCGGAGAGGCCGAGGGTCTGAACCAGGTTCTGCCATCTTGGACCTCCACGCTCCTTTCGTCGCAGATAGCGGAGAAGCTTCTGTCGCTTGTGCACGAGGAGGCGCAGGTTGCGCTTGTTGTGTTTGTCCTTGTTGGTCGTCTCAAGATGTTTAGACAAATTGATGATCTTGGCGGTCAAGATAGCCACCTGCACTTCTGGGGAACCAGTATCAGCGCCGACTCGGGGGAACTTTTCGGGGCGAGCAGTTGCAGAGTCGAGGGACACGCTTGCTGGTTTGGGAGGCAGGGTCTGGTCCGTGTTGTGCCGACCAAAAGTCTCGATACATCTCTGGATGCGAAGGCGCATGCGATCTTGGTTGTTTCCGTTTTCAAGGTTCAAGATACGATTCATGGCTTCCAATGCATTCGCGTGCTGCTTGTGGTGTTGCTCAGCTTGTTCCATCTCAAGCTGAGGATCGGCGGTATCGCGGTCCGGGTTCACGAGAGGAGAAGTCAGGTCCTTCGAATGAGCGAGAGCACGCTCTAGTTCGGTCGGTTTCACAAAGAAGTTGGGCATAGCAGTCTCTGTATGCATCTGGGTCCCCTCCAATTCTTGGATGAAGGGGGTCGGTGCGCTTTTGACGGGGTCTCCCAAAGCTTGCTCACGTTCCTGGGCGAGAGCTTGTCGGCGAGAAAGGTTGGCTGCCTTGCGCTGGCGCGACTGAGCTGTCAAGAAAGGGTCATGTCTGCGACGTTCTCTTGCCTCTGCAGAGCCGGCTCTGATTGTGGTCTTGGAAGGGTTGAGGGATAGGGCGGCGAGCGGACTCTGAATGGAGGAAGAACCTGGTATCAACAGCACACGAGTTAGACAGGAATTGGAGACCGACCAAGGCGGAAGTGGGGAAGGAGGAGTGAAGGCATACCAGTGAAAGCCCTAAGGGAGGGCTGAAGAAGCAAGCGAGGAGACATAATTGGAAGCCTGAGACGGCGAGCACTGGCAATGGTCGTAGAACAAACCGGAGCTTCTTCGCATCTAAGGCCGTCATCCAGCACAGGCGCGCTGAACTTTCTCCGAAATCTCGAAGACCGGGCAGAGTACGCTAGTCCCAGTCTGGGTGGGATGTTTCACGTGATATCGGGGGGACGGTCCGGGGACTCCCGGTCTTGGCTAACCCTAGCCCTAGAATTCACAAACGGCAAGCGAAATTCATCACCATCTCAGCGCGGCGTGGAAAAGTTCAGCTTCGCGTTCCGTCTCTCCTCCCGTCATCACCACCGCGACAAGCGCCAGTCGATTGATATCCTCAATTCGATCTCCTTTGCAGAGTCAATCGTCCACCATGGCCCCCTCCCAGCTCCCCCCGATCTTCAACCCTACCTCCCAGGACATTGAGCAGCTCCTGGCTGCCCAGTGCCACCTGGGATCCAAGAACCTCCAGTCCCACATGGAGCCTTACCTCTGGAAGACTCGCCCCGACGGTGTCAACGTTATCAACATTGGCAAGACCTGGTACGTTTACTAGGAGAAGGAATCGCAACGCGCAATTGGGGGGCACGAGACATCTATATTCGGCCAGAAATCTAACTTGCGCGCGCGCGCGATTGTGTAGGGAGAAGATCGTCCTGGCCGCCCGTATCATCGCTGCCATCGACAACCCGGCCGATGTCTGTGTTATCTCCGCTCGTCCCTACGGTCAGCGTGCTGTCCTGAAGTTCGCCTCCCACACCGGTGCCACCGCCATCGCCGGTCGCTTCACCCCCGGTAACTTCACCAACTACATCACCCGCTCTTTCAAGGAGCCCCGCCTCATCATCGTCACCGACCCCCGCACCGATGCCCAGGCCATCAAGGAGGCCAGCTACGTCAACATCCCCGTCATCGCCCTCTGCGACACTGACTCCCCCACCGACTTCGTTGACGTTGCCATCCCCACCAACAACAAGGGTCGCCACGCCATCGGTCTCGTCTGGTGGCTGCTCGCCCGTGAGGTCCTCCGCCTCCGTGGTACCATCGCCTCCCGCGAGGTTGACTGGGACGTCGTTGTCGACCTGTACTTCTACCGTGACCCCGAGGCTGAGGAGAACAAGGAGATCGCCGACGAGACCAAGGTCGCCAGCGCTGAGGAGGTTGGCCCCGCCGCCATCGAGTCCGGCTACGCCGGTGACAACTGGGACACCGCCGGTGCTGGTGCTGGTGCTCCTGGCACTGCTTTCTCCGCTGCTACCGCTGCTGCTGGTACCAGCTGGGAGGCTGACGGTGCCGACTGGGCTGCCAGCTCTGCCGCTCCTGCTGGCGAGAGCTGGGCTGAGACCAAGCCCGCTGAGGGCAACTGGTAAATGTTTGACCCCGGTGACGCGGACGGTCGTTGAGAGGGGACTTTGATTCACATCTTCTTTTCCATGAAGCATCTTGGGCGATTGGTGGGGGAGCTTTCAGTGGACTCCTTTGCCGAATAGGAGCGACACTCGCGCACCCTTCGAACCACAGAAGAGGAAAAGCAATCCCCTTGTCATGTCTATCCTAGTCTCTGTTCAACAATTTACCAAAAAAAAAACCAAAAAGCAAAGGAAGAAAAATTGAGGAAAAAAACGCACACAATCAACGGGAGATCCACTACTTGAAAAACCAACCCTTTTTCCTACTCTTTTCCTTTCTCTGACGTGGTATGCTACGGTGAAAACCCCTTTTCCCGCCCATCCGATTTTTGATGTTTCGTTTATGGTGTGCATCGGGGAGGAATTGCAACGATAAACAGTTGACTTGGCGCTTATGAGGGAAAGATATCCAGTTGTTCTCTTGCCTCGGTGAGCTTCTGGGGGAAAGCCCTGTGCTGTCAATTTACAAGGTGGACTTAAGCGTTACCTTGGTTTCTCCCTGCATGTTTATCATAGCCGTAATTGAAAAGTGATGCCAGCTACCATGTCTTTCCATCGTTCGTAGTAGTAGAGAGAGTAGAGTAGAGATGCGTAAACTCAATGGGATTTGATTCCGATATGTGGTGTGATCGATCTACGAGCACTGTAAGTTCGGGCCATAAAGCCATTTACACCTCAGTCCAGCCGCCCACCTCGACTTCCGAGACCACAAGACCTTAGATTTCAGCGAAGCTCGACCGAAACACCTATGAACAATTAAATATCGAAAAGAAAGGGTATCACAAAGAAAGAAACCAATCAACAAACAACACAACCCCCTTTACTCTGCCCGCCCGCCGCCGTCAAGGTCATCCCCGCCATCCGCGCGATATCCTCAAAGGTCTCCGCCATCAGCTCACCCGTAGCGGCGGAACATTCCGCATAACGATCGCATCGAAGTTCTTGGGCGATGCGGTACGACTATAACAAATCAGCTCAGCTCGATCTATGCAACCAGGAACAACACTCCATGCAGGAGCAAGCTCACCTCCTGTGGGTAGATGATCCCCTCTCCCTCGACTCTGAGGTCTCGTTTTAGTCCCACCACCATTATGGGGATGCGCTCCCCGTAGCCGTGTTGGAAGTACCGAATGATATCGTGTCGCCACTAGAACCGGGGTCAGAATGGGGAAGCACGACGAAGAGATGAGGAAGCCTTCAATATGAACAATGGGCCCCTGCTCCGCCCGGACTTCAAGCCCACTTACCCCTCTCAACCCGTTCAGGGTCTCGCGATTGGAGATATCGAACGCCAGAAGCACCACATCCGGCCGGAGAGTCGACCAGTGCTGGTTGGGGCTGGCGGTATCGAAGATCTCGAGCGTGAATGACTTCTTGGAGAAGCGAATGTCATAGAGAAATGGCTGGTCGCTATCCCGTAATGGGACATCGTCTCCTCTTTGTCCTTGAAGTCGGCGATGGTTAGATTTCAGGCTCCTGAGGTGGCATTAGCGGACAGGTGCAATTTTGATAGAGCGAGGAAGGAAATATGAAGGATAATGATAATGCGAGTTGCGAACATTGCATCTGACGATTGGTCAAAGAACAGGATCTACTCACGATAGAAAGGTCGACTTGCCACAACCTGAGTCTCCTAGGAGCAAGATCGTAACCGTCGGGTTGTCTTCTTGGAGGTAGGAGTCCGCCATTCAGATTGGAATGCTATGGACGCTTGTGATATATTGAGAGATTTTTGTTGCTTGTGAAGCGCACTCAATGGTCATCGACAGTTGAGCATCTCTCGGTATTTCTACAGGGCTATAGCCTGTGATGGTTATCGAGATAGCCAAGTTCGTGTGTGAGATGCGATAAGATCCGGAATATGTATGTCACGCCGTCCGCCTTCAAACCAGTTGTTGCTTTATCTCCCACATGGAAATAAAGCAACAGTAGATCTATGCTGAGCAACCGACAGATATTACTGTCCATAGAATTTAGTAATCTGCGCATCTACTATAAAAATTAGATTGATAATCCAAAGGAGTATTTAATTTCAAATATAGTCATGCCACAGCTGAACGACCATATTCTCCAGTATTAGCGGGCGTAATAATACCGGAGTTACACGGGCAATACACTCCGTAAGGCAATCTGGATCAGCGACTCTAAATTTTTGCTTCGCAGACCCAAAGAAAACAATTTATTTCCGCTGCCACGTCCGCGAGAGTCTCGAGTCCGCCAACATTCTTTTCCTCACGGGTATGCGCAGTCTCCAAGGAAGCCTTCGTACCTTCTTGACTCGCGCTCAAGACTCCACTATAAACAGATCCCGTTCAGCAACCGCTGCATCTTTTCACTGTTTCGCTCGTTCCCTCGCCCAAGTCAATTCCTCCCCGCCGCTGCAAACCATGTCGGAGCAGCAGCAGCAGCAACCCGCGCAGACGCCAACCCAGCCAGCGTCCAGTCTCGCCGATAATGAACAGGACTACTCGACATGGCCTACATCCAGTCTGATTGCCCGGATCACCGAACTTGAGCGCCAACTCCACTCCCGTACGGCGGAGTACGCCGCATCGCCTGCCCCCACCACGCAGAGCATTACCAGCCTTCCCCAGCAGCAGAACGACAAACCTACCGAGAAGAAGCCTGCCAATTTGCCCTCCCCCTCGACAACCAAGAAGGGAGTACAGCCACCGAAGCCTAAGCCCGCGAAAGTGCGCCGGGAAATCGATCCCTCCAAGTACAACACGCGCTTCATCGCGCTGAAGTTTGCATACCTGGGACAGCGGTATAATGGGTTGGAACACGCGAACGGCAATGCCACACCGTTGCCGACCATCGAGGAGGAGCTTTACAAGGCACTGCGCAAGACACGTCTGATCTTTCCGACCGATACATCTGGGGATGACTTTGTCGACAACTACGCGCCGCGCGAGGTCAAGCCCTACTGGATCAACTGGGACGGTTGCCAGTACTCCAAGGCCGGCCGCACGGATCGCGGTGTGAGCGCTTTTGGGCAGGTCGTCGGTATGAGGGTGCGCAGCACGCGACCAATGCGCAAGACGGATGCACAGAACCCGGACACGGCTATGGAAAACACGGAGGAGGCGGATGACGGTTGGGATCATATCAAGGATGAACATCCTTATGTGAGCATGCTGAATAAGGTCCTCCCGCAGGATATTAGGGTCCTGGCCTGGTGTCCCAACCCTCCGGAAGGGTTCGACGCTCGCTTCTCCTGCCGAGAACGCCACTACAAGTACTTTTTCACTCAGCCCGCCTTTTCTCCTACGCCTGGGCCTCTCGGATTAATGCCCCGTGCCAATGATGGAACGAACACTCGTCCGAAGTACAGAGAGGGTTGGTTGGATATCGAGGCGATGCGCGAAGCCGCCAAATACTTTGAGGGCACCCACGACTTCCGCAACTTCTGCAAGCTGGATGTTACCAAACAGATTGATAACTTCTCCCGTGAGATTTTCCGCGCTGATATTGAACTGATCGATGCCAAAAATACCCCGCTGGGTTACGTCAACGAGCCAGAATTTCGCGCTGTTGAAGGCGAGCAAGACAGCGGATCATCCGTTGAGCCTACACCTACTGCTGCTAAGGTGTATGTCTTCCATCTAGAGGGATCCGCATTCCTATGGCATCAAGTTCGTCACATGGTCAGTGTCTTGTTCCTTGTTGGTCAGGGCCTCGAACCCCCCACCATTGTGCGCGACCTGCTAGATGCCTCCAAGAACCCGCGCAAGCCCACTTATGAGATGGCGTCTGACGCCCCTCTTGTCCTTTGGGATTGTGTCTACCCTGATGAGCAGAGCGGTAGCCGCAAGGATGCGTTGGAGTGGGTTTATGCAGGCGATATCAGGCAGATCAAATCCCATCTCGGCAAAGGCGGCGGCAAGTTTGGTCTCGGTGGAATTGTCGAGGAGCTCTGGGCTGTTTGGAGACAGCGCAAGATTGATGAGATCCTAGCCGGCACACTACTCGATCTGGCCGTTAGGCAAAGAGATCAAACCATGATCGCTACCGGAGGAGAAAACCCTGTCTGGGAGCGGAGGAACAGAGGACAAAAAGTGTTCATTGGTGGCAATGAATCCAGAACAGGCGGTGAATATATCCCAGTCTTGCACAAACGCAAGACGGAACTCGTTGAGGTCCAGAATGCGCGGTGGTTGGCTGCCAAACAACGAAAAACGGAGGCAGGTGCGAAGCCGTCCAAGATGGAGATGTAGATAAGATTAGTTTCTGTACCTACCCTGACATATCATATGCATGCGTTTAGCGACGCTTGCAGTCTCGCGCCTTCTCCTCACCGGAGTCTTTTTCTTTGGAAACCCATGATGGTCGCATCCTCCGCTTGAATCATGCTATGACTTGGAATCATACAGACATCGTCGCGAACCTCTCCAGACCTCTTCTAGAATTTGTCGATTCGGAAGGAGATTCTATTCGCTGTCAGTTAGGCGATATCGAATGCACATATGCTCCCAAACCAAACTCACAGGGAAAACCACGAGGACCTCCGTCTCCCCTTCGACAATCACAGCTAGATAGAAGCGAACCTCGAATCCCTTAAAAGCCTCATGAATCACAATATCCTGGATCTGTGTGGTGGGGATGAATCGCGTAGACGCTTTTGACAAGTACGTGTTGGAGGATGTCGAAGTCTGGATGCCCAGTCCGCGAATAACGAGGAGCGACTCTTCTGTACCGTAGCAGTGGAAGTTAGCACCGCTGGATGAGTCAAACAACAGCCGCACACATCCCACGAACCTGTGTATCCTTTCCTGAAAACACCGTACATCACAATTGCACTGACCAATCCCACAACTGGGTAGCTGTACCTATCCGCGTAGCGACAAACCGAGGCGCCCACCGGTGTCGACCATACAGCTGCCCAGGGGATCAATCGCGCTTCTTGGATGTAGGAAGAGTGTCGGAGTTTGGCGACATCAAGTAAGAGCACGCAGAAAAAGCTCAGCACGCGCAGCAGAACCTGCAGGTAGAATAGAACTTTTGCGGGCGTACTGGTATGTCTTGAGGCGTTCGAAACAGTGAACGAGACGGTCGTCGGGGACGGGCGCCGTAAGATGAGGCGGCCGGGCATGGAGGAAAAACAATGCGATTGACTAGTTCCAACAGGTCACGGTCTGGTGATTCTCGATCGGTGTGCAGAGCCGGCACATTTATATCTGCCGAGTTTGAATTGATCTGGTGATTCTCATACTTATCTCCTTGCAGAGGAGAAGCAGATCTAGTAGTTGTAGGTGGTCTAGTCCCTGAACGGCTAAACGAGCTCTCTTCGGTTGTGTCGTACCGCATCACGTGCATCGTGTCGCACCTGCCAATGCCCGGTCTAGACCAACCACTTGTCTCACTGATTGCCCAACCTTGTTGCCTTATCAGTGAGCAGAAAAGCATTTAAGGAGCAGGAGAGGGGTATGGGTGGTAAGAGGCTCATGCCAGTCAGGCGGCCTTAATAGACGCTGGGGCAGGACAGAGCTCAAAAACCAGCGAGCTCCCAAGCAACTAAGGATTTCCCGGCCGCATAACAAGAATGAATGGATTCGAGATGGAATTGAGATATCGATATCTTCATGATAGCTCGAACTTGTACGGATTACTTGAACCGATAAATCGAAGATGGGCTTTATTTTTCTACCGCCCCTGAATTCCATTTCCTACCAGCCTTCCGAGATGAACCATGAAGGTGAAGTCGTGTCCACGAAACTGCCAGACAAGCTTGGAGGCATTTCTGAGAATATGTTTCAGCGCGAGAGCTCTTTCCGGAGTCGGAATGGAAGGCAATAATGGATCTTGCCGGACAGCGTCTCACGCGTGAAACTTGCTTATTGTAACCTGTGAGCAAGTCCCCGTTCTGTGTTTCCGTTCCACGTATACCTGTCTGTCCACGTATTCCTTTGATGAATATTCTTCTCAGATTACCTTTGAGTTGGTGCTGACTAGACCATCACAGGTGAACCAAGCATTACATGTGTTGTCCCGTCATATGACGTGCCCATGTGCTGCTATTCCTTCCATGTGGATGAATGATTGTGACTGAGGCCTGGAGTGATAGCTTGCAAGCAGGAGGGGTGAACCGTTCGACTTCCAGATACCTAGATTCAAGTCCAGGAAATGCTGCTGGAGATCGAGAGTGCTTGTGCTGTGCGTTGTTGATGCAACAGTGCTGTGAGGACTCCAGCTTCGATCACTGATATCCCGGGCCGTTTGTTGATACTGCTCTATCCAGGCACTAAGGCATCACCAAGGTCCGCCTCCAGTCCGATTCCGGGGTCACAGGCCCGGGTGGGATGAGTCATCACTGCGGGGCGGTTGGATTCGCCCGTGCTGGCAGGGCGGGACTAGCCGGAAGAAGGAACTCTGCAGCCTGAGGCTGCCCCCCGCCTGCAGCCTGAACCGACGGCCGGGTTCCACTCGCGGCAGAGGCATTTTTTTTTTTCCTCGTCTCTATGGCCGATTCTCCACGAATCTCTTCCTATTCTCTCCTCCCTCCTTCTGATCTCGATGTCTGTTTTTCCTTCTCCATCCAATCGCTTGGAACCCGTCCCTATCCCTGATTCCCCGCCATGAGGTAGTTGCTTGTCCACTTCCATCGTCGAGATCTTTTGTTCTTCTCCTTGCTGCTCCAAGCCAGCGCTCTCCTCTCTTTGGTCGTGCTAATCTCACCCTTCGTCCCGCCCCTCCAGACCCGCCGACTCATCGGATATCTCCCCTCCCCCTCCGCAAACGATTCGGTCCTCCTCGCCTGTGATCTTGCAACCCACCGGATTTCCTGAAGCTGCTCAGTCGACTCCTCAGAACAACAATATGGTGCGCAACATTGTCGTCATCGGGGGTACCTCCCACCCTCAGCTGACCCAAAACATTTGCAACGTCCTGGGTATCCCTGCGGCAGACGTGCTCCTGTCGAAATTCTCCGTCGGTGAGACCCGAGTCGAGATCAAAGAATCCGTCCGTGGCAAGGATGTCTACATCATCCAATCCGGTGGCGGAAAAGTGAACGATCTCTTGATGGAACTGCTCATCACCATCTCGGCCTGCAAAACCGCCTCGGCGAAGAGAGTCACTGCGGTTCTCCCGCTCTTCCCATACTCTCGTCAGAGTGACATCCCGTACAACAAGACGGGCGCTCCGCTGACCAAGTCCTCCCTTGCTAGCAAATCCGGCAATGGCTACACTTTTGAAAGTACCCCGCCTACCCCACACCCGGGGAAGCCCGAGAGCTGCAGTCTGCTCAATGGTGTAGACAACCTTCAAAAGAGCCTGGCCAAGGCTCAATTGGAAGATATCAGCAACGGTAGCCCGGTGAAAAGACAACGTCCAGTCAATGGTTTGCCCCGCAGTGACACCATGGACTCTCTGCCCTCTCTTCACAGTGGAAGCGTTGCGGAAGAGGAGGCCAACAAGATCAACAACTTCCAGCCCCGTCCAGGCTACAAGCAGTGGGTGGCTCAGGCAGGCACCCTGGTTGCTGACTTGCTCACTTGCGCTGGTGCCGATCATATTATCACCATGGATCTTCACGACCCTCAATACCAGGGATTCTTCGATATCCCTGTCGACAACCTTTATGGTCGACCCCTGCTGAAGAGCTACATTCAGCGCAATATTCCCAACTACAAGCAGGCTGTCATTGTCAGTCCTGATGCTGGTGGCGCTAAGCGTGCCACCGCGATCGCCGATTCGATGGGCGTCGAATTCGCCCTTATCCACAAGGTTCGTTCAATTCCGGTCTTTTGATGTACTTTATCTGATTTCCTGTAGGAGCGCCGCCCTACACGGATCACGGATCGCCAGAATGCCACCATGATGCTGGTCGGTGATGTCAAGGATCGGACCGCTATTTTGATTGATGACCTGGCGGACACCTCGAACACCATCACCAGAGCGGCGAAGCTTCTGAAGAGGGAAGGAGCTGCCCGAGTCTATGCGTTGGTCACGCACGGTATTCTGAGTGGCGATGCGATTGATCGCATCAATGCTAGCGCTTTGGACAAGGTTGTTGTCACCAACAGTGTGGACCAGGCGGACCACCTGCGCAGATGTCCCAAGCTGGAGGTTTTGGAGGTCGGCCACGTCTTTGCCGAGGTAATTCCCCTTCTTTGAAGTGTTCTAGGTGCAAGAAACTAATTTCGTCGTATAGGCCATCCGTCGCGTTCACCACGGCGAGAGTATCAGCGTCCTCTTCCAGTACGACTAACGGATATGCCGTCACGGGTTTCTTTTGATGTTTTATCTATTCCATTTTCTTTTTTTTTGTGTGACGTCCATACAAAGTAAATCATAAACTTGTTGGGGAAATATGAAGAGCGACGAAATCTTGGGTCATCTTCCGCGGATTTGTTTTCTGTCCTTTTGCTTTGACATCGGCCGGAGTGCCCTTCTTGGTTTCTGAACGCTTAGGGACTTCTTGCTATTGCATATCATCGCTGGCTGTGAATTTTCTTTACCAAAAATATATCGAGACTCCAATTGCCAAGAGGAAGCGGACTAGAAACCATGTCGTGCGTCTAGTCCCTGGCATAAGGTGTTGGGCACCCTCCTACATGGCCTTGCGTCTGTGCCCATTATATCTCCCGGTCTTGTCAAACCTGTCTGGTTATTTCTGTGTCTTCGGGGAGTTTTTTTTGCCTTTTTTTTTTTCTTTTTTACACCGTCATATGTCCGCCCCTGGTATGATTTCCAGGGAGCAGGTGAGTCCATATGCATGAACATATATCCAACAATCATCATGAAAACTTCGGCCATGAGTCTGAAGCAACGACAATCTATCAGATCAATTTTACTTTTTCCCTTGCACCAGAGCAGGGAATCATCACCTCCGTCCTCAATCCTGAAAATAACCGAACTTACCTACATGGTTCTTGTAGTGGGTAAATTTCCAACGATTTGAAAAATGAGTCTCAGAGACATTACAAGCATGGAATTGATGTATATCTGTTTGCGCATAACTACCTACCGCGCAGACATGCCACGCAGACTTCCGTAAGAAAGATCTTTGACCGGGCGTACGATAAGGGAACTCTACAAGCCACACGCTACATGACATCCTCAAAAGTATGCATCGTGCTAGAAAGACGTGCGTGCTGCCCTTTAAGGGCAAAGATGCGCAGCAATGCAGCCCTAGGAGACGAGAGAAATTCGACGGTTGAGAGATGCTTCATAGGACCGAGTCCGCCCATTTGACTAGCGATAGCAGCGGCGAGAAAGCAAAGACAAAAGAGGAGACGCCTCACCTCGTGCATAGGAGACAGGGGATAGAAGATTACTAACACACGAGCCATCGCGAAAGGAGCATGGAGTATGTTTTGTGCGTGCGCGAGATGGGCGGAAGGGAGAGAGAGAGGAGGAAAAGGAAACCCAGAGGATAGATCAATGTAGGGAGGCTTTAAACAAGACGGCTAAAAAGTAAAAGGAAGAAACATGGTATCTAGAAAACAGAGATAAAGTTCCCGATCCTCTCTTTCTGATTTTGCGCAATACACTCGGCGATCCAGGTGACGTTTCGGATTTCCTGATTCAGGGATGATTAGCTGAAATAGTCCATGCAAGAATGGTGGGGTGGTTGTTCTTACCTGCTCCTTCAATCTCATCCACCCATATACCACCGCAGGCGTGAACTGCCGCGTGAAGACCACCTTGCACATCTCCATCTCCTTCTGGTAGAACAGATCCTCCAAGCTCTTCCCGTCCGAGGCGCCGCCCATGCCACCCAGGCCGCCTCCGCCCTGCGTCAGGCCGACCGCATCGAAGAACGCCTTGTAATCGGCGGAGATGCTCACGGCGAGGGCGACGGACTCGATGTCATCCGCCCGCGAGAGCATCAGTGACCCCTCCGGCCAGAGCTTACCGAATTCCGGGTACAGCTTCCTCCGCTCCTGCTTCGACAGCTCCGTGCCGAACGAGTTGAGTGTGATGTTGATGGCCCGCCGATCGGCCTCGAACTGCAGGATCTCCGACATGACCTCCTGGGTCGGAGTGCCCTTGAAGTCAGGGTGTGTGGTGACGAACTGGTGGAAGTCCTCCAGGTAGTTCTTGTACAGGGTGTTGCGCACGATCTCGATGTTGAGCTCGTCCAGATCTTGGTGGCTCAGACTCCCCTTGAAGTACCCGGCCAGGGGCGTTTCGATCAGGACGGAGTTGTACAGCTCTTCGATGTTGGTGGCGACGCAGAGGACGGGTAGGGTCTCGAACCAGCCTAGTGGATGGCACCGTTCCAGGAGCTCGCGGGTGTCTCGTTCGTGCAGGGTACCGGTAATGAGCAGGGCGATGTTGTCGATCATGTACCCGTAGGTCAGGTACCGCAGGAACTTTTCCGTCGACCCCGTGGCCTGCGCGAGGAGATAGCGGAATTCAGCAACCAGCTTGTCGGTCATCTTGCCTGCCAGGGCGGAGGTCGATGGGTTCGGGGGGAGAGCGGCGAGGAAGTCGCCATATGCGGGGGCGAGCTGGAGCTTGACATCTGCGGGCAAGAAAGAAACGCTGTGTGAGATTTCGGGTTTGGTTCGTGAGGGAGTCAGTCAGGGAGCAACGGACCATCGATCGATTCGCATTGAGTCAAGTTGGAGTAGTGTTGGCTAGTCAGAAGGCTGTTCCGATACCCTCGGGCAATGCCCTCAATGTAGCTGATCAGGACAGTTAGCCAGGGGAGATCCGGGGGGAAGTTGAGGAAGTATTTCGAGTGACATACCCGCTTTTGACGTTGAAGAAGAGACCCTCCATTATGATCGGACGTTCACGAGTCCTCAAGCTGCCTCTAGATCGTTAAACGGGGAGGAGTCGAAGCGGATTGGAGCACTTGCTGGTATGGATTGTCGCTATCTCAGTCGACGTAAACCACAATCCCGTGACCACACCCGGGTGGGCCTCCCGTGTCGCCTACCTAGTAAGGTTACATAAGCTGGCTAGCCAGTGTGTCTGGTGCACCTGCACCAGCCACTTGCGGGCACCAGCCACAGTCCGCACGGCGTTTTCGCTTTTTTCACTTTTTGGTGTCGAAAAATTTCCCAGCGATTGCAATCCTCGTCCAGCACGCGGTTTCGTCCCCCGTCGCCAACTTACGCCAACCCCTCCCTCTTAATTCCGACCCCCTCGCCCCTCGCACTTCTAGCTGGTGCTTCTTTTTTTTTCGGTTTGTTTTATTTCGTTGTCACAGCTAGACGTCGAGAGCCTACATCATGACGCTCTTCATCCTCACGGAGACCAGTGCGGGCTATGCCCTGCTCAAGGCCAAGGACAAGAAGCTTCTGAAGAGAGACGACCTCACCACTGAGGCTGCTACTGCAGAGGGTGTTTCTAACCTGTAAGTTTTTCTTGTCTTGGGATCTGATGAAATCGCTGCAATTACAATTGGGGTGATCTCATGCAAAAAATTTTCCCCCTCCGTGCGCCGACCGTACGTCTAACTTGCGCAACCCAGTTTGAAATTGAAGAGCTTCCAGAAGTTCGACAGCGCCGCGACTGCCCTGGAGGAAGTTGCTGCTCTCGTGGAAGGAAAGGTTACCCCTCGTCTGGCCAGCCTTTTGGACGAAGTGAAGGATGAGAAGAAGGTCTCTCTGGCTGTTTCCGATCCCAAGCTCGGTATGTGCTACTTCCTTTGCCTCGATGGCGAAATGGAGGGAAAGCCAACTTAAACTGACCCAAAATCCCACAGGAAACGCCATTGGCAAGCTTCCTGGCCTCTCCATCGAGTTGGTTGCCGACTCCTCCACCACCGACATCTACCGTGCCATCCGTGAACACCTGCCCACTCTCATCCCCGGTCTTCTTCCCCAGGATATGTCCACCATGGCCCTGGGTCTGTCGCACTCTCTTGCTCGTCACAAGCTCAAGTTCTCCCCCGACAAAATCGACACCATGATCGTGCAGGCTATCGGTCTGTTGGATGATTTGGACAAGGAACTCAACAACTACGCCATGCGTGTTAAGGAATGGTACGGCTGGCACTTCCCCGAGCTGGCCAAGATCTTGAACGACAACATCGCCTACGCCAGACTCGTCCTCAAGATGGGCATGCGCACTAACTGGGAGACTGCCGATCTCGCCGAGATCCTCCCCGAGGAGATCGAGGGTGCCGTCAAGTCCGCCGCTGACCGGTCCATGGGTACCGAGATCAGCCAGGAGGACTTGGAACACATCCAAGCTCTGGCCGAGCAGGTCGTCGGCTTTGCCGAATACCGTCAGCAGCTGGCTGGCTACCTCACCGCCCGTATGAACGCTATTGCCCCCAACTTGACTGCCCTTGTCGGTGACCTCGTCGGTGCCCGTCTCATTGCCCACGCTGGTAGCCTGACCAACCTGTCCAAGAGCCCTGCCTCTACCCTCCAGATTCTGGGTGCCGAGAAGGCCCTGTTCCGTGCTCTGAAGACCAAGCACGATACTCCCAAGTACGGTCTGATCTACCACGCCTCTTTGATCGGCCAGGCCACTGGCAAGAACAAGGGTAAGATGGCCAGAGTGTTGGCCGCCAAGGCCTCCCTGGGTCTCCGTGTGGATGCCCTGGCCGAGTGGGATGACGATGCCACCGAGGAGGACAAGGCTGCCCTCGGTACCGAGGCCCGCTACAACCTCGAGCGCAAGTTGGCCGCCATGGAGGGCAAGCCCCTCAAGCCCCGCGGTGTGGCTATCGCCCCCAACGGCACCGCTCAGCCCCAGAAGTTTGACCTCAACGAGGCCCGGAGATACAACCCCGATGCTGACGCTCTGACCGGCGATGAGCCCCCCGCTTCCGTCAAGAAGAGCAAGAAGGACAAGAAGCTCGTTGAGGAGGTTGAGGACGAGGAGATGGCCGATGCCGCTTCCGACGACGAGGGAGACTCCTCCGACGAGGATTCCGAGGAGGAATCCTCCAAGAAGAAGAAGAAGAGCAAGGACTCCGAGCTCGAGAAGCTGGCCGAGCAGGCCGGCCTGAACGTCAAGCGGTACAAGCGCAAGCTCGAACGGGGCGAGATCCAATTCGACGCCGAGGGCAAGCCCAGCTCCGTCAGCAAGAAGGACATCAAGAAGGCCAAGAAGGACGCCAAGAAGGCCTCCAAGGGCGAGGAGAAGAAGCGCAAGCGCTCAGACGACGGCGAGGAGGTCGACACCAGCGACAAGAAGAAGAAGAAGAAGAGCAAGAGCAAGAGCGACGAGTAAAGGGGACGACGGAAACGACTGAAGCCTCCAATTCTCTTTTTATAAAACAGAAAAAAGTTCTTTCTTCACAACCCACCTTCTACCTGATGGCTACGCTTCGAGAGATGTTTTCCTGTATGATATCACACACACATCTTTTGTGTCTCTTTTTCTATTGTCCTTTTGCTATTTGAGTTGAAGTGTTATATTGTGTGTTTGGGTGGCATTTCCAAAGAACGGATGGAAGCATTTTTCACATCCTACCCCATGGCGCAGAGGTGCTTTTTTGGTCAAGGCAGTTCGAATTCCAGGAATAATGTTAACTTCGGAAAAAACTTGTGTTCTGCATGAACGTAGTATGTATAGGTTTAGATCGCGTTGGTCGGTATCTGTCAGGGAACACATGTCGTGTCCCTTGCATGGAGAGTATCCAGCCAACAGGTAGGATAAAGAAAGAAGTATCCCCGGCGGAGGCAGGAACTCGATAGCTAGACATCGCATCGCAGGTACCACTTATATCAAACTGTAGAATTCTCGGCCACGGAACCAGAAGACCTGCATCCGATCATCACAGCATTCTACACTATACACGCAGTACCACGCAAATCCCCGGGGAAAAGCAATCGTCATTGCCTACGGCGAGCAGTATGTGACCTAGACCTTTCTGCATGCTCATGCACCTCGGCCCTGTCATGTCAGACAGTGTATCTATCTTGACGAGCCACCTCATCGCCACCCGGTCATCCAGTTTCTGAGTTACCTCTTATCTCAGGCGACCAGTTTGCTATTACAGTTTTGCTCACTACACAACGCCTCACCCCCCGTCCGGGATACTTCGTCCTCCATCGGCACATGTAAGTACTCTGATGGGTGCTGTGGTGGTCGATCCGCGACAGCGGGTGGTACTTCCTGAATTTCCGGCAAGACGATCCTACGGGTTGTCAGCGGAAAGACTTGGGCGGAGTGGTTCTGCAGCCACCACGAGCGAGGATTAGGAAGGGGCTTGGTTGGGTACTGCTTTAGCTCATATACACATTGGACGATTGGGTCTCGGGAGACTGTGCTGACCCTTGTAAGTAAGTAGTTACAATAAATCGAGAGTCTAGAAAGCAATATTGCAAATCTTATGTTTCATTACTCGTATCGACTCCGTTGACAATGCTATATAGGAAGCATTCGACTGTCTGTCAGAACCTTCGAAAAGTAGGCGTCTCGCGGTTGACTTGATCTTCGATAGTTCCCACACTCACTGGTGAGCCAGGATCTTGGCCACAGCAGCCTCGGCCACGACCATGATGGTGGCCTGGATGTTGCCGGTAGGAAGGTCGGGGTGGATACTGCCATCGACAATGTACTACAGGCGAGAATCATCAGCAAACGTTATCTATGTTGCAGAGGAGAAGATACATACCAGGTTATCCATTCCATAGACCTTTGTGTTGGTATCGACCACGGAGGTACCGTTTCCGCGGCGGCCATCGTCCGTGCCCATCTTCGCGGTGGTCGTGTAGTGCATACCAGTAGTCGGGTTTGCTAGGATGGAAGAGATGTTAGTGTTGGCCTCCAATTGGAAGCCGGTGGAGGGAGCAGTCAGGTCGTCGACCAGGCCCTGGATGAACAGCTTGGCCGCAGCACGGTCGCCAGCGGTGTTCATCCAAGGGGTCTGCTCATAGACGGTATTGCCGTCAGCATCCAGTCCAAGGACACCAGAGGAAGTGAGACCGTGGGTCATATAAGTCGTCAGGGTGACTTCGTTCTCGCCAGTGGGCGCGCATGATCCTTGGTAGTAGCGGGTCTGGCCATCGACCACGTTGGAGGAGAAGAAGATCAGCCGGTGCTTTCCCTGGGTCAGCACACCGTTGCCCTTGGCATATAGACTGATGTCGGCGGTATCAGTGCCGTTGTAGATACCCGTCCAGTCAAGCGGGCCGTAAGTGCCATTGGTCTTAACGACGATGGTGAAGATGGGGTGGTCCTTGAGACCTACGCCAACGGGGAGGTTGATCCAGTCGTTCTTGGGGGGGACGACAACGCCGCTCTCCTGGGCGGTCTCGATCTGAGATTGAGGTCCGATACCCGAGTTGAACAAGATGCGAGGGGTCGAAAGGGCGCCCGCGGACAGGACGACTCTGCCGTTGGCGGCCAGTGTGATGTTTTCCAGACGGCCGAAGGCGTTCTCGACCTCGACCCCAGTAGCCTTGCTGCCAGAACGGAGAACGCGAGTCACCTTGGAGCCAAGCTGAAGCTGGAAGTTCTGATGCTTCTCAGCAAGGGGAAGGTAGGTGCGGACCGGGCCGGCACGCTTCTGGTCCTTAAGATTCCAGGAAGGGTAGCTGTAGACCTGGTGCTTCTCGTTGGGCTGCGAGATCATGTTGACGGCTTTCCAGCCGATGTTACTGAAAAAGTTAGAAAGCACGGTGTATAGCCCTTGATCATAGCGTTTGCCATCAGCAGAGGGTAGGATAGTTCCAGAGTTGCGCTCGTAAAGCCTGTCGGCCGCAGGCTTGACATCGTTCCATTTCCAACCCTTGGGCCACTTGTCGTCAAAGTCATGGTCTGGCGGGTGCACGAAGACCATGTAGTTAACAGTGACACCGCCACCGAGAACACAGGCTGCAGTCCCAGCGGTATCGGTACAGACGTACTCCTCCCACTCAGGGAGAGCACCAATGTCGGCAGACAGGCCTGGCACATCGACTGGGGTCAAGTTCTTGTTCCACACAAGCGTGTCGTTGGCACCCGTAGCCACAGTCGGACCTTGACCTCGCTCTAGCAGTAAGACTTTCTTGTTGGCCTCTGCTAGACGCTCGGCAGTAATGATGCCTGAAGGTCCTCCACCGACGACGATGTAGTCATATGCGTCGGCCTTCTCAACAGTGTGTGCATGCGGCGTGCCAGCAACTCCGAGAGCGGAGCCAATGGCAACCAGTCCTCCAACAATACCAGAGCGCATATCGATTAACTCAGAGGCGTTGTCAAAGATGAAGTCCAGTCAGAAGGGGAACAAGCAGTAAGAGACATCAATTTATCGTTCTCCATAGCGGGCTACTGTCGCATGGGTCTTCAGGTGTATACTGCCGAGAAGCTCGCCATCATTACCCGGGCTTGACCCGTCGTCTCGATCCGCATCACTGCGTTGAATCAGTTCTGGAAGCCTACATCTCAAGGAAAAGCTGAATCCCGGTTCCGTAGTCAAGCTAGCTTCGAAAGTCGAAACCCGTCCATTTCCGACATTCGGGCAGTTCGAACACGGCCCGAAGGTCCACTTGCGCAATATACATGGAAAGACCCTCATCCACGAGGAAATTTTTCTATCTGGATTAGGCAAGCTATGTCGCTGATCAGTCGAAGTCCCTCGTCGAACGAGCCCTTGGCGAGGAAATGGGCGCAGTGGGCTCGAGCATTTGCCGTTGAGTGCAGGAAATAATCTAGAGTTCCATCTTATCATGGGCGTTGAAGATTAAAAGCGGGTTCCGTGGGTCAAGGCAAGTGGCTAGAGAGGATGGACGGCCGACTAGATACGACCGGTTTGATTGCAAAGATCTGACAAATTCGAGTTCAGGGGACAAGAGTGGACTCGCGAATATCCTCATCTGCTGCACAACAGCTCGTCCTCTATCATTGAGCAGCACAAATTTCGAGAGGAAGCAAATTCTTACTGACGCATCCCGCATATTCAGACCTTTTGTGCTGTTCAGGAACGGAAGACACGGGGCCTGTTCCACTCCTTTTTCTTCCGGAACGCAGCCTGAAACGACAATTTTTCAACTCGATCTCGATAAAGTGTGATGTCTGCACAGGTCAGGCGTGTAAGCAGATAATCGGACCGAGTGTTCTGCGGGCCAGTTCCGGCCACAGGTCTCAGTCTGCGAGTTCTGCGAGGGCCGTCTGCAGGAACGGAATCATGGTCCCGCATCGGCCCCATTTACCAGAACCTCAGGGTGTTTGCGAGGCGCTCGCTTGGTTCAGGCGAGGTCTGCAGCAGCAAAATGGAGCATAACAAGGATTATTACTGCATAGCAAACAACAAGGTAGGGAAGTATCCAGCCAGCTGAATCACACTGGGCTGTTAGTGTCAAGCTAGAAATCGCTAAGCTTCCACCATGGCTGCCAGGTGCATGAGATCAACTGCCGCAAGGGGCAGACAAGGCATGTTGCGCAGGTGTTGCCAGGTTCCTATTTAGCATCTGCAGTATGAAGCTTAGATTCACAGAAGAGAACACAATAGAAGAAGAATAAAGACAGAATCGACTCTGCCGAAGCGATTGCTCATGATTGCAAGTCGTCGCAGCAATGGATTAGTTCATACACAGGTCATGAGTAGCCAAGTGCCTGCAGCATAGCCCATCTAACCGCATTAGGAACTGTCCAGGCATCTCGCCGACCGCTTTCCGCCTCAGGCAGTAATAACCCCTACCGCCCTCACCAACCGGCAGAATCTCTCTTCTCCGCCCCGCATCTCCAGCACTTTTTTTCCGCGACACTCGAACGCATCGAACCAAATCTAGAATCAATCCAACCCACCCAGTCTCCAATCCCAATTTCCAAACCAACAACATGAGGGTGAGCCCAACCCCCTACGTCGCCCCCTTCCTCCCCAAAGCGCACCCTCAATACTAACACACACCCAGATCGTCGATCCTCAATCCGCCGTCCTCTCAAACATCGAGGTCCTAGCCTACCTAACCGCCAACCCGCCCCGACGACCCCCCAACCCGCCGCCCAACTCCCGACACTGGGTTCCCAGCCCCGACCTCCGCGACCACAATACCGTTGTCAAGGAGGTAAGATGAGCATACACCATTGCTCTAGACTAGACCCCATCCCTCCTCTAAAACCAACCATAACTGACCGATGAAACACGCAAGATCCACAACTACGTCTCGCGCCTCTCCCCACACCTCCAATCCTACCCGCAATACACGCACATCCCGCTGGCGGAACTCGAGGCGCAGGCCCAGGCCCAGGCCAACTACCACAACAACAGTAACAGCAACAACAAAGACACCGCCGCGTCGGCGCCACCGACGCTCCTGCCCCCGAAACTCCTCAACAAGCCTACCCCCGTCGATCATGCGCTCCGGGACCTCGTTACCCGGTTGCAGCCCTACGGCCTTACCAAGGGTGAGGTGCTCATGATTGTTAACTTGGGGATTGGGTTGATTCCGGTGGCGGCTGCTGAGGAGGGGGAGGGGGAGGAGGGGGAGGAATATGAGGAGGAGGTGGTGGAGGAGGAGGAAGAGGGTGGAGAGGGAGAGGGGGGTCAGCAGCTGGAGGAGATGGAGGTGGATGATGGGGCCACTAATGGGGGCCAGGATGCTGAAAATGGGGGAGCAGGCAGTGGAGAGTTGGCGGAGGAGGATTACGGGGCTATGGCTCTGTTGGATACCGTGATCGAGGAGCGGGAGGAACGGTTGAGTGAGGCGGATGTGGCGGGGATTCTGACTATTATTCGGGAGACGTTGGGTGGAGGGGCCGCTGCGGCTGCGAGGTGAGATGGATGGATGCTTAGGTTCTCTACGGACTTGGAGAAAAAGTGTTGGTAGTGGATTTTATATACCCGTTGTGTTACATTAAAGACATTGTCTTGAAAGAGATCCAGATGACATGAATATACTGATAATTTTTGCATTGGCTTGAATGGGGGAATAAATTAAGGCATGCTCTATCTATCTATACAAGATTGGTATCTCTGATGAGTTATATGCAGTGGCTACTGCTCCCGCGCAGTCCAAGTGCGAACGCTAGCCATTGTAAAATGGTTGCTCTGAAAGCATGCCACGTTCCATGGCGGAGCAGACAACATAAATCGCTAATTCAAATAAGGAAAGCCCAACACCGTGGGAATATATGCACAGCCATGACTCATGACTGGACTATCGTTGCGCTCCGTGGCGCCAATCGCGTAATATGTGCAACGAGAATCGATATCATCTGGCGACTATATGAAAGCGTCTGCCAGCACGCGTCGCATCTGCCTCTCTGCAAGGCTCGAACCCTCAGAAAACCAGTCTCTGAGATCCAAGAGGAGCGGTCTACCACGGAGTAGACGCCAGGTCCTCTTTGCCCTTGATAACGTTTCCGAATTGGTTGTAGACGGGCTCGTCGGCATCCTCGCCGTTCTCTTGGCCAAACGGCCCAAGTTCGTCGTCGAAGACATCCCGATCATAGCTACCGCAGACCTCACCATAATTAAGCCACTCACCCTTATCAGTCCACAGGCCTCCCTTGCCACCACGCATGTCCCACCATTCTTGGCCTCCCATCAAGGCAGACTGGGAGGCCTCAAATCCGGAGGCGGTGCGCATGTACTTGCGGAGAAGTGCCCGAGCCCATGGCTGGTACCACATCTCCGACCACCATTTGTCACGAACTGTCTTATCCCCGTCGAGGTGTAGCAGAGCTGGCACAGATGCCGAATGAATATTTGTCATCAATGGAAGCTCATGCCAGGAGTGGTTGCGATAATTTGGCAGCTTGTCCAGTGTAGCATTCCAAGGGGGGTTTGGCCAGTCATCCTTCGTAAATCGGGGCTGAACAAATGGGTTGCCGAGTTTCACGGGATCAAGGTCTTCAGGAAGCATGAGACGTCTCTCTCTGGGAACACCATGCTTCATCTGCACTGCTGAAGTCGTGCTCACGTTGTAATAATGGAGCCATTCAACATCCATCTTGGCGTTTAACATGTTGAAGAACAGACGGGATTCATAATCAACCCCGATTCCATACTCATACCGAGTTCCCGCTGTCAAGTGTGGCGGGATGGCCCCGGTGAGATTCGACGCATCCGAGATGCCGATTTGACGATAAAGCCACTCCTTCAGCCTGCTGGCGCTGTTTCTTCGTTCCAGCTCGCGTAAAAACTCCTGACGCCCGAACATCTGAGTCATCGCCAGATAGTCTCCCCGCGAGTTGCGGTGCTGATGGACGTAATTCAATATCTCGGCGTATATGACCCTTAAGTCACCCACTTGGCCCATGACTGCGCCAGGCTTGAGCCACCGTGGTCGAGTCAAATGTCCTTCCGTGTCGGTCTTCCAGCCATAAGCGTCCGGAGGCAGACTCGATTGCGGTACCGTCACGCAACCTGGATCCTGGGAAAGACTCGATGGGCACGTCTTGCTAGCGGCGAACAAGACTCTCTGAGAGTATTTTTGCAACGTCTGTTTGCCCTCTTTACGAAAGGGCAGGTCCAGAGTTATGGTGCCATATTTGCGTAGCAATTTCTCGTTGGTCTCCCGTAGCAGGTCCTGGAAACGCTGAACCAACACCTCTGCAGGCAACTGGAAGAACACATCCTGCGAGTCGACAATAAGGACCAGATCATCGTCATTCAATTGTGTGCTGTATGCGAGATAATTGTATATCCCCGCGATTCTGTCTACCATGGCGGAGTATTCTGTGCTCCCGTCCGAAGTGGACTTTCCGTAGCTGATCAGGGTCGGCGGTGGGTAGTTCAGGATCATCGACGACGTCACGGTGCGACAGAGCGAAGCTGATTTGTGCGACACGGGTATGAGGAGGTGAAAGGACGGCGCCGATCTTCCTAGGCCCAGAGGGGCGGTCTCGTTCTTATTCATGGCATGTCGCCCGCTAAGGAGCATTGGCGTATCTTCGGGGCGTTGTCGCGTCGGAGGGTAGGACGGGTACTTTACCCAGAAGTTGATCGATGGCTAGCAAGCGAACCTAATCAGCAATCGGGTTCATTCTGGGGCAAGACGGCCATCAGGCAATGTACCTACCTCGCTGGATGAGTGCGACCATAAGGTGAGCAAGAAAAGACATGCTGCGATGAGAAAGAAAGTCCTGATGGGACGAGCTCTTAAGCGACGCGGGTGGAGATGTTGCAGCCAAAATGAGGATGCGGACGACCGCATATACTTGTATTGATCGGCCCATTGGCCGTCAAGAATGCCTCGACTTGACATTCTCGCGGTCACTCAGTGCGAGATATGAAATTCTTCACCAGGGGGTGGTTTGAAGAACCACCGCTCACTAACGGCGATAGGCAATCGGATTATGTTGCTAGTTCGTATCGGTTGAGGCCAGAGCAGCTGGAATCAGCCAATGTTCAGAAGTAGAGACCGAGCGATGAACATTCCTGCAGGCGGAACGTGCAACCACTGAGCCAGAGCCAGAGTAGGAAGGCAACCGGGGAGGGTGCAATATTAAGAGGCAAAATCAACAGCAGTCGCAAAGAGCCATGATGGAGCCGGGGAAGAAGGTGGAGAAGTGGGACGGCAAGCCAATAGTGAGCACAGCAGTTAGAGGATGATGGTGACCAGCGCAACAACGGGGGAAATATCCATACGATCGGAAGTGAAAGGACGAGTCGCAAAGAGTCAGGAGGGAGACTCCGAGGCGGAGGCGGCGGAGGGAAATGAAGCAGATGAAGAAGAGGCGGAAGAGGAAGTTCTTTAGTCGAAGACCGGTCGAACAGGTCTAGTCCGAGCGATGTTTAAGTTTAGTTAGTCAATTGAGAAAGTGGAAGTGGTGACTTTTACGTTGCCTGCTTGGGAGGGGGGGGGGAACCCGTCAGGGACTGGATAAAGTCGCTCGGGTACTATAGGTATTGATTGGCGGTCGCTTTTCTTCTCTGCCCCGGTGGGGGGGAAGTCCATAGGAATGATTATTGTTCAATCCACTGCCAACTTTCTTTTCCCACTCAGCTTATTCAAGTACCATCTTATTGTTCCAACAACATAAGCTTGAGATTGTACAATCGTTGGACAGATTACTGTCATCACGAACTCTCCAAGGTTGTCTTTCCCCTGAACAGTTCAATCTCTGATGAATCACTATCTCTGTGCAACATCCAGTCTACTCATCCGCATATCTATCCCAATAACCATTCTCTGGGTGGTGCCGCGTCATCAGCCCTGCGCATCCATGCTCTCGCTGCTTCTCTCTGTCCTCCCGCAGTCTTGGCAGCAGTCGCATATTCGTTTCACATTAGGTGTCCCTGTCTGAGTACGTCGCTCTCTGACGTTTCCCAATACGCCACTCCACAGATACGGTCTACTCTGGGAATAGACGATGAAGCTCCCAACCGAGCTAGTTGGGAATGCAACCTATGGTTCACGGACAAAGTAGCAGGTGGGCAGCAAATGCGCATGCTGGGGAACTTAAGCCTTTCTCTGCGCGGGACGCTAAGAGCTACCAAGCCTTCGAATGGCGCAAGCCTGAAGAGGGACCACCCGCCGTCCTATCACACAATCTCCCGTGCAAGCAGCAGCATTCTTACCCCTCAGCTCCCCTCCCCTTCCCAACATGAGGGACAGCGGACAGGTATTCAATCCATGAATTTCCGCACCAGTGACATGCAACAGATCGAGTCGTTAGTGAGAAGCTTTGCTTGCAGGGACGTAACTATGCTAATGATTGTAAAATCCATCATCTCATTCAAGATAGATCTCCTCGCGTAACCGCTGCAAGTTGCGGAAAATACCACCGGCTGGGCCTTCGCTCTCCTGCCGCCGGTGGCCAGCCGACTGTGCTTTAGTAGAAGAGCCCGACGCTTGCTGGGACGAGTCCGCTCGGGTCTGGCTTTCTAGAGCTCTGCGACGATCCTCAACGATTTTTGCCAGGCTGTCCACAGCGCGATTCCGAGCCTTCTCCTCGGCAGTCCCCTTCCAGACCAACGCCAACGTCCGCAGCGCCTCGACCCGGCGCGACGCAGCCTCCATCCCCTCCAGACCGCCACCATTGCTCTCCAGAAGCCCCGTCACCTCCGCCCGCAGCTGCCTGGCCACCTCCTGGCCCTTCTCCTCTCGACTCTGATTCTCAGGCCCGGCCTCCGGCGCCGACACCGAGATGAACGATGAAGCCAGGGAGGTCTCCGACGGGGGAACGGGCCACTCCATCGCATCCCCGAAGGTCTGCACGACCTCCTCCAACCGAGCCCGCACCTGATTCAGCATACGTAATTTCGTAATGAACTCCGGGTCCTGTATCGTAGCAGCTTCTGTGTCTGTTTCGTCAGCCTTGCCATCCACACCCCCCGCTCCGACATCGACAGCTCCGGAGTCATGATCTCGACCCTCCTCCTGCTGGTCCACCTTTTTGCCCGAACTCTCATCCACACCCTCCGGAACAAACTTGGCAATATCCCCCCGTAGCGCCTCCGTGAGCGTATCCGACAATGCGATCGTCTCGCCGCGCAGCACCTCGACCTCGTAGGCCAGCCGACTGCCGCCCCGCAAGATCTCATCAGTCAGTCGCGTGAGCGTGCTCGAATGCCGGACATTGTGCGCGCTGATCTGCGAGAGAACGGACTGGATTTGTGTGGACATCTCGGGCAAAGGAATGGAGGAGGAGGATCCCGGCGCCGCGCCTCGGGGATTGCTGCTGCTGCCGCTGTTGTTATTGGGGATCGACTGCGAAGACGCCAGCGCCAGGGCAGGGAGTGCATTGTTGAGATATTCGGCGGGATCGAACGACGGGTCTGTGAAGTCCGGGTTCGTGTTCTGCTCGAGGGACGGTCGCGCGCTGGCTGAGGGCGCCGCGGGATTGGGGGTCTTGGAGGGAGCCATTCTGGCTGGACCTTCGCTGGTTGTTCCTTTTTTCAGTCGGGGATCCTCTGAGCGGCGAATCTGTCGATTGGTTTTGCGCCTATTTCATCGGTTGACGGCAGATAGAGCAAAGGTATTGGAGCCGAATAGTTAGTCTGATGAACTGAAAGACAGGGGGGCATTGCGGGATTGTCGCCGTTCCCCATACAAATACCTCCGCACTCGGCCGCAGACCGCCCACGGCAGTATATACTGTATGTACACCAGTATGGGAAATAGATATTGAACGGCCTTTTGGAGTTCGAGAAACGTGGTCCACTATGATACTACTCTTGATATACTGGGCGTTTGAAATAGGTACATTACGGTGGCCAACTGCGAGGATAACACCAATGTCGAGCTAGTCTCAATTGGAGCACAATAATATTAACAGGACAAGGATATTAGCAAAGCGATAGCAGAAACTATCAAAAAAGAAGGCCCAACGCATTCCGGGAGTATCATAAGCAAAAGCGAAAACGAGGGTGGGTATCGTCATAATCATTCGCGTATGAATGCAAGCTGCGCACAATGTAGCAGCAGCAGCGCTGTCTTAGAGAACGTCATGGGTAGGGTCCAGTCAGCTCCAACCACGCGACATCTCCATCAAACTCATCAACCTAAGCACCAACCTCCGCGATATCACAGAAACAACGAGTGATGCTCTAGATATTCTCGACCACACGTGCATTCATTGCCTGCTGAAAGCCATCTTCGACTTGTTGTCCATATCGGCTTGGTCCCTCCCCAGCATTCTCTGCTGCTGCAAGCTGCTGCTGCACAGTCTGGTTCATTGCTGGGAGGAAGATGACCTTGCTATTGGCCGTCTTGGCCATGGCCTGCATCGCCTCAAGGTAGCGGATCTGCATAGCAGGAGCCGAGGACAGGATATCGGCGGCCTAAAAGGTTTGAGTTAGTCACTGCGACTTGGATGTAACGAGAACAGCACTTGAAACGTACCTGACGCATAAGCTTGGCCGACTCTACTTCAGCCCGGGCAGCGATAACCTTACTCTCACCGATGCGCTTGGACTGCGCAGCCATAGAGAGTGAGTCTTGCAAGTCATTGCTAAAAATGATATCCTTGATGAGCATCGACTCGACTGCAACACCCCATCCGGAGGCCACGTCCTCGATGATCTCCGATGTCGACTGAGCAATTTCTTCACGGCGCTCAATCACATCTTGCAGAACCCGCGCTCCGATCACATGGCGCAAGGTGGTTTGAGTACGCTCTACGAGCGCTTGTCGGATGTTGGAAATGCCGAACGCAGCCTTGTGGGGCGAGACAATCTGATAGTAGATAACGGAGCTCAGGTTCAAATTGACGTTATCCTTGGTCATGCAGCTCTGGCGAGGCACTTCAACAATCTGGATCTTGACGTCGACAGCCGTGAGGTGCTCACTAAGAGGGTTCACCTTGACGAGACCGGGGTCGACAGCGCGCTCGAATCTAAGAGCGCGAAGCATCAGTATGTGCGGTTCAACGAAGGCATGGGAGTACAAAGGAGAGCGAAGGTCACATACCGTCCGAATCTTGTGATCAAGCCGACTTCACCTTGTGCGACCGGCTTGAAGGGGTTTGGGCAACAGAAGCAGCATGGTATGGCACCCAGACATCCGATAAATTCTCCCAGTCCGTGAACTACCCAGAAGGTGCTTTGTTAGACCGGGGATCTAGGAAGAACAGGGATCTTATTTAATTCGAGTGCACTCACTGAATCCGGCGTACCAGCCATGCGCATCTGGATTGTCCTCGCTGTGCTGAATTTGCTGAGCGTACTTGGGCTGCAAATCCTCCAGGCGCGCCGGTTGCACGTTGACCAGATTATTGCGTGCCGAAGCCGAGGGGCGGGAGTCCACCGGTTGAGCAGGCGCTTTTCCATTGATGTCGGACATGATTGGTATGTGTTTCAGGTTGTATGAGTGACGATGATTCATGCACGACCGTTTGTATACACTAGTCGGATAGCTGTAGTGGTATGATATCTACCAAGCAAGGGTAGGCAAGATACCTCAAGATAGCTGCAAGGTTAAATTGAGGGATGATCGATGGATGAAGTGATGAAGTCAGAAAGTAGGGCCGTGAAGGAGGGGAAGAGATGATGATTAAATACTAGTACTGGTCGAGCTCGGGTGTGAGTGTTAAGTCGTCCGACCATGGGAGGGGCGCTCGCAGCTGTCGGAAATTTTACTTTTCGTTTGGTCTCAAAGCTCAAAACAGCCAGGGCTGCCAACGGCACCTACCGCATGCAACTACTAGGTAGTCCATTCACTAATCTAATAGGTACCGTCATTCATCGATCCTTCCATCATCCATGTCACTCGCCCGGAGATCAGATGTTCTTTCTCCGCATGAGCTAAGGGGTTATCAAGTTATCAACTATCAAGTGGATCTATCTAAGTTGGCTTCGCCCAGCTGTGGGGTCTGGCCCATTCCTTCCAACTAGGCTACTCGGGGCCGCCGCTTTGAGGCCCTTGAGGCCCTTGATTCCTCAGGCCGTCTCTTGGCCAACTCAAATATGATCGTGCTGTCTCTCTCATTGGAAAAGGGTCCAAGGCTGAGCTCACAATCCATCATAAGAGCAGCAGGGATTCACGCCCCTCGCCCCTGTCTTCGGAAGTCGGGAGGCTTAGAGCTCCTTGAGGCAGACTTCATGAACCTTTAGTACTCTTAGAGTTCCTCGTCTTCCCACACCAATCTTCATCATAGGTCAATAAAAGCCCTCTTTTCACAGCAGACCATCTTGGTTCATGGCCTAGCGTTCAGCCTAGAGACTAGTCCGTAAGAGAACCAATGCGTACCAGTTGAGAAAAATGGCCGTCTTATCCGGTCTCAAGTCTCTGAGCCATTCACTAGCCAATACCGACCACCCCTGGTCGATCACCTATTACATCACTTGCGAAAGGTGAAAAGAGCTGGCCAACCATACGGATTCAATCCCTACATCAAAACTGGACACTCAACACATGGACGGGACGATCGAGATGCCCCTACTGCAACGTTGGTTGGCTCGACATTCCTCTGCATCGTTGCCCTGGTACCCTGGGATACTGTGCCTCGTTGAGCGGGGCACCCAGATCTTCTGTCATCCTGTCCACGTGAAGGAACCAATACTTCGAGACGTTTTCTAGCCCCTCGACTGGTCATCATTTGGGCTGGTCAATGGGGTACGTATTTCCCGTCGCATCTGAGGCTCTGCGGTGCACAGCCCTATTTGACTATTGAGTCTTTTGACCGTGGACCCGCCTTGGAGACTAGTGTTGTCAACCTTGGCCTACGTTCACTTTCCCCCGAGGAAAAGCGAAGGATCTAGCGCGAAATGCGACGGATGTTCGGCATTGGGAATTGTAAAAGATACGCCCGGCGGGCTGAGCCCGTTGGACAAAGTATATACCGCAGCAAACAACCTGGGTCAACAACTTATCCTGTGATCTGTTGTGTCACCCGATACGACTTCCTGAGTACTGACTGGTGAAAAGAGGCACAGAGTATGGCCCCACTTTTTTCCCGCCAAGGGATCGGGCGCGACGGGGCTGTGCCATGATCCTTCGTGCGTCGTTGGGCTAAGGTTGAACTACTCAGTACTGCCCTGTGCCACCAAGAAGTCAAACCCGATTTCCTGATCTGGGGTATGCTCAAACGCGACAGTGGGTGCTTCATGCAGGTCCTACATTGATTTTTGTGATGAATAACAACATGATGGAATTACCGTCATGCTTTAGTGTGACACCAAAGGCCGTACAAGGACTGGAATGGGTAGTAGCATCGGCTTAGAGAAGAAGTCAAATGGCAATCCCACTACAATCGTTGGTACAATCGTTGGCCTCAGGCAAGTGTGCTTTGATAGTGGGTCATACGCATATTTCCGCTGGGTCGCATACTTGACCTCTGCTAATCTCAATTACTAGAACCAGAAGTTGGTCCCTACTTTAATGATGATCCGGGTCTATTCCAATCCTCGATCAACATGCTCATGGTTGGCGTGACAAACAGAACAGTCGGCACACCTTCTACATCTTGTCAATTGAATGTTCCTCCTGGAAAGGGGCATATCCCTGCGCAGCTCTAGACTTCGAAGCGTGAATGCAGAGATCGAGCTGGCATGAAGGCGATTCCCGCCTAGACCGAACAATATGTCATTATCGGCTCGGGATGACATTCCTCGTGTGCCTGCAGACCGCGGGTCGGAAAACCTGCTTAATGGCTGTGAGCTGAAATGTTATGAATGCCCAGACATGCCAAATATTCTTTCAAGAGACATGATGTCGGTGAATATAATTGCAAGGCTATACTGTCGGACCCGTGTTGGGATGCGACATGGCAACACACAACACTTAACAGGTAAGCTGGAATTGTTATCACGAAGCTGTTAACCACCACGGCTAGATGTCCTTTTCAAGTACAATTATTCTGAGGTACGGCCTGCATTATATTCAACAACAAGCATCATTGGTCTAGTGGTAGAATTCATCGTTGCCATCGATGAGGCCCGTGTTCGATTCACGGATGATGCAATGTTCTCTTTTTTTTTGCTGCTCGATCTTCCACTCGGCATTCTTTAGCTCCAGCTCCAGCTGATATACAAGGTATAACTCATGGTATTTTCCTCTCTTTACATACCCAGAGTCACTCTCGTATCGCTAAATCGACCAGAGATCTATAGGCTAGACCTTCAACTGATCTCAGCTGACAGTACTTTCCGATCCTACAACAAACAATCGATGCCTGGTATTGATGAAATCCTGCACAGAATATGTCCAGTTGTACCAATCAATAAGCTACTCTTAAACGAGGAACCGAACCCTTCTGGTCGCCACAGTACCAGCCCCAGCTTCAACGTGCCAAAAAGCCCTCTACCAGGGCAGTTGGAGTGGTGTCGGCAAGTTGCTACCTAGGACAGGCTCAGCAGTCCCAATGTCCCTGGCCAGGTTAGCTTGGTTCCCAGAATATTCAACAAGGCTACACAAACCTAGGGCCCCGCGGTGCCCAGTATTGTCCGGTCTTGCTGATGTCAAACGTGTCTGTGAAGGAAGCGAGCGATTCTGCTGCCTCATCTGAGGTGACAGCTGCAAGGTCAAGCGGTCAGTGTGTCTTAAACGAGAAACAAACAAGTGACACATGCAAACGATTCGACGACCTACCTCCGCCGGCATCCCAATACTTGTCAAATCCCACGCCCTTTGTCATTTCTGTGCGCATAAACCCCGGATGGACTATGCCAACAGCAATTTCTTTGTCTTTTAGATCCAAACTCAGCAGCCTCCCAACCATATTAAGGGCTGCTTTGCTGGCATGATGGCCATAATTTCCGCCGCCCTCCTTCTCATGACGCAACGTAATGCTTCCACTCTCGCTACTGACCAGAATTATCTTGCTACCGGTATCCAAGAGTCCGGCTTTGACCAGATGATGGACTAGAAACACAGGCCCAATAGCAGAAGTGGTATACATCTTGACTTGTTTCTCCCAATCGGGATCATCGAATGTCTCGAACCCAAAATAGCCCGCGGAGATGATGACAGTTGAGATCTTGGCGGATGAGGGCAGCTGGGAAACCAAACTTTGGCCAACATCAGGCTTGGACACGTCAATGTTCGGGATCCATGAGACGAGAGGCTCGTCTTTTGGCTTCGTAGAATCACGGGTCGTTGCGAAAACCGTCTTCGTGGATTGTCTCCCTGCATATAGAGTCTTGAGGGACGACCCCAAGCCTCTGGTAGCACCGACGATGAGGATATTCTCGGACATGATTCGCATCGGCAAGACTTGGTGTCTCAGTACAAAGGACAAAACTTGAGAGTTCGGGGTCCTGAATTGGATTCTCAGATTCAGTAAGCTGTGCAGTGAGCTGTGCAGGGCAAGAATGATGCCCAGCGTGCCCCGCGTTGTCGAAGAAGTGAACAATAGCTGGTGCTGACCCCTGTTCCTAATGACGTAAGTCCGACTCCGGATTGTGACACGGCTTCTTACCCCTCCCCAATCCTTTGATTACCTTTTTATGCATGCATGTCTGAGGAGTCGACATGAAATCATCGCCCCCCTTCTCATCTGTCATTAGACAATGTTGGCTCATGGTTAGCCGCCGCTTAAGCGGAATTTCACGCGATCGCAGCGCTTGCCTATCATCTACTGCACTCAGTGGCCACGAGTAGTGAATCCAGCCCCCAATCAGCAGTCAGTCTCAGACGACCGCATCTGCCTCCGTCTCCTTCTCTCTCTTTCTCTAGTCTCATCTTTCGAACATGATCTCGCCTCTTTTTACCTTCACACACACCCAGAATCACCTCTCACAACCTATACACCCCGTGTGCTCCGCTTCTATTCGTGGCCTGCTTCTAAATTAGCAACAATCCTCTTGCTCAGCCCTGCTTAGTCATCGCCCCTCTGCCCCCCAAAAGGCGCCAGTGGAGAATCCCTTTTAAACGATCGACGAGAGGAATCAGGGCTCTCTATGGTGTCAAGCTGTCTATTCTAAAAGTGCTGAAGTCGGAGCTGGCCTCCTCATGTCTAACGGTACTTGACGATGAGTACATTCCACAATTTTATGCTGCAAGCCAAAAAAGCACGCGCTGCCATCAACAGAGGCAAGAGATCCGACGCCAAGAAGAGCAATTCCTCCAAACCCGGTGCAGTGCCATCTTCCGTGTCGTTGTACGTTGGACCACCCCTGCTGAAGATTGATGACCGACGCTCAAGCCTCGAGGCGTGCTCGTTACTGACGTGGGTTTTCCCAATGTTGACAGAGTGGACATAGTACCGACCTCGGCCCCCTGGGACCTCCTCCCCGTTGAAATCCAGATCAAGATATTCGCCCACTGCGGCGTCACCGATCTACTACCACTGAAGCTGGTCTGCAAGTCATTCTACCAGCTGCTTACCTCCCAAGAACAATGGATCACGCGCCAGTATCTGCGACAACGCCGCGGCGGAACGCTTCCTTCCCCTATCGACGGCGAGAAAACCTATACTAGAAGTCCGGAGGATGATGTAGTGCTTCTGTCGGACCTGTTCCCTCCGGCGAAAAGTGCCAGGGGGGGCCATATCTACACCTTCAAGTACATCTTCAGTTTGCGCCGCCGGCAGAAGCAATGTTCAAAGTTGAGCTGCTACCTTGCGGATCGTGTCATGGATCGGTTCGTGCACAGTGAGCCAGGCTTCATGAAGTCGGTTTTCTCCTCCAAGGCCGAGCGATATGCTTTTGTGCAGCAGACGACCGCGCGGTTATGGTTCTACCTCACTCCCCTGATGTGAGTATCGCCCTGCGACTTGTCTCCGATGATTTTCCGCTGATATACTTTTCTTATCCCCCAGGTACTATGCTCTCTACTTCCTGGAAACCTATGCTCTCGCCAGACGAGAGCAAACCAACATCCTCCTACGAGAGTTCGAGGCCGGACGTCTTCCGGTTCCCATCCCCCCTCACATTCGCAAAGTCATGTACCGGGAGCTGCAAGTAAAGATAATCAAGGCACCCCCGTTCACCGACACGGCGACTCTTATAGCCACGCACCACTGCATGCAACTCCTAGTCTCCTACCTGCGGTATACAGTACCACCGGATGAGCCTACGGTGTCGGATGACAGTTGGATCGGGTCACTGCTCACGGTATCCCCATTCTCGCGGATCGTGGAGTATTTCTCTGCAGAGATCGGGGACGGTGGAAGCCAGCGGATGCAGCGAAAGGAGTTTATGCACAATTTCCACAACGATATCACTTTGAACGAGAAGGACGACATCCAGTCCTTGGTGTTCCAGATCTCGCCAAACGTCCACCTCCACGGATCCGTAGAAGACGTCTGGTTCGATGTGGTTGGGGAAGAGCTGGCTTCGAGGCATGCGGCGCCCCATGATGTCGATCGCGTCATGGTCTGGAACGGGCTGCCTGTCTTATTGTCCTGTCGCGAGTGCCGCGTGAGAGAGGGCTGGCATGCGTGAATCTTTCCGTTTTGGGTTTAGCAAGCGCTGCGTTATCCTGCATTTTCTCTGTTTTTTGAGGCATGGCGTTCCAGCGGGGGGGTTTCGGTGTATGATGGCGGGAGACGAGGCGGGTGTCAACTTTATGACTGCAATGCCGCAGCGTCAATTTGAATTTCTAGCATATTCCGGATTCGGCACAAGACTCCAAATCAGACTATTGACTGTGATACGTTGTGAGAAAGTTAGAATTCGTCGGACGTAATTAATTCTTGGGCGACGCGGGCTCGTTCCCCGGGGAAATTAAGGTGAACTTAACGGCCGCTGGAGAGAGCTTCCCTGCCAAGAGATGTTTTTCTTCCGAACTGACATCGGACCAAGCCTGTCCGCGCGACATGTGAAACTCTCCTCCGCTCCCTTCCTCCCTCTCCTTCGACCATAACAATCACAAAAAATAGTACCTACTATAATTCTAAAGCAACAATGGCCCAATTGAGCCTCCTCAACACAACCTGGACATTACACCGACTCTCCCCGCTCCACCATGGCAAAGAATTCCCCTCCCTCCTCGACAACAACCACGCCCTGAAGACCTACGCCGCCCGCCTTCGCGACCACCTCACCGGCACCTCCTCCGTCTCAGGCGCAACCTTCCAGATAGGCGGCGGCGGCGGCGCCTCCGACGAGACAGACCCGTCATCTGCTTCCAAAACCGGCGCCTTACTCTCCTGCACCTGGGAACCCATCCCCACACTCTCCCTGTCCGGCCATACCACCACCACCGGGGCCATATCCAACGCGAACCCCTCGCCCTCGCCCTCGCCCTCGCCCTCCTCCCCCTCCACAAACACCACCACCACAAACAATAACAACACCACCGCCACCAACGACCCAACGCCCCAACGCCCCCGCGGCCGCCCGCGGCGCCCCGCAACCACGCCCGGCACCCCCGGCGCCGGCATCCTAATCACGCTGACCTACGAAACGCAAACCTACCGCGCGGCCCTCCTCACGCCCTCCGCCGTATCCTCCACCACCCCAAAACCAACAACCTCGCCGTCAAGCGCCAGCGCCGCACCGCACCGAACCCTCCGCTCGCACGCCCACACCCAAACCACCCACCTCCCGCTCCTCCTCACCAAGCTCCCCGCCCCGCTCCGCCAGACCCTTTTGGGGTTCTTGTCCGCGACGTTCGACACGTACGCCGCGGGCTTGACGCTCCCGTCTGGGTTTTTGGGGAGGATGTTGGAGGGGTATCTCTCCTGCCTCGGGGGGGAGGTTCGCTCCGCCGGAAGTGGGGCTTCCGGTTCCGGAGAAGAGGTCGTCGGGGCGGTGGTTCGGGATGTGCATTTCATGTTGGGGTTTCAGGGGCCCGTGGCGCCGGGGTTGCGCGGGTTGGATGTTTGTGTGCCGCGCGGGGTGGTGGGGGGTCTGGTTGCGGGGGGGGTTGCAGATCAGCTGGGGGGTGAGGATGTGTTGGGGAAGATTGCGGGGTATTTGGATACGCATTTGGCGATGCGAGTGGATTTGAAAGAGGGGAGGGGGCTTGGGGGGGAAGGTGGGGATGTGGTGAGGGTGACGAGGGTCAGTTGTGGGGGGTTTATGCTGGGCGCGGATGGGAAGATGAAGCTGGTTGGCGTTGCTGGTGCTGGTGCTGGTGCCGGTGCTGGGCAGGCAGGTGCTGAGGATGATGATGAGGAGGACGAGGATGAGAGGGGGGTTCCTCCTGTTGCTGCTGGCGCTACTGCGTTGAGTCTTAAGGATCGGGTTGCCTTACGCGCCGCGGAGATGCTGCTTCTAGATGTATTGCGGAGGGCAGCCGGGGGGGAGGGTGAGAGTCATGGGTCTTGAAGGCTGAATGAAGCATGCGACCAGCCGTGACTTCTCCTTACGCAGGAAACAAAAAGGTAAGCTCTGATGAAATTACCAAGGGTTGGAGCTCTGCGGCTCCCATCGCTATCAGCAAATCTAACGGAGGCTATAACCAGCAAAAATTGTCAAGCGATATATCGGAAACACGTGTCACGTCTATACATGGCGATGATCGTGGGGAAGAACCAAACGCGAACAACCCTCCCAGAGGCGAACTTGGCTCGCCTTGCGACGAGGGGCTCAAGGCTCCAATGGTCCACCCTCTGCTTCGGCAAGTCTCAGGGCCTCGTCAACACTGTGCACAAAGTATTGCATGCCGCCGCAGCGGTCGACGATGCCGCTCCTTTCGAACATGCGGAAGACATTGCGATTGGGAAGACGGCAGAAGAACACTCTCACTCCGAGGTTGAGATACTCATTCACAATCTCGGAGAGAACCTGCGTCCCGGAGCCGTCGATGCTAGTGACCCCGTGCACGTCGAAGATGATGTTCTTGTTATGCTCGGGGGGGCGTGAGCGCGGGAGGGAAGGGTGTGCTTGGTTGGTGCCGTAGAATTCGAGCCGGCGCAGACGATTCTTCAGGTCGCCGGTGTTGGCGAATGTGAGAGGCTCCGGGATTTTGACGATAAGCGCACCCTCGATGAGCTCCACATTCTCCCCGTGGAGTTCGGCGTTGTCGAATCGATCACTGGTACCGGCGACCTTACCAAGAATCTGAATTCGAGGCTGGGTCGAATGGCGAATCAGGATCAAAATAGACAATCCGATTCCGAGAGCAATGCCCAGTTCCAGGGAGTAAAAGATTGTCGAGCCGAAGATAAGAATCATCAATGTGAGCTCTGTCCAGCCACGCAGGCGAATGAAGAAAGCCACATCATGAGGACACTCCTCTATTAGACTATATGCCACCACTGAGATTGTAGAGGAAAGCACAGCTTTCTGGAATATGCCGTCAGTTTGTAAACAAGTGGTGTAAGTGTAGGGACCAACTCACCGGTAAATAGTACAGGTAAGGCAGGATCACCTTAATACAAACGGCGGTGATGATGCTCAGAAAGATACTGCTCATCGGAGATCGCGCCCCTGTGGAAGCATTCAACTTGCTTCTCCCGTAACCACCGAATGCAGGAAGCGCCATGAAACAGCCACCAACAACATTGGCAACGCCCAGCGCCACCATTTCTCTGTTGGCGCTCACGGGCATGCCCTGCACTCCATCTCGTTTCTCGCCCAGCCCTTTGGCGGCAACGGAGGACTCAAAGAAGCCAAGCAATGCAATAACAAAGGAAGTACTCAAGGCTGTCCGTACATGCTTCATATGCTGGAATTGGAAAGGCCAGTTGAACGCAAAGATCCCATTGCCTGTCTCCTGGACGGGCCCAAGAATTTCAAGCCCCTTCTCATACCAGCCGAGGTGCCAGGTAAGAACTGCTGACAAGATGACAACGATAATCCGGTCGGGGAAGTAGACAACCTGAGGGAACCGTGGCTCCAAGAATTTCTTGAGTGTTCTGCGTGATGCGCATGTCAGAGACTCGACCATTCCATTAGGGGCGGGTGGAAATCACGTACCTGAAAAGCATGATTATCGTGAAGCTGGCAAAGGAGACTGCAGCTGTCAGACCATGGCAGCTCTTGATATTTCTGAGCAGGAAGACGAGCTTCTCTGCTGTACTTCCGTGACTGACGCCCGCATCCCTCGCCAGATCAGCTAAGCCCACTTCTGGGATGAGCTGGTCGACAAAGATGACACAGCCAATTGCGGTGATGAAGCCTCTGAGAAACGGTCGGCTCAAGACGTTGTCTAGGAAGCCTAACCGGGTCAATCCAGCGACGAGTATCATTGAGCCTGCCATGGCAGTTGCGACACCGACAACCATGGCGCTCGCAGCTTCGTCGTCCTCTCGTGACAGTCCCTGCGAGACACTCGTTTTGACAATGGTACCTGTCAACAGAGACCCAGCCGCTTCTGGGCCGAGAAGCAACAAGGGGCTACTTCCAAGGATCGCGTAGATAAAAGGTTGGAACACGAAAGAGTATAGTCCGTTGATTGCGGGCGCATGAGCAAGATTCGAGGCCAAAGAAAGGGCCATTGGGATATAGATCGATGCGATTGTCAAGGCGGAGATTAGATCGCCGCGCAGGAACGACCACCGATATTGAGGTATCCAGTTGAAAAACGGGATGTAGTATGAGATATACCTGGAGGTTGTTGTCATCAGCATTTGAGGCCCGTTAGATCGACCTGAGGTCCAAACATACAGAGACCTGGGGCTTTTCACCGGCCAGGCTGCCGTTGACCCTGTCCTGGGCATATTCTCAGGCCCCTGGACAAAATCTGGCCCAGAAGTACCATCCTCATATTCCTCACTACCTGGTCTTGGTGAGAATGTACCGTGGTTGCAAGCATCTCTCAGACCACATGCAGGGTCGTCACCATCGTAAAATTTCAGCAAACGGGTTCTATCGCTAGGTTCTCGGGGCACGATGATCCGTTCTGTGTGGGAGGCATCGGAAGTGCTTTGCGAAAATCCTTGGAAAAGTCCCACGATCTGGTCCCGCAAAGAGCGGTGTTGTCGGAGATGCTCGTTTGTCTCCGGCATAGTGTTGCGGGGAAGATCCACCGAGTCACCAAATATATCTGGAATGCGACAGTCTAGAGGAGTGCGTTATACGCCATATGCGGCAGATGTGGTAGAAACTAAATAGATAGCAAAAATATTTCCAAAAAATGAAGCGACTAAGACAGCACAACTAGTAGATGGACTGTCCAGGGCAAAGCAGCGAGTCAAAAAGCGCGGAATCCGTAGCGCAGGGCGCGGTGGCTACTGCTAAGAGAGTTAGCGGGATCGTCAGCAGATAGGCGGAGCGAGCAAAGCCATAGGATAGAATAGTACGGAGAGACACTGGACGAAGGCACATACCAAAAGACCAATGGAGCTGCAGAGAAAAGAAAATCGGTGCCGAGCAACGTGTCTGAAGCTGGCCTACCTTTCAATCCCTTTTCACCCCGCCACCACACGCATGCAAGAGAGTGAAGGGGCAAAGAAAGGTAAGGTTAAAAGGTTGGGGATGAAGTAGTAATGCCCCTGCCCCCCGTTCGGTCAGGCGATAACAACCTGCTATCGTAGCCATGAGACTATCTATCGGGGGGGTTCTGCCGAGCGGTGAGGGTCACCAGCACGGCACGTGATGACTCAGCCAAGCGCGAGGCCCAAATGTGGGTTTTTCGAAATGTGCTTCTGTGATCCCGATTAAGTGGCAAGCCTCATTACCCATCTCGCAAACACCTTCGCTCCCCTTTCGGTGGTTCTTCCGGCAATATCGACTTGAGACCGTCCAGTCTCGGTTTATCCCATTTTCTCTCGGCCCTCCAGTCCGACCTTTTAACCCCGCTCAAAGCTTTGCCTAGCACAAGGCGCAACCCCGCCGAAAATGTCGTTGACAAATTCCCGTTTTTACGAGGAGAAGTACCCGGAGGTGGACAGCTATGTCATGGTCAATGTGAAGCAGGTACGCATCTGCTGGGTCTGGGAGACGTGACAACAGGAAACACTGGCTGACAGTCACGGTTCTGCAATGCTTAGATCGCCGAAATGGGCGCATATGTGAAGCTGCTGGAATATGACAACATCGACGGCATGATCCTGCTCTCCGAACTGTCGCGCAGACGTATCCGCAGTATCCAGAAGCTCATTCGTATTGGCCGTAACGAGGTCGTCATTGTGCTCCGTGTGGACAAGGAGAAGGGTAAGGGCAACTGATCTGATCGTCATCGAACTGAAGCCTGCTGACATCTCTTTGTTTCCTGTCATCAGGTTATATTGATCTGTCCAAGCGTCGTGTTTCCCCCGAGGATGTTATCAAGTGTGAGGAGAGATACAACAAGAGCAAGGCTGTGCACTCCATCATGCGCCATGTTGCCGAGGCCACCCAGACCCCTCTTGAGACCCTATACCAGCAGATCGGATGGCCCTTGAACCGCAAATACGGCCACTCCCACGATGCCTTTAAGATCTCCATCACGTAAGGCTGCAATAGCGGGCAACAATGCCATTGATCAATCGTGTAACTTATGGTTATCTTAGGAACCCCGATGTGTGGAACGACGTCGAATTTCCCAGCGAAGCCGTCAAGAAGGAGTTGACGCATTATATCAGCAAGAGACTTACCCCTCATCCCACCAAGGTCCGTGCCGATATCGAGGTTACCTGCTTCGGCTACGATGGTATCGATGCCGTCAAGGAGGCCCTGCGCACCGCCGAGGCCAACAACAACGCCGAAAGCCAGATCAAGGTCAAGCTGGTCGCCCCTCCTTTGTACGTCTTGACTAGCCAGTGCTTGGACAAGGCTATTGGTATCCAGCAGCTCGAGGAGGCCATTCAACGGATTGAGGCCAAGATCAAGGAGTCTGGTGGTGCCTGCACAGTTAAGATGGCTCCCAAGGCCGTTACCGAGCACGATGATGCTGCCCTCCAGGAGCTCATGGAGAAGCGTGAGCGTGAGGTCATGTTGGTCAGCGGCGATGAGGATGACTCCGAGAGCGATGAGGGTAACCTTGAGTAAATTGCGCACGGGTATGCCGACTGATACCGTCTGGTGGTCTACGGGCTTGCTCAAATGATGGTGAACGGTGGAGGATACAACAGTTCGTCCGACGAACTGTGATTAATCAGTATCGAGTATCAGAGGACATGGTTGAGCACGATGGACAGGGATCGGAAAAGTTCAATAGAGTTTTTGGACGTGACACGATTTTATGAGACGGAGGTACGGTTTGACGCGCGACGGGGCGAATCGAGATCATCGGCGATGGTCGAGACCATATGAGGAACGAGGGCAACCTTCGGTCTCATGTGTTGAGGAAGCCAGTAGCTGCTGGTTACTCCTCTGGTGGTGACTGGCCTCCGACCGAGAGGAGCTTCGCAGATTCTGGTGTACATAAGCTTCTTTGATCTACGATTTCACGCCAGTGGCTATGTTAGACACTGACACAAAATCCCTTTTCTGCTGTTCTTTCATTGACTATTATAATGTCTATGCGCCTGATGAGGTCGTTGTTACCAGGTGTGGGAGTTGGGAGTGGGAGGGTAATTCTTCCAGCCATGCTTGCCGTAGCTAGGTTTTGATTCCACGTGGGCAGTGAGTTAATGGCTTTGATGGAGTTCCATAAAACTGAAGGTCATTGAGGAAAGTAAATTGGTGGGGCAGGCGGGATGCTCGACTTGTTTGGACCTAGACTAGACGCCGTTTTGGGTATACCCTCGACCCATCATCAGCGTTCGTTCGCTCAGCTTGTCCTCCCGAGGTCCTGACTTTTCCCATGCAACCCAGTCTTCTCTCAACCAGTTCGACCTTTCGGATTCTACAGTAGAAGATGGGTCATTGGCGAGATATTTTTACCACTGACCCTGTGCGGACCCGACACCGTCGGCATATGGAGCGACATCGTCGTACGTCATGTCATTGTGCAACCCAGCGTGGAATACGAGCTGGAAGTCGGGCAAGCTAACGGCCATGGTAGTGCTTCCCACCTTCACCGACGATGAAGTCTCCGCTACGCGTCCCTCTAAGGAAGTGACCAGGATTGCACTTCGACTTAAATACCAGATCGAACAGGTGATTTCATGTGAGGTCGACGAGGATGCCCTCACCGCTCCCAACAGTCGAATTATCACCAAGAACGTCATTCAGACCGCTTGTCAGGCGGGTGGCGATGACTTACGGGCTTGCGTCCCCTTCTGCCTGCTAGTCTGCTTACGTTGGTTCAAGATCCAGGCTCTAGAAGAGCTCTGGGATTCGGACCTGCATGAACGTCGAGCTCTTGCATGTGAAGTCATCGCGAAGCGCATGTAGGGTTATCCTGACCTCGCGAAACGCGGACTGACTAAACTGATTGTTTCCAGAATTGAGAACGAAGAAGATCAAGATGCCCTCCTTGCGCAGGTCTTGCTGAAACGGTACTCGGTCTTCCTCGATGGCGAGGAGACCGTGCCAGCCAATGTCATCGAGCGTGCGGTTGATCTCCATGCCCTCAGGGTGATCGGGTCTTCTGGATACCAGAAGTGTATCCGCTATCTCTGGAACGGTTGGTTCTGCCAGCAGGAGGGTAATCCGACCAACTTCGTGCCCTACCAGGAGAGGGACAATACTAGTTTCAAGGTTCATTTCCATCCGGATCGCATGCGGACACCTCTTTACCAAAACGTTTGTCAGATTTTCTTTTCTCTGGTGTATCTCGGTCTATATACCCAGGTCATCAACACAGTCAATCCCTCTGGTGATTTAGATGTGGTCGAGGGTGTTCTCTATGTCATGACCCTCGCATTCATTTGTGATGAGATCGCCAAGGTCTGGAAGGTCGGTTGGCATTACATCGATTTCTGGAACGCTTTCAATTCTACCCTCTATTCTCTGTTGGTGGTTTCCTTCGTTCTGCGAGTCGTGGCTCTGGCTCATTCCCCGTCGGTGCATGATGCCGAACGGCAGAAGTTCAATGAGCTCAGTTACAACTTTCTAGCCTTCGCAGGACCCATGTTCTGGATGCGCATGATGCTCTATCTTGACTCGTTCCGGTTCTTCGGTGCTATGTTTGTGGTGCTACGGGTCATGATGAAAGAGAGCTTGATATTTTTTGCTCTTCTCTTTGTCGTGCTGGCAGGTTTCTTCCAGGCTTTCATCGGTATGGCTCAGGTGGACAATGACATACCGATCACGAGAAGCATCATCCAGGGTATGGCGAACAGTATCATGCAGAGTCCGGAGTTCGGCACTTTTGAAGACTTTGCTTTTCCTTTCGGCATCATTCTCTACTACCTTTTCAACTTCGTGGTGATGACGAGTGAGTATCCCGCTCTCTGCTGCGCTATGGTAACTAACTATTGCTAGTCCTGCTGAATATCCTCATTGCATTGTACAACAGTGCCTATGAGGACATCTCTGGAAATGCCATTGATGAATACATGGCCGCCTTTGCGCTGAAGACCATGCAATTTGTCCGAGCTCCTGACGAAAACGTGTTTATACCTCGTAAGTTCTGTTGCTCCGGGATATGAGCTGGTGCTAATAACTACCATGAAGCCTTCAACTTGCTGGAGATTATCTTTCTAGTTCTCCCCTTCGAGTGGTGGTTGCCACGGCAGTACTATGCCAAGTTGAATGACGTGATCATGGGGATTATCTACTCGCCTATTCTGCTGATTACTGCATTCCTCGAGGTCCGGGACGCGAGGCGGATTAGGTGGAACCGGCGCCGTGGGGAGGAGGATGATGATAGTGTCCAGGAGTGGGAGCATGCCGCTGAGGAGGTGGACTTTGAAGTCGACGATGCCTGGAAGCAGTCCGTCCATGAAACTGCGCCGAACCTCCACGTGGACAGTACCACGGCTGAGCTCGTACAGTTGAAGGAGCAGGTGATGGCTTTGACTGAGACCGTGCGGCAATTGACGGAGGAGAAGGCTAGACGGGGCTTGATGATCGGGGAGTCGAGCTCGACAATGATGGACGAAGATTAGGGCTTGATCTACAGGAGGATATATTGCTTATTGTCTGTCGCCTTGGGGTGTTGGTTTGCAACTTGTAAGATGGGCAATGTACAGACACAGTTGACAATTGCGGGTGCTTCTCTGGAGCTCCTGTTTGTGGTGAAGGCATGTCTTGAGCACGGTGCGAACCACTTCGTTGAATTTTCAATCCGAATACGGGCTGTTTAATTGATTACTATGCTTGATTGGGGCAGGAGTCAACCACTACATTCCAAGAAGCAAAAAAAATATCAGAAGCAAAAGTTAAAGCCCAACGCGGGGGTTGAACCCGCAACCTTGAGATTAAGAGTCTCACGCTCTGCCGATTGAGCTAGCCGGGCTGACTTGGTTGAGAGCGGTTGTAGCCATGGCTCTATGTCGCAGCCTGACACTAGTCATGCAGCCCACCAAATCGGGCTTAATGCTACTATCACAAGTGGTCTTCATATGAATGACGGTGAGATATGGGTAAACACTACCTTCTATCCTCAAGCATACTCGTTCGACTCGTTAACCCAGTCTGTCGGTTGGCTATTCTTGGTCCCTTCGAAAATGATTGCGCCATTCCG